GTTGGCGTTTCGTCAGCAAGCGCAGCGACATCGTCCCCAGCACGCTCAAGTTCACCAAGTTCGAGAAGCGGCCCCTATTCGGCCGCATCTAGGTGTAGACTTAGTGCGCAGAAAAGTATCGATGTCACCAGCATCGGCGATAGTGATAACTCTCAACGGGAGCAGCGACGGGCTGCTCTCCTGAGCACACGGACCGAAGGTTCACCGAGACCAGCTCGAAATCCAGCGGCAGGACGTCAGAACGCTGAAGCCGACAGGTGCCTGATTTAATGCAAACGGTGTCGTACCCGGACACGAATTCATTTGTTCCCTCGTTCGTTCGGTCGGTCATTCGTTCGTTCATTCGTTCGTTCGTTTAATGTCCACCACCCCCACAGCCACTTCTACACAGCACTACCACCAATCACAAGAAAAGAAACACAAGCAATCGTCTGTCACTCAATTCGCTCGACAATAATAATCGGTCGATCGATCCTTGCGCTCGTCCGTCCGTTCGTCCGTCCATCCATCCACGCGCTCGTCCGTCAATCATCGAGAAACTGTTTGACGATTCCCGTTCACCCTGATTTCCCTGTCGACGCTCACGAACGGCAGCTATGTTCCATGTTGATGATGAGAATAATATTGATCGACGTATTAGACGTTCCCGGGAATTATCGACACCTCCAACTCGTGTGTCTGTCTGTCCGTGAAATAACGAACCGTTGGCTCTCTCCAAAGGGAGAAAACGTAAAGAGAAAAGTCCGCCATTGCATGCACAAAACAAACCGTAAACCTACCCAGATTCATACGTCATCACCGCCTTCATTCAAGCTGCCTAACACTGTTTCCTCCTCCATCCACGTAGTGAGACCTAAATGTGATTCTGGCCTATTCATTTGCGCGTAGGAACGTTCTGTTTCCCCATTTGTTCGTCAGCGCTTCAGTTTGTTCAGTAGCCACAGCCGCCTAAGCCTCTAATGGAAGCAAGCTAAAAATCAGTGGAGCTTAGAAGAGCACAAAATCCATCACAGTCTCACTCTGTTGCACCAACAGCTTCTGAATGCCCATGTGTAGGAGATGATGTGCACTGCTAGGACAATCGGGGCTCGCTGTGAACGACAGCAAGATGGCCCTAAGCGAATACGCTAGATTATCCGCGTTTCGTTAGATTACTCAGAAATTCGAGGGATCCGCGAAGTGAGTGGTGCCGCCACGCGACGAGAACTCGCGCGGCTGACGGCACGTCCCCTGGGCGTGCGATCTCGCCATTCGGTCGTTGATTTATTTGTCGTACGCAACCGATGTGTATCTCGTACTAGGTATGCAGCTCCCCTACTTCCCGCCTCCCTTCCACGATGCGGTGTCTCTTGCGGACGACACGTAGAGCCTTTGAAAAATTCCTCCACTATGCAACAACGCCTAGATTCGAGATTGCTGCGGCTGCGGTCACGAATAGCTCGCGGTTTTCCGACCCGCTACGGATTCGTAATCAAAGTCTTCGCCAGACGGACGTCCGTTTGGATTCTGACGGACGCTTGGATAGTCGGCAGTCGAATTCGGGCGAAGCGTCTATTTCGTCGCGAGTTCGGCCTGACAAGCGGCTCTGCGCTCGAGATTGGACATTCTATTCAATTGTCTGACACACACGACGCCGACGCGTGAGCGTGCGGGGAACGTGCTGGCGGGCGCTCCACGTCCGGATTGAGGACATTGCTTCTATCTTCGAGACGGAAGGTCCTCAAACGCCATTTTAATTAGGTCGTCGCCTTCCGCCACAAAACTCTGCGGGAAACGCACACCTGTCCCGTTCGGATGGGTTCCCATCGTCTGGAGCAATGCAGTTGCGACGTCGCAAACATTTCAGTCGCTCGCTCCTTCTGTTTAGGTTTCGTTCCAATTTCGATACTTCGGAGGGACGGTAGCAGCGGTGGCGGCGGCATATTGGTTTCCTCCGAGTTGTTCCCGAGTGCCGATAGTCGTATTCGACAATTATTTCGCTTTCTTCTCCCCGCGGACGCGTCGACGGAACCACCATCATCCCTCGCGGTGGCTTCGAGGACGTCGACGACGACGGTTTTTTTTCTTGTGCGCTTGGCCTGGAGCCACCGGAAGCCGTGCACTTCCTCAGATTCAAAGTCGAGCGGTTCTCCGGCTGGAAGCGCGAAGGCGGGCCAGATGCGGAGCTCGCAAATCCAGAATTGACTGAGCTGGAATAATTCTGGTATCGCTCCGGAAGGTGATGGACGTCGGGAAATCCTACTATTCCAATCCAGTAATGAGCCTCGGCGGCGAGCGAGAGCTCTGAGCTCCGGTCGGGATGAAGCTGCGACCCTGCGAAGCATTTCCCGAACCGTGAGGGGACGTTGCGAGCTGCGTTGTACAAGTCTCCCGGCGTGACACGATTCTAGCGAGAAAAAGAAGAAAAGGGGATCATGTGGCGACGCGACGTCAACAATTATTGCGGGAAAGAACTCCCGAGCCCACGGCACTTGTTGGGAGTGCTTTCTCCCGAATTAGGGAAGCTACGAGGCTAGATTGCATCTCTCGCAACGACCTTGGGTCGTGGGGGTTTTCGGCGTGCTTCCGGAGCAGAAGCTGTTCCCGATCGGGGAAAAATGAGCCGGTACGCAATCTCCCGCCCAGGGTTCCACTCTCCCCCGCTTCGCTCTCATTGGGTCGCACGTTGCGGGGAGAAGACTTTTGTTTCGGCGTTCCTAGTTGCCGGAGCAATTACGTTACAATATTGTCATCGTCTGACGGCACGTACGGGCCCCGACCGAGAGGAGGTGAAGAAGAAGCAGCAGCAGCCGCGAGAGACACTGGGCAAGGTCCGACGGGGCCAGATTACGTATATATGTGGTATGGGATCTATACCATTATATCTGTATTTCCCGCTTGGCCGGCTCGCCATATCGTGCGTAGACTTTTCGCACGATCGCCTCCCGGCTTGTTAGTCTGTGCTCTCGAGCTTGGCGGCCGCAACCGTGGCGGATTCTCTCAGGGCACCTGCAGGGAAGAGACACAGGGAAAAATAACGACACGAGATAGAGAAGAGGCGCCGACCGGAGGAGCCTTATTGGGGCTCACATTGATCGAATGCTGTCGAAGACACGCGCATTCGTCGTTCTGAGAACCTTTCCCGCCTAGAGGAGTGGAACAAGAACTGCTCACCCCTTGTGGGATTCGATCGAATGCGTCGACTGCTGACGCCGGATCACTCATTCGTGTGGTGCCGGGAATGGCGCGAGCCCACGTACCCTCGGCGTAATCTGAAGGGATCGCGCCAATTTCCCGGGGTAAATTGACGATTCGAGAACTGGGTTACTTATTCAGAGAGCGAGTTTCCAAGGAGGAGTGTCACAGTGGTTGAGAAGACGCCGGCGACGCGACGTCACCGCGGCCGAGGGAGATACCGCCACTGCTCGGGGCCACCGGAGAACAAGCCTTCTCAGCCTTCGAGCACGTTCGTCCAGCGAGGAACAGGAAGACAGGCATTGGCGGAAGGGAGGACGGAGGGATAACAAAGACGGAGGCGAAGGAGCCGAAAAGAGGGAAACCTGACTTCCATTCGGACTGGCTTGTTCTCTAGATCGGTCCTTCACTCCCTTCCTACCTGATGGTCCGATCGACCGGTTTGCTCACTCACTGACCGACGGCCGAGCTAGCTAGCGAGCGAGCGCTGGCTTCGTTGCCCGCTGGCTGATGAGATCGGATAGCCGAAACGCTGATCGCCAAGTAACGAAGCAGCATTCCGAGGCGCGTCCAACAAATAGAGTGGTCCGTCCGAGGCTCCGAGAGCTGTCCGCTGCAAACTGGTCATCGTCCGGCCGGCCGCTGGAGTGGCTCCAGCGCCGGTGACACGATGAGCGAATAAGCCTGCGAGCGTAGACTCGGCTCGACGAACAAACGAAAAACGAAGCGGGGAATCGTTCTCTCCCGACAGTTCGTTGCTTAGACCAGCTATTCGACAGCGGTTCGACAGCCGGACAGCGCGGCTACCGACAAAGACGTCTACGAGCCATTGCGAAAAAAAGTTGTCCAGGGAAAATAGCCGTCGGCCAAACAAGCTTCGAATCGAATAGTTGTATCGAAATCGAATGAAACGAGATCGGACAGAGTCAGAATCGAACGGAGACTGTCCTGAGAGCTCCGTCCCGCCCCGGACTTCGCGGTGCATCTTTCGGTCGGGTATTCGTTCGACAGAATGCATTGCGGCGTCTCGGTCGCAGCGTCGATCTCTCTCGGAGCAACCTGTAGGCAAAAGCAGGGGAGCGGGGGAGGCAGACAATTGTCATCGAGTGTCTAAGTGAAAGACGTTTCTCGTCGTTCCCGCCTTGTTCTCGCCACCGGTTGTTCCGCGAGGAACAGCGATGAGCGCAGCCGATGCCGTTAGCGGAGCGGCTGCAACCTGTATGGCTATAACCTCTCGCGCACGAGTCAGCCGAAAGGAAAGCTCCACCGGCGGTTTGCTCGTCGATTTTTTGTCCGCGAGAAGCGGCCGACTGTTACTCTTCACAGTCGGAGGGGGAGGGGAGTTAACGAGTCTTATTTATTCTTCTCGTACGTCTTCGATGACCTCGCGGGTCAATGAGAAAAGGGGAAACTGTTGGCTGTACTTCACCCAGCAAACGATCTTCTGAATTCTCGAATCGCAACTTCTGCGGTGGAATTCATGAACGATCTCGTAGAATCATCGGATTCTCCAGGCGACGATTTGATGTGGCGCTTAGTATCTTTTCGTTCCCTTTCCTACCGGGGAATCTTGAGAAAATAAATTTCCTGATGGACTCTCGTAAGGAAGTCTGACGGAAATCCTGACAGAAGTCCTGACGGAAGTCCTGACGGAAATCCCAACGGAAGTCCAGACGGCAACCCTGACGGAGAGCCTGTCGGCAGACCCTGACGGAAAATTACGTTCGAGTTCAGAATTTATTTCTCTTGTCCTCCTAGAACATCCCTGTGTCAGCTTTGGCGCGCATGCCGTACTCAGCGCGAACTAACTTTGGCTTTTTCTTTAGGAAACTTCTCGACGAAGATGATGAACTTTCGGAAGTCCGCCCCGACGCCGTGCCCACCGAGGTCCGCGAGTGGCTTGAGTCCACGTTCACAAGGCAGTCGGCATCTTTGCCGAAACGCCGGTAAGTGTCACATTGAGTTTGAAGCGAGGAACAGGAGATTCGGTTCACCTTGACAAAAGTGGCCACGAAAACTTCGGAAAATCTCCATGCGTGTCAAGAGCTCTGAGTATTCGGAGTCCGGCGAGCGCATCGAGGCATCCCAAAATTCGAATGAGACCCCGGGAATTGAGCGGACGAGTCATTGGTAACGGCTTCTCGCTCACGGGAGAACGAGACTATCCTCGTGGGGGAAACTCTTCGATTCGCGTTGAAGGCGATGTGACTCCCAGACGATCAGTTCTCCCGAACCGACGAGTTTCCCGCTTGGACGCGGGAATACGGACCTTCCGCCCGTCGAACGCAGTTGCTTCCCCCGGCGGAAGCGTATATCAGTCCAGAGAGAAGTTCGTCATCGCGATTTGCTCATTCTCACGTTTTCCCTCCCTCTCATCAATTTGTTCAGTCGCGTAGCTCATTCCCCCAACTCCGGACCCATTAGGTCGGGTACAAGCTAAAGGGAAACTCAAGTCGCGGATCATGTTCGATCATTCATCCGAATATTAGAGCGAGCGTGTCTCGTCCCAATCGAACGCGGAGCGGTCAATTCCGAGAACGATCTGCATACAGGAAATACATAGAGGTTGAATGAGCGGGAGAAGTTCAGCCAAGCAACATGTCTCTAACATAAGAGCTAGACCGAGGAGAGTTGGGGTCGGGCGGCCAAAGTTCCGGGGATCGGGGCGACGAGGAATGAGGAGACAGCGGTGTCATCCGTGATCCATGAAGAAATCCGATATCGCAAACCAGACGACGAGATCGTAAGAGCCGACCTTTTCTCGTTGAGACGATATTTGTGGTCGTGTTCTCAAGATGATTGTAAGGGTGTAAGTCTGGAACTTGTGCCTCGACATCTTGGTTCGATCACATCCTCATCAATGCCTCTGAAGTACCTGAATGTCGATTTACGAATCCTGTAGGCGTTCGCTAGTGCGATTCCGCGGTAAAAAAAAACAATCTCAGACGGGAGGAGAGGTGTCCACTGATCGTGCAGAATAGAAGTTTGTTACAGAACTTCTCCAGCGATTTCCATGTTTGAACATGGAAGTGAGCTCCGATTCCGGATGAGGCTTCGGGAGTTGTTGAAAGGACTCAGAATACGGAATTCCGAGGTGCAGCAGCGATGAGATTCGCCTAGGCTGGAAGTAGAGAGTTTCAACATCAGGAGGAGACCATTGGAAACGATGCTTCGCTGGTTTAATGCTCACCTCGATCGCCTCACTCGTTCCCATTCCCGGATCCGTCGGATCGAATTCCTATGCTTGTCGAGCCATATCTGATTTCAGTGGAGAGCTTCAACTCGTTTCCCTGGGGAGATTGTTCAGAGTTTGATATCTCACATGAGTCCTCCTGTTCTTTCCTTCCTCGTCGGGACGAATCTCTAGCCAGTCACACAGTCTCACTCTCAACGTATTCCATATTCAAGCATCGAAACGGCACATTACGCGAGCCTTGAATATTGGGAGGCGAACGACGGGAGAAATTAATTTATCTCGGTACGCCACGGACGAGATCACGTTCCCCAGAGCCCGCATTGGTTGCTCCAATGTTCGTACGCGAAGAGGACCGAGACAAGTTCTTCTTGTTGCTTCACGTCTATTTCCCGTCCCACCTCTCAGACAAGGAAAGATGCTTTACCGGTGGCCGTCAAACCCGGAGATCTTCCCGGCGTCCGCTCTTTCGATCTTCCCGATTTTATTCTTTCCACCATCCGCTCACTCTGCCTTAGAGATCGCTGTGCGGAGAACCGCCGGCTAACTCTGGAAGCGTAATTATCTCGCGCAGTGCTCGGCAAAAACGCTCTGCACAAAAGAGATCAGCCCTAGCGACAATTTCGACGCGCCGGAATCAGTCCAGCCCTGATTAAGAATTTACATCCAAGTGACGGATGTTCAGAGCCCAGCCCCACGGCTGGTGGTCGGGCGGGGCCGGACTTTCAGATGAGCAGTCTTCCAGACGAACAACGGTTTTTACGGGACCATCCAAAGGCAGCGAAGAATTTGCCGTCCAGATATGACATGTGCCCGGACGGTGACCTCTTCGATGAGAGGGACTTGAGCAACTACGAAAGGAAAGACACGCTCTCGACATCCCTCACTTATTTTTTCCATGCTCGCCGTGGCCTCGCAAGATTCAGGGCAGTGCGCGATCAGGCTTCCGGGAATGGAGACTCACATCAAATTCTTAGCGAGCGAGGATAATTTACGAGGCAGGCTTTCAATGAAACTCGGCGGATATATGTCGTTTCCCCTTTCGAAGTGCCTCACCGTTGTCAACGCTGACTCGATTCTTCACAATCAGATTCACCCCAACATCCAGAGTCGGCTGCAAGTTCAGCGTTTTCCGGCGACGCTTCTTTTCAAATATTTCTGCAAGGGTCGGCAAGGGTTGCGGTGGCAGAGTCACCGGGAATATCCGGCCTCTGATTTGACAATGGAGCGGAAAACATAGGTGCACGCGTCCATGTAGTGAGCGACCCGATCATCGGACGGATCTTGAAGATTGGCGGTCTCCCGTCTGAAGAAATTAAATAAGTCGCAACGGGTCTATTTCTACCGACTCTTGACCCCATATGGGTAGCTTATACGTTCAAGCGGAGCTGACGGTCCCATCGGATAAATGCCTTGGTCGGATTGGTGCAGCTCGAGTATTCCTTAAGCAGACTTCCCCTTGCTGGGGAGATTCCTTATTGTGATCCTTCAGTGTTTGGATCAGACGAGAACATCTCACCAAATAATCAGGACTGGGGCAGGGACCTCAGTATTGAAGAATTGTCGCCTCGTATTGAAATTTCATTCTTCCCGTGTAGGTCCGAGGATAAGCCCCGCTTCCGATCGGTGGCTAACGCTATACGGGCGGGCATCATGGTGGATCGCCTGTATCGAAGAGTGTCGCCCTCAGCCGCGGTGCACCTACAAGTACCCCCACCTATATTAGACCTGCTCAAGACAACTGATGAATGGTGAGCATCAAAATTCATGTTTCAGCGCCGAGCCGAATTCGCGTAGGGACGTTCGCAGCATCGGTTTTTCCTTCGAAGACCTCATTCTGAACCAGATAGCAAATCAGTAAAATCGTGGCGGCCCCCGATCGAGACCCCACGGACGCGGGGCTAGCTGCGATCGGGCCGCTCTCGCTGATTAGATTCTTGAGCGGGCCGACGTTACCTTTCTCGAAAGTTTCGATCTTCCTCTCCGGCCAGTGGTGGATTCGAGTGTGCAACTTTTCTGTGAACCTACATTCGTCGTAGCTTCCTGTGCGTGACGTATTTCTGTCGACGCATGCACTATCTGAGCAGAGAGCTTCCCGACCGAATCAATAAAGGCCGAAGAAACGTGACGTTCGATCAATGATGAGCTCCATGCGGCTGGTGATGCCGTCGTCGCCGCCGTAGCAGCTCTTGTCCGTGCTGCTGCTATTGCTGCATGTTATCTGTAATTACAATTACGAATTCCCTTATAACCTATTCCGTCGAGCGGTCTGTGCGGCGCAACAATCACAATGTTCGCGGGACCGGCATAAATCGAATCCTATTACTCCTCGCCGGAGCTCGACTGATTATTCCAGTCCAAACAGATAACCGGTGACTTTCCAATCGAGTATGGCAATCCAGCGAGTATGCTACTCGTTGGGAGCTACAAGCGGGAATATGCTCTAATTAGGAGGGGCGCTAGCCCAGCTCATCCGCAAGAGCTGCTAGTGGGCCGGACAAAGCCGTCAGAGAGACTACCGCCGTTTCAGGAGAAACGGAGACGGCAACTGTCTGTACGAAAGCGTGGCCCACAGCGCTCGTTGGAAGCCACAAAGAACTAAGACTCCGAAGGCCGAGACGAAATTTCTTTTGACAGAAGCGGAGAGTTCCCCCTCGAAATCAATTCTACTTTGGTTTCTCTAAGAATGAGAAAGCTTGATTCCGTCATAGTCTCCGACATCTCCAGTCGAAGCGGATTTCTCGAAATCCACGATAGACTTCGTGCGGCTTCGTGACGCAGGGAATGTCTCATCTTCCTCGATGGACGATAAGTTTGTTTGGGGAAAAAAACAATTCTTTCGTCGAGAGCGAGCCCTTCGGAAATAAGGCTTCCCGTATTTTCTTTCCAGGTGTTTCAATGTCTTTAAACTGAACGAACTGTCCACCGACCAAGCTCTGCGCTATCTCTCTTTCGACCTTCTCAACCGCTACGGTCTTGTCCACAAGTTTAAGATGTCCAGTCTCTTCCTCGAGAACTTCTTAACTCAAATCGAAGCCGGCTACAAGAAATACGGCAATCCCTACCACAACAATATGCACGCCGCAGACGTTACGCAAACTGTTCATTTCATGCTCTGCAGAGCTGGCGTCGCGGTAAGTCCAACGGAGTCGTTGTTTTGAGTCGACTCCTCTTCGAAATTCGCACATTCAGCCGTAGTAGAAAGATATTGCACAACAGAAGTCGTCTAACGACTCAGCTCGAGCTGTGGGCTATCACTGCTCGAAACAAGGAAGCACATTGAGTTCGAATCAAGGATACGGCCCGGAGACTGAGTCGTTCGGCGGAGTGTCGGGGAACGCCCGCCTGAATCGACCGCATGTCCGATCGAGTTCTCCGTCTTCCGAACGAGTTTGTTCGTGAACGAAGTTCCGCGTTCTCCGGAAACCCCGACTCGGTGCGCTTCGAAAATTGGATGATTTTTTCATCGGCCGCCAGAATTCTCGGGGGACATACTGCATGGATGAGGAGAACTTCTGAGTGATTTGATCAAAGAAAGGGACAACAGGGAAATCTTGTCCCTCGGAGAATGCAGGTCGTTGTCTACACAGAAGGCTCGACGTCGCTGCTGCCGCCGCCAACGACGCCCCGTGGCCACCGTAGCCCCCGTCGAAGGCTCCTTTCTTCCTTCCCTCGCTCATTCTCTGTCTCCTTTCTATCCCCCTCTCGTTCCCGTCCTCACTCGATTATACCTAGCTCCCGAACTTCGTAATGAAGCTTCGGAGCAACTGGCTCTCGGCCACCGGTGGCGCCGATCTCGGGCCAACACACTTGCTCGCTCAGACTCAATTCTCCGGTAGGATTACAGACTCTCTCCCACACTCCCTCAGAATCCCGCTGTTCGCATCCGAGAAATTACCCCTCCGAAGAATATTCGACTGAATTGACTTGATGGGTTGAAGTTCTGAACGAATATCATTTGCTTAATCCATGAATTCCTCACGGTTCCGAGTTGCTCCTATTGAGCTAGATCCGCGGAAGTGGATTCTTCAGACTCGGAGCACAATGAGAATGCTCTAGTAGTAGACATTCAGCTTGACAAGCACTGGAAGTGAATAGGGGCCTGCTGGATCAAAGTTCGGGTCCGGAAGTCTCCAGAATTAATGACGAAGTGGATGTCCAATCCCGATAAGCCCAGAGTTTTTCTCGCATCAGAAATTCCGACGGCAAAATTCTCTTCTGCCAAGGTTCTCTTCTGCCAAATTCCCTTCACCCCCTCCGCCCGGATCGAACTCGACGCTCGCTTTCCCTTCACTTCCCTCGATTCCAAAAGTCAACGAAGATCACGCGACCTGACGACATCGATGAGATCCGAGACTGGGATCCTGCCGCTGCGATCCATGGATCAGAAAGCCCGCGACGCGATTCCGAATGATCTCGCGTCGCGGACGATAGCTTTCTCCAATGAGTTGCTCGCGTGAGACGTCCGATACCATGTGTCGATTATTCGGAGGGATATTCGGTCCTTCGAACGATTGTCCAGCGCGTTATCCGAACTCCCTCAATGAGAACTGCCGTCATTCGAGATACCGACCGAATTGCGAATGTCGCGTACCAGCTGGCCGGGTTCCGCGCTCCCGAGAGTGCGATTTTCATCCGAGCGTACCCGCGGTCGAAGTAGCAATGAGCGATCTCGGCGTCTGAATGAGAGTTCAATCGCACTGCAGCATGTTCTCGAGTTCCGAAATTATTTCCATTGAGAACCGACGAAATTTGTTTTGTCATTCGTTTTGATGACTGTGCATCGTCGAGTTTCGATTGGAGCTTCTTCGTCGTCGATTCAGAGGCTTTCCCCGTCTCGCAAAACGAGTATTTCTGCTCTGTCAGAGATATGAAAAGCCGAACGTTCGCCCGGGCTCCATGCGACCGTTTCTCGGTGCTGCTGAATCCTCCGGCTTGAAGCTCGCGAGTGAGAGTCGTAGTGGAGCAAACGATTTCAATAGAATGAGCACTAAGTCGTCTCGAATAAGAATTTCTACGAGTTCTTGGCGACGACGTTGTCAATCGACGGCGCGACTCAATGTGCGCGTGTGTGTTCGTGCGTGCGCATTCCCGCCGCCAACAAACTTTCTCTCCGCAAGCGAACGGGCGGTCGGTCTACCGGTCGGCCCAGGCAGCCAACCAGCCAGGCGAGCAAACGGCATAACCCCTCGATATTAGAAAGTGTTGCTTCTAAGTCCTGTTGAACAAAGCAACAAATCCCGTAGCTTTGCCCGCTTCCAGACTCCCATCCATTTTATTTTCTTCGAAGCCGTGCTCTCGACTCGAAGATGGGAAACCATGTCTGCGAAGGATCTTGTCCGAGAGTCGACTTGCGAAGCAACTGCTGTGCAGCAAAAAACCAGTGGCAGGTAGTATCTTCGACACTACCGTTAGGCGTGAAAACGTCAGATACATCCGGTGTTGTTCTGCTTATATCGACTGACTAATGTTTTGAACTCGAAATGATTCATTCCCAATCAAGATAAAAATGCTTGAAGGTTATATTGAAATTCCATTCTGGCTTGGAGGTCAGTCTTGTCTCAAGTAGACGAGTTCAACACTTCTTCAAATTCTTGGTCGGCGCCCTCTTGTTCCCACCACGTACGAAGCCGCATCTGAGCTGCTCTAGCGTCGGCGCCCTCTCTCTGAATGATGGTGCTGCTTGAGGTTGCTAACGATCGGTGCCCATCGTACTCCTTGACCATAGCGTTTTGGACGAGTATACTGGTTCCTCCGCTGTCCTTAAGCTTATTCACATGGTCATTCCACAGGTTCAAGACGACAATTTTTTTTGTGTCATCTACGAGATGAATTATTTGCTTCGATCTTGATATCCGTCGCGCTTTGCCGCGAGCATTTAGTGTTCCTCCGCGTTTGTTGTTCTCCCTTCAATTTGCTCCATGTCCCTTCTCCTTGCGCCCCGTTTCATCTTATAGGTACCCTCATTTCCGTCTAGTTTCTCAATTCTTTCCCGTTTCTCTCTGTACCCCCGTTTCTCTCTGAATCCCCTCTGCTCTGAATCCCCGTTTCTCTCTGTACCCCTGTTTCTCTCTATTTCCCCGTTCGCCCCCATATCCTCCCTTCCGATGCTCAATCCCCTCCTCTCGAGTACCACGTTCTCATCCAGCCCCCTTTCCTCTTTTCCGTTTCCCGTTGTTTCCCCGTGTCTCTCGCTCGTCTCCCTACCTTTCCTCCCGTTAAATCCTTCTCCCGCTCTCCCTCCGTGCCCTCGTTTACCTTCTCCGTGGTCCCTATATACCCCGTATCCCAAGCCCCTTCCATTTCTCCCCTCTCCCTGGGCTTCAAAATCTTCTTCCATCCGTCCAGAAAAACGCGTCTGCCTGTCCTCTATTTTCAGCAGCGGTGAATAGGAAGGGAATGAGTGAATTCGGATATACGCGCTTTCTTGTTGAACCTCGCCGAAAACTGCCCTCTTCATGTCTGTTTCCGCTCTTAACACTGATGACCGTGAGGTCCAGTCCCCTCCCCTCATCTTCCCGTGCTAATTTCTCGGCTGATTTCCACTCCGTATCCCGTATCCCAAGTCCCAAGTCTTCCTCAAATGATCAATGCCGATGACGATCACTAATCAAGAATGTAATGAACTCGACGGATTCCTCCCATGATTACGAAGAACCCTTGAGTGGCACTAGGTTTATGTCCCGAGTCCCGACAAAACACTCGATTTTGGAAGTATAATCTAGATGTTCGGAATTGAGCGTTCAATTAACACCACACATAATTCCCAGTCATCTCGAGCTGGACTCTTCTCACGAATTTCAAGATGATTCGCGCCATCTGTTCGAAATTCACCTCCTCGCACTCCTCCGCTGCAGAGAGGTGTACTCCCATCGACCAGAGATTCTCGTGTCATGGCGACAGCTTGAAGGGAAAACGATGGTGACGCTGACTAAAGGAGAGAGGGGAACAGATCGGCCCCCATTGCGAAATGTCTCATGTTTCGCATGAATATATCCTTCCTGCAACCCCCTGAGTCGCAAATGCAACGCGACCTGGAAGACTGAAAGCCCCCCCGAAATCGAACAGTGATTTCGAATCAGAATAAGCTTCAGACATCTCAAACAACCTTTATTTATGTCATATCGGAGGCCCCCCAGAGGTGTGCATGAAATGCCTTCGGAAAGTGTCTCAGAAGTCGTGATTTGATACCAAAATAGAATGGCAGTTTATGCCGTAAATTCGCGTTCACATGAAGCCAACTACAAAGTTCCACGTTCCCGGGTTTCCGTGATCTAAGGCAGAGAAAAGTTACAACTTTTGTGACGCAGAGGACGAAGTACCCTCGATCTGTATGGTCGATGAAATTAAAGACGTTTTCACGTCAAAAAAAAGGAGCTGTGCGTGTGTCAGTGTGATACGATTTCTTCGTGCGTCGACTTGCTCTTCGAGATCCGCCCACGGCCAAACGGACAGCGAATAAAGACGGTGACAACTCCGACGCTGCATCTTTGACGAGGCGGGCCGAAGAGCCTTATCTTGAAGCTCGAAACAGGGTGTGGGCTCAGCGATACTCGACACAATAACCATCCGCGCTGTTGTTCGCGTTCATTGTGCCGAAATTCATTCTGAATATGAAGCTCAGCTCCTTCGCTATCGGTGAATCAAGCTCCTTTGTCCCTTCCGCGGTTACGTACTCTCCTGGTTTGAACAATAAATGGCTCTTAAGTCTTCCATTCAGTGTCTGACAGCTCGACGGTAGAGGCGTCGACAGCTCTCGACCGGTATTTCGAGTCACACGATGATTCCAGATTCTCTTTCTTCCCACCCGTTGGAGTCTGGTGGTCCCTCGGGGTAGGGGCTCGGGGGACGGACGGAATAGCGACGGAATCGAATCTTTCCCTTCGAATTGATTTCCTATTGTTTCGTTTCTCTTCCAGAACTGGCTAACAGACCTGGAGATATTTGCAACTCTCTTCGCAGCTATAATTCACGATTATGAGCATACGGGCACCACAAACAATTTCCACGTTATGTCCCGCTCAGAGACGGCGCTCATCTACAACGATCGTTCGGTCCTCGAAAATCACCACATTTCTTCGGCGTTCCGAGTGATGCAACGCGACGACTGCAATGTTTTGGCCAACCTCAGTCGAGAAGAATACAGGTGAGTTTTTTTTCTCCGCTCCTCTTCAAAAGATGAAGCTACAAGAACGACGGTCCGTCTCTTTTGAAGCCCCACTGCCGGAGCAGCAGAAGCAGCCGCTTTTTTTCCATCTTATTTTCCGCTAACGTGAGAGACGTCCGAACAGGAGACTCTTGTGGGTCTGTCGGCTTGTCTGTGAAGTCTCCTTCTTCTTGCTGCTGCCGCTGCCTCCGTCGACTGCCATCGGTTCTCCCTTAGAGTGAGCTACTCAAAAGTCTAATAGAATGCTGAGTAACCCGAGTCCGAGTCCCAGCGGACAGCTGAACTTGTTATTCTAGCTCCGGTAACTCCGAAGGGTTGGCCGACCCTAGAATATGTCGAATAGATCGCGGAAAAAGAGAGCATCGGAGCACCGAAGCGAATAAAAGCAAAGTGGGACGAAAGGGTCCGGACGGGAAGGAGGTGTTGCAGAGATGGCGGTTCGGTCGACCAAGCGACGGAGAAGTCGTGCGCTCCGATCAAAAACATGCTTTCAACCCCATCCGAGGAAAGGAGAGCCACGAAATAAGTTCACCGTCCTCATACCTGGAAGAAAGCGAGCTACGACGAAGCGCACGGGATGGATTCCGCGGCGGGAAAAAAACAATCGCAGAGCGGACCCGAGCGTCGTCTGTCGCGGAGGATACGCCATGTGCGGAACGTCGAGCGAGGAACACGAGAGGGATTTCTCGTTTCCGGGAGACGCTCGACGGTATCCTTGCTCAACACTCACTGAGTGTCGTCCAAGAGAGCAAAATAAAATACTCATAGAGGAATCGAGGCGAAACAGAACAGAGCGTCTCATAGAAAGGCCGAACGGAAAACAAAGCTCAGTCGGGGACCGCAGCGCTGTCATCACACGCTCACCCGAGTGGTCAATGTGGACAATTTCGTTGCCGAGCTTGTCTCTGTTTGCTGCTTCCAGGGACGAGCTTGCAGGATTGCCTGTGGCGGTCACAAATACTGAGCGCGGCTCGGCTTGGGCCCACTTTGTACGGGGAGGCGAGCAGTGGCGCCTGCCTGAGACCGTACGTCTACCGAAGGGAGGCGGACACAGAACGTCTGCGCCTCGCTTCTCTTTCCATGGGAGCTGAGTCGCTCCGAAGTGACGGAGGAAGCGAGCTCCCTCAGAGTATGTGGTATTTTTGTAAGAACTATGACTGCACTGCCGCTTCAAAATTTTGAGAAAGGGGATGGCCGATTGGAGTTGGGAGTCGAGCCGAAACCTTTGGCACACACTCGTCAACTCATTCAATCATTCGCTCTGTCAGTGGGTCGGTCAGCTTGCGGATCAGGCGGGCCGAACAGAATCAGCGGCTTCGGAGAATAACTACTCGCCGGGAATCTCTTACAGCTGGGTGTCACTCCCTAGTCTTTCTCCGCGCGGATTTCGAGCGTTCCGGCTGATTCCTCCCCAGGACCTAGTCGATATCGTACGAGCTTTCTTTCCGAAACTCTTCCTAAGAAGTGCCCGATGCGTCACAAAGGATGAGAAGAGACTTGGAGCGCGGGAATTATTGGTCTACGAGTACACAGAATATCCAATTATGCCCAGTGGAGCACTTCTTCGTGACCTCGGGTGAGGGTAATTCAGACATGGGCTGCTTTAGGGAACGGATGACGTTCCTCGAGGACACTGGAGACATCTTCCGACTTGGAATGCGTCATCTGACGGAACCGGGCGAGGGAATTGGACAGACTTATGAAAAAGCCTCATTCTCCATGTTGATTTTACTTGGCTTCATATTACCTCGTCGTCTCCCGGAGGAAGAGGACCCCCACCCTGCTAGGTAAGGGGTATCGGATGTTCTCCTCAATTCCTTCTGCGTAAAGGCAAAAAAGGGCGCTCCTTTTCGAATGCTCGGATGAGCTTTCCCCGACGGCACGGCCTTCTCGAAGCTACAAACATTCAAGGCTCAGGGGGCGTCCCTGAGTCTTTATTCAGAAGAGTCGCGGATCTCCTCGCCGAGCTCCTGCCTCGAATACATACATATATGGATGGGCAGGTGCTATCGAAAATCGAGCCTGTGACGACAATGGACTCTTGGATACAGGAAGCGACCGAGCGAGATGAGCAGACCTGGGATGGTGCTCATAGGAACCGCGCCGCCCGGAACGAATGGCCGTCGAAGGTTCATGATCTCTCGGCTCGCTCATTCAGTCTCTCCTGCCGCGGGAGTCGATACATCGTGATCTCGGGCCAGATATCCACTGATGGGGTCTTTGTCATAGTGAAATCCACCAATTGGCGTATCTTCCTATAATGGGGACGTCGCGTCGTCTCATCCGGCGGAGGTGCGCGTGTAGTATGTGACGGAAGTCGGGAGTAGGATTTAGGTCGACGACGTGAATACTACGGAGCGCGCGCCTAAGAGCTTCCCATGGCCGTGATCGCGGGTGCGGACGCACCTCGAGAAGCTCTCGGCTCCTGCCGCAACGTGAATTAAGAGGATGTTCTCGATGGAGACGCTCCCACTTTCGATCGCTTCGATTCCGAGTCGAGTGGCCCGCGGACAATCCAATGGAACCGTCTCTAAGCGGAGCGAGTAGGTACAGGAGTAAGCACAGACTCCAACCCGGAGCGGAGTAGTAGACTATGCGGGATGCATTAGCAGGCCATTCAAAGTGTAGTTCTATCACCATTCCTCGTTGTTGTGGCGGAGGAGCCCTGTTGAAGCCTTTATCATCCGAACGAGCTCTACACGTCGTCTAGACCGCAGTCTTCGGTAACTCTGATGAGGAGATGAGTCTCACAACAGCCGCTGCGGGAAGTGCGTATACGGGAACCTACGCGAAGAATCCGAACAAGGGGGTGTAAGCCAGAGGTCGCTTCGTGCCTCAACATCGTCCTCTCGCATTGTTCTCATAGTGAATTAATAATGCGGCAATTGAGTCGTCACATCGATTCCGTTCGTGGGAGGGCTACGCTCCGGCAACAGTGCATTTGGGAAGCCAAAAGGATCCCAGAGAGGACGAAGTTCACTCGTTGTCGAGCGATGGCTCGGATTGAGGCGACCGCGTGAATCTTTCGGAGTCTCTTCTATTTGAGCCTCTGACCAAAGAGGGCGAGAGAAGATTTCAAAGCTTTCAAGGACGAACTGTACGAAGGAATAAAACATACTTTTCGGTCCATTTTTGGATTTTTCGAGTTTCATGTCCCTCAAATTCTGGTTATCGGATCGACCTCAGAAAGGCTCGGATTTTAGCAATCATCATTGAGTTTCCGTACTTCAAAGTTGAGGAAACTTTTCTAGGGTCGCGTATCGATGAAATCCTCCGAGAAAAAGGCGATTCCGAGCCACGCGCCCGGCTTCCTAGCTGCGATGAGGCTCGGATAGCTAGCTCGCGAATACCGTCGCCGTGGGATGAACGAACGGTCGGGATGGAATACGACACCGTTTCGTTGAGATAGCTGACGGGCTGGAAGTATATGAGGAATGGAGGAAACTAAAATCATGCCTGGGGGAAACTCTGCCAGAGGTACGCATTCCCGTACGAAGAGCTGATTGCTCCCTCGAGTCGCTTCGCTGCCCCGACATAGCATGCGCGGAAATAACGCGGAAGGAAGCAACTTTTCGAGTTTCCTCCAAGACATCTAGGCGGAGTTCCTCAATATTCCTCGCGTAGATGATTAGGTCTTTTGACGCCCTTCTCTTTTCGAGACTTGCCTCAGGGGCATCGAATTTCGAACAATTTGGACGAGCTAATTGGATCGAATCTTTGACGTGATGTCTGCGAAGACACAGGGCGGCGTTCGACGTCACGGGTCACCTCCGCATCGACAACAAGCGGGTCGAAGTTCGTTGTATCCTTGTTCGAAGGAACGAGCTGTCCCTCTTACTGAGAGCGCCATGCACCCCTCGGACGTGGGCGCTGTCCAGCTGCCTCGGCTCTCCCACGAAGTTCGCGCGCGGGCTCAATTTGATTTCCCCGAAGCTCTTGTCCTAGCTCGTCACGCCATCGATGCAACGAAAGTCGCAGCATCGTTTCGTGCTCTCGAACGGGACATCGACTCGAAAACGAGAAGCGGCGATTATCGAACTAAACCAGAGGGTCGCATCGTGCATGAGAATCCCGATGCGAGATCCTGTCCCGAGTCGTGACGCTCCGCGTAATTCTCCTCCGCACCTCGAGTGGTTTTCGGGATATCGAGGGGAAATGCTGTGGGGTAATGGTCGCGAACGCTGACCTATCCCCTCGGTTGCGTCATCATTCACCTGATTCCATCGATTTTTTCCAGAGAGTTCCGATCCTTGGTGATAGAAATGGTTTTGGCTACTGACATGACATCGCATTTCCAACAAGTGAAAACAATGAAGACCGCTTTGGGACACCATGACTTCAGCCTTGACAAACCCAAGTCTCTCTGTCTAATACTGCACGCCTGCGACATCTCCCATCCCGCGAAGGAATGGAGCCTCCACACAAGGTGAGCGGAATTAGTCAATTAGGGAGAACTTCTTTGCCGGGGCAGGAAAGGAGGACGGTGGGCCGGGGAGTGAGCTTTACGTGCCTTGTCTTCTGCAGACCCCCGGAGAGATGACGAAATTTATTACATTTTTTCTCCACGATGCTTGCCGCTCAGGAAGAACAGGCTCAGAACGCGGCAGTGCATTAGCCCAGACAGAATATTGACGAGCATCTCATCTCTTATCTCCCCAGGTGGACGGGCTATCTGATGGAAGAATTCTTCAAGCAGGGGGACAAAGAGAAACAACTTGGCCTTCCCTACTCGCCCCTCTGCGACCGAAACACCACGATGGTTGCAGAAAGCCAGATAGGCTTTATCGACTTCATTCTCAGTCCGACAATGGACGTTTGTAGCGAGCTCATCATGAAGATCTATCAGCAGGTGGGTGTTTGCGCGATCACTGTCGATCGTCCCTCAATCAGCTTCGCCTTTCCTATCGATCAACCTTCCGTTGTGGAGTGTCTCCGATTCTCCGGCGGGAGCGCTGTTCGGCATCACCGCGATACCCGGCGATGCCACAGCCGCTTCCTTGTTCTTGCCGTAGCGCTCACCGATCCGGGGCAGGATTTCCACGGCATGCAAAGCCGATCATCTTCTCTTCCTTCCCTCTCTCGTTTCCTTGGACAGCAAGCGGTGGCTAGATTCGAAAACTCTGAGAGAAACAAAGTTTCAAGATGAAACTCCCACGTCTCAATGACGTTGCCTGCGGCGTGTTTCCCCTTCAAGCGAGGCCTCGCAACGCAAATACGGACGCCGCGTCCGAATTCATTGCTCACTTGCTCGTCCCATTCTGATCACGATTCCCAGGGGAGAGCTATCGATTGTTCTCTTAAGCGAAAGCGCGTAAGGAGCGAGTAACGTTTGACTAAGGGGAGCCTTCGGTGTCGTCGCAGGTATTGCATCAACAGCAGCAACAACGAGCTTCATCAGCGAGTACGACAGGGACGCCCTCCGAGGACAGCTCCAGATCTTCCTCGGTGTCGTCCGTCGGATCCCAGGACGTTCCTAAAGAACCAGCTAGACCTTGGATGAAGTACCTTGAAGTGAATCGACTCCGTTGGCAAGAGCGTGCCGCACAAGGTCAGCGAGCTCGAGTGTCTTCCTTTCCGAATGATTTTATCAATAGTTCCCGGAAATAACTTCGTTCTATTCTTACAGACGCCGAAGCGAAACGTCTTGCGGAGGAACAAGCTTCTGTCACAAATAACGGTAGCGCCGAGGAGGCCGCGCCTGCTTCGACCGAATGAGATCGAGTGTGGAGAGGGAGTTCCGATTCACGAGAGACGGCCCTGAACAAAATCAACAAGCTCGCTGACAATGAGCGCAGTGAAAATTTTGAAAATTGTTATCTACGTATATGAGCGATGTTGTACATAACCGCCATCCCCTGTCACTATTACTATGCCCTGCCGGTGGTCTGATTTAGCCAGTCTGTTGTTATTTGACACCGTCTAGTAGGACTTTCGTGAACGAAAAAAAAATCGCCTGTAACGTTTATAACTGCTCGTGATGCGTCGACTCGGAACAAAGGGAGCGCCGACGGGGTCCGATAACGATGAATGTACTCACTGCGACCCTGTTGTCAACAAGGACGAAAATCGAAAGAGGCGAGGACCTGTCAGCGCCGACAGGCTAGCTGCTAGCCAGCATGATGCTGAAATCGTGGCAACGTCGCCTCGGAGCTTTCGCGACGAGAGGGGCGTGGAATGGAGCAGAGAGAGGGACAAGGAACGCATGGCCTGGCAGCCAGACTTGCATTTGCATACTAATTGATTTCATCAAAACCATTCCCCTCCTCTTCAAACGACGCCTGCGACCGAGGCCGTGATTCTGATCGTGGACGTCGCAATGCCATACGGCAAGGTCACGCTGAAGACCTGGGACGCGTTTCTCCCCCGACGACGAGCATCAAAGTCAGACGAAACTCCACTACTCTCAAGGGCCCTCCTTATATTCGGTACTCGGATGCCAAGATGAAGCGACCGTACTCCCCCACGTGTACGTTCCCATATGCAAAGAGTCCATTGATGACTTCGATGGACTTCATCCAGTTATTTGCGGAGCAAATTGACAAACTCATGGAGACATCGAGAGAATACGAGGGGGATTCTGGTCTGAAACTCTTGAAAATTCGTCGCAATCTCCCAGCTTGGGAACCTTGATCGAGCGGCCCGGTCGGTTCTAATCCAAACACGATGCTCGTGAATTCAGAAGCATCGGAGCGTTTCACTCAGTCTCTCCCGGAGTCTTCTCGCGACGAATCTGACCGTCGATCCAGCTACATACGGATATTATCAACTTGTATGAAACTGTTAAATAATATTAATGCTTAGCAACTTCGTCAAGCCATATCATCGAGATGAACGTGGCATAGTTATTGATAATAGCGTTGAGAGCAGGCCAGGAGCAGGCTGATATGTTTACTTTTAGATTGTCTGTCTCGTTGTCTTGAACAACCGCTTCTACTCTAGCTACCTTGATTATCATCGCAACTCTGTTGGAGGGGGCCTAAGCAGTCTCCTCTGAGAGTGCGACCCTCCAACCCAAGTGTCCTTTGAGTCCTCGATCGAGGACCCATTTTCGTCATTCTTCACCCAACCACTTTCCCACGCACCATAAGCAAACGACCACTTGCATCACAGACACAAGAAATATGACACGGAATGCACGCCACCATCCGCAATCTTTCGTTAGGCATCACTCTGCTGAATTCGCGGCTGATGATGCGGACTCGTTTGTTCGTCGTATTGGGCTTTGATCCCGGGACGTTGCGGATGCTCGCGTCGGGAACAAGAGAATAAATTATATCGTCATGTAATTCTGGAGATTATACATAGGGAGAGCGCGGAAGCCATCATCGGTTCATATGGAACACGTTTACACGTCTCAATCGAATTCTTCTGATCCACCCCTCTTGCCCTTTTTCGACAATTCACGTCCCCCGACGTAGATCTAGAATAGAGGAATGTCCGACTCGGGAAGACGGCCGACCTCGTCGAGCGTGGCAGCCACACGCGCAGGAAGTCTTGTGGCTAACATAATTGATGAGTTCCTTGGTCGACGGTCACTTGTCGTCGGTTAGATTATAACTGGACGGATGGATTGCGTGGTTGTTTGTGCGAATGAAAAGTGCATGAGCGAGTCGGACATTCAGTCACAAACGGAGATTATGAAGCCGTTCGAAATGCTAGGCGAGGTTATTTCTGAGAACCCACTTGAAGGAGCGGCGCGTGAGACGCTTCAAGTGCGTTGTGATGGCGTGTCGAACACTTCAGTACAAATCCCTATCCCCCGTGAAGACCCAATAGTGAACAAAAAACGGTGGTGAAGACCGACATTGAAAACCGACGAAGATGACGACGACGACGAGGTAAACAACAGGTACTCTTTCAATGTCAGCGTCGTCGACAACAATGACGATAAGGACGGAAACGTTGAATGCGGACATCATGTGACGACAGCGACCTGTTCAGAGACTAGATTCAGTGCGAGAATGCCGCCGGAGCAGAAGTCGCTCGTTAGCGGCAGTGTTGAGCGAATCGAAGAAAAGTGCGTAGAGGACCATTGTTGCCCAGATGCGGTTGAGATGAGATAACTCTCGAGCATTTCAAGTATCATAAGTATAATACTTTGAGGGATTCACTTCCCTAATCGCCCCTCCAGGATCAGTATAGTATCGCATTGTTTGATCGTTCTCATAGAAAGTTCTGGCTTCGAATCGATGTATTGATCTGGATTCTGATTAGTGAGCAGTACGTTTCCGAACATCTATTTCCAGTCGTGCAAACTCGCATCCTTGATCTTCTCATCGTAGGGATTTCTTCGATTGATTCTGCTGATTATTATTGACCGGATCGAAGCTTTCATTGAGATCGATGAGTGAGAAGGAGGTTGTCAAAGACAGTGTCGGGTTGGGTCGATCGGGAAACGAGAGTTCCGCGAGTTCCGAATCGGAAAGGAAGTCTCGGCGAGAGGGACGCGAACATCGTTACGTTCTCTTCCCCTCAACAAATCGTCAATGTTGGAAGAAGGAAACAACAACCGCAGTCACCACAGCATTTTTGTGGAATAAAATAAAAAAATGTTACAATACGCAACGTGTCATGATCCATTCCCATCCCATTTGATCGACGACCCCTCAGGCTGGGCGAGCTCTTGAACATAACGGTAGGCTTCAAACGCATGAGGTTCTACTCTCGGCGTTCATCGACGACCGATACAGTCTCTCATAATCAGTTATCATGAGGAATCGGCCCAGTAACTTTAAAAGCTCCTGACCTGGGCCCGATACGACATCGATGACTCATGTCGGCGGTGAAAACTTTTGAGGAGTTTAGTTCCACTCTGAATGATCATTTCATTCAGAATAGGGCAATCTACCGCTCCTGGATAAATGCCCCAGCAGAGAGGTGACCCACGATGATCAGCTACGATGTGACTTCCATGTCCGAATTCGGGAAGCTCTCTCGGGAAAGCGCCAACTCGGTTCTAGAGGCGGAGGAAACCTCCTGAGCATCATTCCTGCATCGAATGACAATCAGCCCCGGGAGCTTAGCCATCTCTCAGCTTCGAAAATGGTGTAAGCGTCGTCCTCCGCTCACAACAGAACATCGCTCACTTCTCGAAGCAGCGCACGGAAATCGATGTTGCCTCGGAGGTGAAATCCCCAACGTAGAAGGTTATGCTTGGCTTGACTTTATAACTCTGCGAGGTTTACGAGGATCGAGTATTTATACTTACCCTGATCCTTCCGGCCGCTACCGCTGAGACTAGTCTTGCCATGCCATGGTCGTGTCGCCTGAACACACCTACAAAGGGAGCTCGTTTCAAGACACAACAAATTGGACTAGCCTCGTTGTTTGTGTCACCGGGTGTTCACTGGGACCCTTGAAACCCCGTCAGCAGAAGAGATATTGAAGCTCGGAAAGTATGCCTCTCCAGCACTCTCCCTATATCGTGAGTGCAATCGAAAAACATAATGGCCGGGAATGTCGCTCCTCTCTTCGCCTGCACAGAGCAAAAAAACAGTAGCGATAACGCTTATCGTTTTCTGGCGTGCTGATCCTCTCGTGGGAGCCAGGGCGGAAGCGCCGGCAGCAGGGGCGACGGTGGGCTGACTTTATCGCTCCGTTCGCTTATCGCAGCGGGGGCTCGAAATTGCTTCTAACGGGTCAAAATCTGTGCGTCGGCAAACTTTGAAAATTGTACATATGAACGCTGATGGTTGGAGCAGTTCCGAGCGGTTCCGCTATGAAATTCCTGGCGTGGGCTGAGTCAAGAATTTCGCTCCTTCCCAAGTTAGGTCGATCCCAGCGAGTTCGTCTCCTGCTTCTACACTGTGCTTCCGACCTCGTGCTAATTATCGGTATTCCCGGGGGATCCGAGTGTGTTGCATCATATCTGGCGATATTCGCGTTCGTGAAAGGTCGGCCGTCGACGAACGTCGCATGGGGCCGATGAAGGTCGCGAGGGTGAAACAAAAACAGCCCAAGCTTGGTGTTTCGGTTTCAGGCCCTGAATACGCAAACACTACCGGGGCAGAATCGATGTCACGAGTTCATTTTCGGGCTTCTGCGCGGGCCTCAGATTGTGGTCAGACGGATCCGCAAGGTCACGAGACCGGAAGACTCTCGGTTTGTCAAGGGCATTTGCATTGGAGAGGACTAATCCGGCGACTATCTAAGTGGACACGCACTCGCTGGTGGGTTCGGAGTGCGGCTCTCATTCAGGGAAGTCGGGACGGGGGCAGATGGACAGCTTGTCTGGCGGCTTGCTTGGTGCGAGCGATTTCCACAACTGACGTCAATCAATGAAAGCCCCATCCAGCCGGCGCGCATTGTTGGATACATGGAGCTGATATGTCGCTACTCTCTCGTTGGCGAAACTCACAACAGTGCAAAAGGAACCTGTTACAATATCCCGGGAGCAGTCCTCCCAGCGGACAAGCTACGGTAAATCCGCAGACGAAAAAACCGCGGCCATCGTTCTGGCGCGCTCCGAGTCCATGTCCCCTCGTGGAGACGCGGATTCGAGCGACATCGTGGGAAAATATGATCTGTATTTGGACTTCCATCGAGCACGGCGCAGAGTGAATTCGAGATGACCACCCGAAGAAGTCCCCAAGGCTTGGGTTTGGTAGGAGCGGGATCCAGACATGGTCGCAACTTCGCAGCGACCGGAAAGGAATATTAGAAAGTCGGCTACCCGCGACGTTGAGAACTCTGTCTTTCAAACCCACGAATCCTGCCGCTCCCGGAACCTATAGGTGGAAACCCACGGAAAGTGATTGCAGAGCTCGCTGGAGGCGAAATCCGAGCTCGAACATCCTCCGCATTCGGGCCGTCGTCCGAGGCCCGCGGGTTCCGGTGTTAACAAGCACTGGTGCACAATACCTGGCGTTTCATTAGCGTAGCTTCATTATTGACGTCTCCAACTTGTCTTCGATGTCTTGGTTTGTCATTAGGACCCCGTCTCTCCGTCTTCCTCGAATTCGGTCGAGCTCGGAGGATTTTCATTGTTTCATCACGGAGAATGACTCACATGAGGAGGCTCGAGTACCCACCGATAGTAACGCAGGATATTCCCGACTGCAGTCAATACTCTTAACCTTCGCTCCTTCGGAATATGTGCGAGAGATAACGGCCATCTTGGCGATTTCTGCGATTTCGAGACGGAAAGGGGAACGTGGAGGTTTCGCGTTTGCCGCATCTTCAGTGGGAGCCCCCAGTGCGGTCGTCCGAGCGCAGAAATAAATTTCCGCTGTGATAGTCTGAGGAAGTGCGTTGAGACGCGGAGGAAATATCGTTGCCGTACACGTCAGCTTCGTGACAAGATTCGAGGGTCGCGAAACGAAGGCCCTCGGTGAACTAAAGGGACCTTTTAGATATGTCACTGATTGAAGAATGACTTCATCTGAGCCGGTGCAATTGATTTCGAACCGGACGTCTGATCTCCAACACACTCCACTGCGCCGCTCAGATTCCGAGGCGAAGTTGTCGCGGAGCCGGTCGAAAAATCTTAGCAATATATTTCCTCTGCCTCTCGGAAAGCCCGATAAATTTCGTCGCCGATCCCCCTCACGTCTCCGCGAAAGCAGAACCCGGAGCCTCCATGAGTCGAGAATTCCTCGGGAGGAAACTTCCCGGCTGATGAGCTGCACGAACGAACAAGCCTATCAAAAGGCGGTTATTCTCCTGATTAGAAAGTTATTTGTACTGATTAGGGCGAAGAGCTTCCGTGATCCATGCAGAGAAGACCGTGATACAAGAATTGTCACTAGCGAAGCGGATAGCCGGCCTAAGAAGCGGAACTTGGAAAGGGAAAGGGTAGCAGGAATAAAACGAATCTAAATACAGCGCACCGAGGAGAAAATCTAGCTGGAACAGACGGAGGAAGTTTCTGACCTCAACAATGGCTTAGTTTCGCGGAGCCTTTCTCGGCTGACGTGACGAGAGCCGCTCTGAAGAGGAATCCACACCGAGTTCTTTGTGGAACTAATTTGTATGATAATCTGCCGAGTCAAACTCCAAGCCTCGCTTGTATTCGTTATTTGCTCATGATCCAGTCGCTCATACGACCTTGTGCGCGCACACTCCCCTTGTCCTGACTCGGTCTAGCATCAGAAGTTATATCGGCTCTACAGAGCTTTTCTGCTCTTTGTCTTCCGTGCGAAGCCCCCACCGTGGCCTCCGAATCCGAGGCCGAAATTTCTCAACGTGGCGCAGCCTCGTTGCGACTTGTGATCAATTGAACTTCGACGAAGGTCGAACTTTCGATAGGTAATACCGAGACTTCCGAACACGAGTTCCCCGTTTCCCCGAAAGAGGTGAGCGGGAATTATGCTGATCGAGGGGTCGGCGTCGGCAAGAGCTCGAAAGATAGGGGATCAGATAGCCGAGGGAGGCGATGGCTTCCTGCGCTCATTGAGTTCGGAGTTTCGTATCTTCACCCCGAGCTCCTGCCCAGAGACGTGAGTTTAACAGCATGAAGCCAATCAGAGTGTAAGAAACCGCTCGTTATATTTAGCGTGACGTATCGCCAGTTTGCTTCGCTTTTTGATTAATCTCATTTGCTGCTTCGAATCCGTGGCGCGAGAACTTATCGATTCTCAACGCAGAACTCGGGTTCGGGAGTAACCTCGACAATGTATCCAGACCTTCGTAAGAGTAGAATTTTTGGCGAGCGAGTCTCCGTTGGCTCCGAGATCAAGGCACCGCCTCAGAACACACGGCTGAAGCTACGAGATCCCAGCATGAGTCGGATATCACCCCAAAAGCATTTGTTCTCGGTTCGTCTATATTCCAGAGGCACTGGAAGAGTGATACCGGTTCTTGATCCCGGATCATGGAGAATCGCGACTGTCTCCGAATCTATTTCGAAAAACGCAAACTCACTCCCTCGAGTTATTTTTCATCGATGAGCCCTCTCAGAGCTGAGTGGTGTGGGGACGAGAATCACTCCTCTCTCTCTCTCTGGCCAGAAAGGAATTTGAGCTCTACGAAAGACAGGGAATTTCCTTGAGAAGAGAACTTCGACAGCGCTCGAAACGAATCTCCCGGAAAGTATGGAACTCTCCCGTCGAGTGAAAACGCATCACGAATCAGCAATCGTCCTTAAATATTTATTCCTTTCCATTATTTTTGTACACGATGGGTAATTTTACGTTTTCTAGGATGTTATACTTTATGAATGAGCTCTTCGTTTCAAAAACTAGCGGGATGTAGACTAGACGAGAGTAGATCGGCGAATTTGCGGTATCCAGGAACATGGTGCTATGCACGACTCGGAAGTCCGGGTGTTTCGTGAAATTTGGCTCCCTGCTGCTGACAACGACTGTTTCAGAGTCGATTAGGTAATTGCACTTGGACAGCGGAAAGTATCGGCTGACCTCTTCTTTGTTGGCGTCATTCATGTCCGTCGGGATGCGACGCGTAGCGAACTTCCCTTTCTCGAAAGGTTTCGGCAGTTGACCGCGGAACTCTGATTTAATGAAGTGAAGTTCCCAATGATCGGGAAGGAAGAAACTATTCGGGAAGCGGTACCATTCCTTGCCTACACACAGATGGACCGGTTGGCTCGGGACGGGGGGTCTGTTCAATGACTCGGGATTTGCGAGTCTCCCGAGTTCCATCCCAGTGGTTATGGGAGCGTGATAGCCTTTGTACAGGAGAATGCTTCTACTCATTCCGAGGAAGCAGGAGAGCATCAAGGGGATGAGCCACCACTTCTCATTGATTTCCAGATGGTGTTTTATTGATGACGCCCCTCCCTTGAAGAACAGCCTATGAGCCCATCTTTGAATGAGATCGAACGTTACCACGGCGTTCAAGTTGATCAGCGGATACACGGGGAAGAGGAAGCGTTCCTCTTTGTGGGGCTGACTGAAAAATATCGCGAACCAAATATACATCCCTAGAAGAGGTAGTGCTTGGAGCCTCTCGGTAGGTACTTTATACAATTTTGTGAGCAGCAGCAAAGGCAAAGCTGCGAGTGCCATCGGAAACGCGTAATTGAAGTTGATGACGCCGTTCTTCAGGTAAAAGGACAATGGCTCCGTGCCGTACAGGTTGGGTCCGTGCTCTGAGAAAACATTATACGCCACAATGTTCAGCGCGGCGATAGTGGACTTGCCGAAATAAAATGTGTCTATTGCCATCACGATCGGCAGGATAATCATCACCGACAGTATTCCGTGACGCACGAATTGTTGGATTTCTCTCCGGTAGAACACGATGTCAATCGCGATAGGGATCCCCAGTGCTCCAGCGAAGGGCCAGCCGACGAATACACTGAGCGCCGTCGCGAACACCGCGAGGAATAGGTTCTGCTTCCACCACGCTGCGTACGAGACCATGAGCATTTTCATGGCGAACGACGACGGCAGGAACGCCGTCGAAGATATGAACATGCCGGCGGAGAACGTTGACAGGAGGACGTACAGCTTGGCGACGTGATCACCGAATTTCCGGCGGATCGCGCGGTAGAAATAGATCTCACAGCCGGCTTCGACGAAACCGATTACGCATCTCATGAAGTAGAATACGAGCATCCGTTGATTCTGGAGGAGATTGTCGTACACCAGCCCGGGGAGTGCATAGATCCACAAGTAGGCGTACGAGCGGATGGCGTACAGCGGACTGTACTCCCATGTTTGCATACCGGATCCGTACATGAGGTAGTGCGTGGGTTCCCAATAATTGTAGGTTTCATCGCAATCGGAGATGTTGCTCCAAACAGCTGCACAGAGGCGCGCGGAGATCAGAACTTTGAAAGCTAGGTAAACTTCGGGTGACCACGTAAGCGGTTCCAGCTGTTTATACTCGTGTTCGATAGGAGAGACGGCTTCATCCTCCCGCTTGGTTGAGATCGGAGCTTTTCTGCGGTCTCGGTTCATCGCTACATCAATCCGTCACAAGCTGGACTTTCGCCCGGCGAACGCCACTGGCTTCGCACAGATGATCGGGAACTTCAAAATAAACGTAGAGCCCAGTCCGGCTGTCTGGCTATACGGAGCGGATGAACGCATTTCGGCTCGAGCTGGGCGCCTCGAGATGATGAGAAAGAACTTCCGTAGGGTTCTACGCACGCGACCCATGGAATCGGCCCCGCATATAATTATTTTTTCCCCGAAGGTTTCGACATCAATGAATTCCGATGGTCTCTTATCGGGGCAGAAACAGAGCGAATCGAGCGAGATGAGTTTTCCGGCGTGAGGAGTTCGCTCACGCGGAATTCGGTATACTTTCAGTTCCGGGAAATCGGAATCGACGAAAATCACTTCGGTAGGACATGCGGTTCGTCGGGGGTCGTTTCCCAGCACGACATCTACGACCGGCGGACTGTTGAGAAATTGAGGTCGACTTCGAGTCCTGCCGGCCATTAGCGGGATCTTCCAGAAGTGATGAGACATGTCAGATTTGTAAATTGACGGGAGGACTCCTCCAAGTGCCTCATGCGCCAGAGCTCGGACCGCAGTTGAAGAGGTAAATGCCTGTCAATGTCGATGATCGAGGCTATCGTATTATCCACGTTGTCCAGGACCGTCCTGTTTTGTATCCATGGATACCACCACCCTTAGTGTGAGCTCTGTACCGGCCCTTTGTTTTTAGTTGCAGTTCGGAGTGCATTCGGAAGGTGAGACTACTACTATTTGTTGATTTATCGAGACGGTTGATCCCTCGACCTTCGGGGAGTACGAAAAAATGAACATGTCGATTCTCGGCGTCGCGTGCGCCTGCGCAATCCTCCCGACTCCGCTGAATCGTAGAAATTGAGGCGAAGAAATAGCAGAGGAGATTGGTTTCGACACTTAGTGGAGATTCTCATCGCAACCTCAGCAACAGAGTCGACTCAAACCTCGAGGCCACCCGTGATGGGCCAGGGCATAGCGCTTTCCTCCTCAAGGCTGGGGAGTCTATAGGATGTTTACCGGCGATCAGAGCATGTTCCCCCCATTCATGATTCTTATCCTGAAGGGATCGAGAATCATGAGCCAGCGTTCTCAAATCATCTTGTGCACTGACCGTGACCAAGTTGGAGCGTTGAATGACTCGCACTTGAGCATGAGAGGATGTCGTGAGACGCCTCAGTTGAGATTCTCTTCACAGGAAAATGTCATTATTCAAAGTTCGCGACTTCTGGGAAGCCAAGGGTTCTGAGGATGAAGAGTATTCTGGAGTGGGTTCCGTGTGTTTCCATCTTATCGACGGTCTTGGTAAGTAGTGTCTGCCTTCGGTGTTATCGTATCCTTCAACACGAGAGACGAGAGTATGTAGATAGACCAGACAATGGGACGTGTCCTCGCTCCCTGGACGAACGCCCATAAGAACTTGAGGCGCCTCGTCAATCGTTCCGCCGGTCCCCTTTAGAGTGCGAATGTTCACTCAGGCCTCACGATTGTTTCACACAAGGCTAGTCCATCCCGTCGTCGTTGAGAAGAGCATCTCTGATAAATAATTATTGGGACGGTGCGGCGTCGGCGGCCGGAGTTCCTCAAGAGCAGCACTCGACTCCATCGTTAACTGACCGGACAGTTTTTCTTCGTTTCAAATTCGTCTGTCCTCGCACACCCGTGTTCCTCGCGTTCGTCGAGTCTCAAGTTTCCCTCGAGTGCTCTCGAAGTCATCTTAGTAATGGGAAAAATTATTCCATCCGCAGACTGCCTCGTCACGGGGAACTTGGCCGGGATTCTCCGTGTCTTCCACGTCGAGGGCCTTGTCGCCTATAGAGCCGACCACCTATTGATAGAGAAGGAACTAGGACAACCAATACTACAAGTTGCCTTCGGGAAATTTGCATCGAGTTCGCCCGAATCGTCCACATGCATTCTTCATCCGAGAAAGATTTCCGTTGTCTCAATAAAAGGTAGGAGGCTGCAAGACGCTGACCATCGAATCCAGAGGGACTTTATTCCTTCGCTGCATTCATCTGTGAAGAGAGAGCTCGCTTACAGCCAATGCCCTCGGTGGAAGCACACAGTTGGAGGCGAGCTTGGAAACGCTTTACGAACACAGGCTGGAGCGATGCAGTTACTTGTTCAGCCAGGGTCCGTTCGGAGGAGCCTCAGGTTTGTGATGATTCCCACCCTCCCGCTCGTTCACGGTCCAGAGGTTCTGTCCCCTTGATCGCGAGGCGGGCTCGAATCAAAGCCTTTCACGCCCAAGGGAGAATTCCTCTTCCAGCAAAGGATCTGATCTGCGTACAGAGCGTCGATGGCGTCCTGAGTGTTTTTGATCAAGAGAGCCATGCATTTGATCGCCCCCTTCCTGGAGTGGTACTCCCAGGTCCACTAGCTTACGTGGGTCAAACGGATTCATTCGTGACAGTGACCTCAAATTTCACTCTGGAAACTTTCCGCTACCAGGTAGGCTGCAGGTGCCCGTTCCTGTTGTCTTCTCTCGGAACCCTTGTCGTTAACATTTATTCGCCCTAATGGAACCCGGTACACAAAAATGGCTCTCTCAGAGGACATTGGGGAAATTCTGCCAGGAAGCTCAAAGATCGCAGTATCCTGCCGACTTCGGTTCCGCTCATTGCAACCGACCGTGAATAGATATTCGGGATAGATAGATCTCGGCGCCGTCGAGTATACCATGAAATTTTCGTATATTCTCGGGAGTGTGATGCATTCGTTTGCCCCAAGGTACTCGCGTCAGCGACTCTCTCAGACGACGCACAACCGGGTGTTCGAGGGAAACGTGTTATCGTAAGTCGCGTCCTTACCATGAATACATATCCACATGGCACCTCGATTGATCTGGGTCGGTAGAAACGATTGCTGTTCAATTAATTCTTCCACAGTGCGAATGGAGTCGGTCCTTAGGTGAAATGGTATCGGATATACAAATAGCCAATGGATTGAACGAACAACTAATATTCTGTCTAGGTCAGTACCTAGGGTCTTCGAGGAGCTCCCTGACTCCCAGCCGCGAAACTTTCCGATGGTCAACCGCCAATTTCCGAATGAAATTTATTCCTGCCGAGAAAACAGGTGCACCTCTCTTTCCTGATTCTTTCAGGCGAACAGACCTTGTTTGTGCTCAAAACAAATGCAGAACTCGTGTACACCAAACGCTTCGACTACAATCCTCGTTGTTTCCACGTCTATCAAAGAGGTGGGTTATCCTCGCTTAGCTCGTATACTTCCTAAAAATTATTCCGATCTCGGGGCATTCACCAAGTCGTAGCGAAAATGCGACTCGCTGCTCTGTGTTCAAGATCCCAAAGACCCCTTCTTCTTCACGATGATCGCGTCCCAGAACAATACGATACTAGTCTATGAGAAAACCCAACTGCGGTGGGCAGCGCAGGTAGATGATACAACTGGAATTACGGCTGCGGTCAGAGCAGACTTCACTTTTCAAAAGGTGCGTTGACGACTCACAGGAGAATATACGGCAGGAGTCGAGTCTAACCATGGATGGAAGCTGACCAATCAATCAATCCTCTTCAGCTGTATGTGTGCTCTTCCACTCCCTCCGAGTCCTAGCGTGGCTCTACATGTATTAGTAATCTGGGTTCTGGGGTCCGAGGGGCGTCGGAGTGTCTGCGAAGACCCGCAGAATCACGACTCTCATCATCTTCTGTATCCAGGGTATCATCGTTCTCCTGAATGACAACGCCAAGCTTCGGCTCTGTTACCTCGGAACGTCACCGTCTCTCTTCATTGCACCGGCCCCAGAGCGGAGAGAAATGTCCACGGATCCCCTGGAATTGAAGAAGCTCCAGGCCCTAGCTTCCGGAGGTGAGCTTCCCAGGATTTCTGCAGAGCAATCGCACGCTCTCCATCATACGAGGGCGAAAGCTCCAGTTTTGTCTTTGGGTTCTTTCTTTCCAGCCGCGAGGGTCGATGAGACATCCGATCAGCCATTGAGTGTTGACCTCCATCTCGGCGGATTGCAAATGCTGGTCTGTACCAGGAGACTACTTGCGTGATGTGAGCTCATCGAATTTCCATTTCTGACGAAGGTTCTGCAATGGTCTGCAATTCCAGAATGGAACTCCGGCTCAAACCGTGCAAATCACGCTGGAACCTCCGATGAATACGCCGCCGCTCGAGGCCAGAGTGCTCATCGTGCCTCCTCCACCGTTTGCGGCTGAACCCGTCGAATTCAATCTCACGAAATGCGAGGCCAAAACAATTTTAGAAGCTTCCGTGAGTCCGAAGAAAGACTTCACACCAGCTGACATGGTACTGCGTGTCACCGTCATCTATCGACATCCCAAGCTCGGTATCAGGGTGAGCCCATCGATGTCCTCTCTCGCGACCCATTCATCAAGCCGAAGCAAAAGAGGAAACGAGAATGTCAGCCTCTGTCTTCAGGTATCACAAGGAGACGTTGACTTGCCCCTCGAACTCGTTGTGAGAACGCATCCGAATCCACCGAAAACGGCGAAATTCAAGGTGACGCTTGAGTCTTCGCAAAGCGCCATTCCTCCCCAAGAATTATTCCCGTCTCTCGTGCGAGACGCATCGACGGAAGTTGAATTCGAATTCCTCAACGGGCACCGGGTTGGTTTCTTCGCGTCTGGGAACAAGTATCGCATCCAAGGTGAGCTCGAGGGGCGGACGAGATCCTCGTCAACGCACATGCGACCCTCCTCCTCTTTTCCATGAAACCTTCGGGAAACTCCTAACTTCCAGGAGACGTTTACCCGTCGTTGGCTCTAATCGTTGACCAATGCGTCAAGAAATTCCATGCAGCACAACCCGAAGCGAAGCTGACGACAAAGCCTCCTGTCTTCGACGATTTCCTTCAGGTGATCGCTGATCACATCCAGGTGAAAATTGATCGATGTCGACCGCAAATAATATTCAGTCGCCTCCAGCCTTAGGAATCCGGAAACATGGAAGGGTCGAAGCAGAATAGGTGATACAGGCCCTTTATCCCCTTCAGTCGATAGTGGCCTTGGAAGACACGGAAAAGCGGCTGGAGCAGCTGGCGAGTCAGTATCGAGCCGTTGAGAAACGACTACTGGCTAAAACGAAAGACAAGACGCCGAGTCCCTTCAATAATCTGGACAAACTCCTCGAGATGACCCACCACGATGTAGGCAATTAATTTCTTTCCTTTCCCGTATACTTTGAGCCCTCGAAAGTCTCCGGAGCTCGGGCTCGGACTACGCTCGCGGAGACAACCAAAATCCTAATGCGAGGGCATTTTCCTCCAGTTGCTCCGTACGGCGGACGAAGCTATTCGTGTGCAAGCGGGATTGCCAGTGACGGCGTCGGCTCTTAACGCCGGCGGAATTCTAGCCACACACCTGTTGGTGCTCTCGAACAGAATTCCGCAGAGCTACCGAGAGACGGTGGCTAACCTCTTGAACTGCCAAGAAGAAGACCCATTCTCTGAAGTAAGCGCAATTGTTCCGGTGGCATAGTGTACTCGGAAGGCATGGAGCAGTTGCATTCGTACGTTATACGTGTGAGCGCGAGCTCGCAAACGCTCAAGAACTTGCTCTTTTCCAGTTCTGGGAGGAACACACGACCTCCGCCCTGTGTTCGCTGATGAAAGAGTTGAAAATCGGTAAAGGACTACACGAAAGCTCGGGCCTTCAAGCATTGCTGGCAGTTTTGTGGGACAACCAGCTTGAAGAGGGAACCGAAGAACAGCAGCTGAAGATGCAGCCCGAAGAGGATGTGCAAGAAGACGCCGCGGGGAGAGGACATGAACAAGCGGGAAAGGATGAGGAGGGGGAGGGTGGCGATCAGTGGTGAATCGAGAGTTCCTTTAGCGAGCACAATAGTGACAAGAGCACCGCATGCAGCCCCTATAGACTCGGACCAGAAAGGAATATCATCACCGAAATAAAAATATAATTGTGTGTATAGTGAGTTCACTGGGGGGGTCTCCATTTCCGGCTTCAATAGATAGAAACGCCCAAGAGAAACGAGAAGTGAGCCACGTGTTGACGTGAGTCGGCTCTCCCAGTGAGCGGCCCCTTCTCTCCCGCTCTTCTGCCCTGCCACCGTCGACGGCCTTCAGAGGCGAGGGCCCTGTAGCGCGGCGGAACCCGAGCGGCAACAAGCGGCAGCAAAACAACTGACGTGAAATTGTGCGAATATCCAACGAAAAATACTCCGAACTCAAAGTAGGTGCTCTCTAGAATGTTTTAGTTACGATCGCAATCGACCGGACCCGTCTGGAACGCTACAAATGATCACCGTACGGCAAACGGAGAAATGGGCGCGGTCCTCCGAGGCTAGAGTTGTTTACATAGACTCCCGAACTCCGCGTTCGGTGGATATGATCGGGCTCGCTCCTACTTTTCTCCTACGCGCAGCCCGGACTCCGGAGACTTCGTAGGAGTGCACCGATGTGAAAACTGCTTGCCTCGAATCCGAGATTCGTCTTCGGTAGACTCTGTGTTTCGTGTTCACGGGGCTCGGCTCAGGAGTGGACAACGATGACATCTCCCAATTTTCTGGAAGTGCTCGCCAGCGCTCTTCGCTCAACGGAGCAAATCCTTTTAGAACAATTATCCCTCGGTCATTCTCGATTTGGACGAGAGAAAGAGATCTAGAATTTCAAGTTGGTGGAGAGATAAGGTGGGCTCGTCCCATTTTCTGATGTGAGTTAGGCAGCTGCAGCTGGCAAGTTGCTACCTACCGAATCGAGAAAGAGAGTGCGTATATGGTCACTCCAGTGTCCGGCTAGAATCACCGCAAAAACATAGTACGTTTATTCCGTCACGATCTCGGATTGTGCGTACGTATGCACCACGTATTTTCGGCTAAATTCCCCCTATTCGTAAGGAAGCGATGGGCCGCAAGCATAGCATAGTCTCCGATCCGATCGAGTGAGCCCTCGGGCCCGCTCGATCCAGATGACCGGCGCGAATAGTCGAAGTCAGAAACGGTTGTCGTCTGATTAGGAATAGAGAACCGCGACGACAAACGAATGAGCGCTGAACGATTGGCTGGTCAGTACTACCGTTTCGCTCGACAAAGCGGTGAACAAATGTTTATATACAATGAGTAATCACGTCTGGAACTAGGGGAGTATGTACATCTATCGTTTTGATGATTCGTAATGGCTGTTGACGATGTCGCCGCTGCCGCCGTCCCTATCAACGCACATTCGAACACACCAACAACACTCACTGAACGACGAGACCCAATGATGATGCTGATGATGGAGAAGACTCGAAGAGGCGGTAACGCATCGTTTCTAGCTGGCAATTGTCTAACAATGTCCCTCCTCTCAGAGAGCGAGCGAATGATCGAAGGTATGCGCGGCCCGGCCAAAGTGAAACAGACAGCTGATCTATATTCGAAGACTTCCGACTTCTAGGAGGTCAAAAGGCCCGAACACTGCTGCTCTCGACTCGCAGCGAACTGCGAGCGGAATTCCTACAGTACTTGTTCTGTCTGTAGCGACCGACTGCAGAGAATTCTAGCCGATCGCGCAGCGAGGCGGCGAAAGCTGTTGGCTGAGGACGGAAAGTCTTACAGTGAAGCTGCTGCTGATGTTGTCGTTGTTGTTCTCGCTGCGCTGCTAACGCTCACGACTTCTCAAGGCCGGGCATAAATGAAGTTGAGCCTCGCAGTCGATCGAAATTTTCATTAAGTCATTCATAAATATTCGATCGTATGATTCCGACTCGGGGAATATCACACACGAGTTAGAGAGAGGTTCGCGAATGTGGATCTTGCCCTGGGCTAATAAGCGCCGCTGTCATTGATCACTATCGAGCCAGCAGTGATGAATGGAACAACAGTAAAAAGTCTTCGCCTATTCTCCTTGCAGAGAGAGAGAGAAAGCAACGAGAGAACTATGGCGCCGACTAAGGATAATGACACTACTCATCTGGACCAGTTCTCGGCCGAGGAACTCGAGGACATCCTCGTCCAACTGTGCGATGCCGAAGGTGTGAAAGTGTCAGCTGATGATGACAAACCGCTTAAAAACCTCGGCAAGAACGCTCTGGACAACGCGGGACTCGGCGGGCTGGGTAAGTAACATTCCGTTGTCGTTGTCGTCGTCATTGTGGTCTTCTTTGTCGCTGTGGCTGTCGTACGATGCCGCTCTGCCTCCACCCACGCGAACGATTCCAAGACACGCGGGAGCAATTTACGCGGGTTATTTTTAGAGTATCAGTTTGAAACATTCTTCTCTTCAGTTGTTTATGTGTTTGGCTGGTGGACGTCGTCTACCGATAACGGATAGCTTCATAGATGGTTTATTAGGTGTTTCGCGAAGCCGGTATTGCGTTTCGCCTTCTGCTCGGTTCTCTCGTCGTGGACTGGCTTTCGAGGTTTTCCCCTCCAATTTCCAACTCCTCGAATTCCAGGCAAGAAAATATTCGGGAAGAAAAAAGCGGAGAAAGGAGCTAAAGAAGAACAGCCCCCAGAATCTCCCGATGGAGCCGCCCCCGCAGAGCCTGAAGCCGCGGCCCCTGCAGCACCCGCGGCGCCCAGCCCTCCGGCACCGAGACCCGCCTCCGACGTGATCCGTGAACTCAATCTAGGAGATAAACAAGGTCTCATCGGCGTTTTGCAGAACGTCATGGGTAAGCTGAATCTGGGTTGTAAATTGTAAATGATGGAGTGCAGTTTCCCTGGGAGCTGATGATTTTTCACCGCTTTGTGTGTCTCGAATCTTTTATGATGAGTTTGCTTAAATTACAGCCTCTGCCCTCTCTGGTGAGCTAGACGGAAGCAGCGCCGGCGGAAACCGTAAGTGTGAAATTGGCTTTTTGTATTACTGCTAACAACAGCGATGCGACGACCGCCAGTGCTGGTAAACCACGACCGGAACTAAAGACGAACGCTCGTTGGCTCACCCGGCTAGTCAGTCTGTCAGTCAGTCCTGCAGTCAGTCAGTCGGTCGGTCGGTCGGTCAGTCACTACCAACCAGCGTTCATATGTCTTCAGTGGGATTCTTTGTTGGTTGCTAACCTAAGGGCTTTTGCTATACACGCTGCTAGGACGCCAGTTGACTCTTCGCGCGTTGGCAACCTCTGGTAAGAGGAGGAGGCGGAAGCGTTTTTTTCCTGCGCTCGAAACAGATAGTGAAGAAGCGCTCGAAACGAGAGAGAAGTCGTCTTCGAATGTCTAACGTGGTCTTCTTTCGTAGCTTTGTTCGCGTGCTTCGGTAAGCTCCTCAGAGGGGGGGGATCGAAATCTCGCAACGCCATCCAGACCAGCAGCACTCAGGGAGAGGAAAACCAGACTGACGGGGCGACTTCTTCCGGAACGAACGCTCCAGGTTGGGAAGAGGCTCGAATGATCCATAATTGACTGATCGCAAGAGCCGGCAGTCCCGGTAAACACGAATAGACGATCAGGAATCGATAGCGATCCTTTCCTTGCTTTGCAGCTGCCGTTCCATCGCTAGAGGATCTGAAGACTCCCGATGCCCTCCTGAAATACATCACAGGTCATCCCGCTGTCAAGACCATGCTGATCTCTGGCGTGCAATCTTTCCTCGCGAAATCACTCCAGAACGCACAGGCCGGGAAGGCATAGAACGACAGTTCTCGCCGATCAGGAGAGCACAGTGCGGATCATTGAAAATCGATTCTGTTTGGGATTTTGAATTTATGTTTATATGCTGTGAATGTCTGCGGTAAGAATCATTGAACCGGGAGCGCTATCTCTAGTCGCAAAGACCGAGAGTAACTGCGAGGATGCGAATACTTGTGCTAACGGCTCGGAATCGGATTGATTGGGGCAAAGAAATTGTACATGTTTGGGGTTGACATCTCCGCAGGAGAGAAATCCGCGGCGAGCTGAGTGACCATTTGAAGCGGACGAGGAAGCCATAACGGCCCCTCTCCGAACTGTTCATGAATTGAGATCTGGAGAAGAGTCGGCCGACTCGGAAACCCACCTCAAAGAAAGTCAGACTGTTAACTTAAATAGCGAAAAACAAACAAAGGATACACATTCGACAAGGTGCTGCGGTATCGAGCTCGGTGAACCAGTCCCAATGATGAAAATTGATTTCTTTTAAACTCTACCGCCTGAAACGTACCTACCTCCCGTCCATTCTACTCTTTCTTTTCCGACACTACTCTACATATACAATGTTTAAAAGTAAGTCCGCATAACTTACTACATAGCGAAAACATAGTAAAGTTGAGCTCTTTACCCACTTGCGGGACCCTTCTCCGGTCGACCGACTGGACAGCGATTGAGCAAAATCAGCATAGACAGTCGAACGATGAACGAACAAAAAGGACAGTTCAATTAGAGCAAGAGACCGGCGTAGTGATCCGAAAGACTCAAGTGCGTACATATATATGTAGTAGGTGCTGGCACGGGGTCCTGCTCATCGGTTCAGCTCGAACCGAACCCTCATAATCATATCCCTTCTACTATACGATAGATATACAGGTTCGGATGTTTACCTCGTACTCGGTAATCTTTTTCGCTCTCAATCTATACATCTGCTTCTGCTCCACGGAATAAATAATAAGTCTCCTCATCAAAGTCGCCGACAATCTGTTCACATTCTGTTTTTGAAATCACTGCGAACTACAATTTCATCGATAACAATTCACCCATTACCACCGTCACTCACTTATACATTGATTGAACGACACAGGCAAGTATTCTACGTATTTGATGCGATTCTTTTTCTAATTGATATACCCTTGACAACATTATCTACCATCACTAATACCACAACAACTATCACAATTACATACGAACGAGATTTACCAGTTCAGGCCGATGATGACTGATGAGACCCAGGCATTTGCCGTCCACCACAGGTTTTGTCGTGTAACTTTGTCTCAAGTTTAAATAAATCAATCTACTATTCGACCGTATTTCTCGAGTATTATATGCCCAAGCCCACGGGATGGATCGTATCATGGCCAGGCTATTGAACCGATCGATAATTCACGAAAAGCTTCGCGAAGCGTTTTCGTGATCGGACGTTCGCATGCATGGAGCTGGCACCCGGCGTCTTCGTTCAGAGAACACCTCAGCGACCCTTATGAGCGGTTCGATCATCTCATTTTTTAGAATTCAATCATCATCGATAACAAGCTCCGAAAAGATCGGTTCGAGACCTCGAGACGCTCCTTGCGGTCGAAAACTGCTTAGCAAACACATAACGAAGCGGTCTCCCATTCCTGGTAGAGCTGCGAGAGGGTATTGAAGTTGATGACGCGTCGGAATTCGATCCTACTGTATATGTCCGTCGATCTATCTAAGACCGCCGGAGGGATGCCGTGCGATTTTCAGCAATAGAGAAGCCTCCGTAGGGGATATTCTGGGGCTTCTTCGAAGCTTAATATGGCTCTGCGTAGAATGATGCAGAGGATATTTCACGTCCAGTGTGCTGGGGAGCGTCGTCCGAATCGTTCCCCGAAGCTCTGCCACGGCGGGACGGAATTCTATTTTTTTTTCTGCATCCTCGTTCTCTCCTCATCCGCCATGCTCGTGCTTTCTACGAGTTTTTCTTGTCGCCTTGACTGACGCGCGGAGCCCTCGTCCGATTTCGAGTTCGCACGCTCACGCTGTGCCCTTTCGCACGATATCTTCTGCGAGCCAATGACGAGTCTCGACGCCGGAGCCGAGTCCGTGTATATTCCAAGCTATTTCGCTCTCTTCTGCAGAGCGTGTCCCCAGGTCGTGGTCACCGAGCTTCATTCTTCCGCGGCGACTCACGAAACCTTCGTGAGGCTGTCATTAAGGCTGTTCCTGTTGTCCAGTTCGGCTTCCCACCAAAACCGAACTGGATAAGCCATTTTCGTTGCGGGCTCCCGTGTAATCGGCAGGGCGATAGTCACTCAATCATGCTACCGCGGTGACAAAACGCGGAGCAGAGGCGTCGAAGATGTGGTCTGCAGTCCGAAATCACGTGAACGGATCAGGTTTGGCTCGTTAGGCCATCTCGCGCTCATGTGGCCCTTATTCCGCTTGGACGCCCTGCCGTGGAGTTTTGGAGTTCCTTCTCTGCTCAATTCCGCTAGCTGAGGTGTGGGTCTGGATGGGAATATCCTTTAGGGTTTAGATGGTTTTCCCCCGAATGGCATTCCGGAGATGTAGATCGCGATCAGACGACGCCGACGGGGGTTCATGAAACGCGCAGCATCGGTTATTTATATGCGCCGGGCGTTCCGACCAAAATCGACCTGATCAAGTCATACACCGATTGGTACGAGCCGGTTGGCTGGGCCATTGGCTGCCGAGGGACCCGGGCAGATCTTTCGACCGCGCAGCAGCATAAGTGAGGGGACTCCTACTCCTGCTCTCGGACGATACTCCCTCCTCGCCGGATGTCGCATAGGGACATTCGGTGCTCAGAATATACTCTGACGGAGGTTCACGGGGGGCTTTCAGGACCGTCGCAGCTAAAGGCTACGGTAAAAAACGTGTTTCAGAATTATCTACATTCTGACTCAGCTGGGGAGACCAAGAATCATTCGTTGCACTGATCGTCCAGTGTTACGCGTGTCAGAATCATAGAATCCCGATTTAAGCGCGCTGAAAACTCCTCCACTCGGTCTCTACAGGTCGCTGTTGAGCACTCCGGGTCTTCCCTCTGCTCAGATCGATTGTATGCGACTAGCATGCTACCTTAGGTGGAGGATGACTGATCATTTGATCATAGCCTCGAAGAATTTGAATTTCGCGCCACGATACATTCCCTCCAGGGCCTCCTCGCCCACTACACAGCGTACAGAGCAGACAAACTTTTCGGCGAAAAGCCCGTAAGGTCCTGTTTCCATTTTCCCGTGAGGAATAGAGAAACAACAGAACTGATCGAGAAGCGAAGGAAATTCCGGAACGGGAACTATTCTCGACCCTCCCTCGCATAACTGATCAGTGAAATCGAAAGGTGAGTAAGCGACTCCGTTCCTCATCAGACGACACAAGAGTGTTTGCATTCGGAGTGCCGAAATCCGGCAGGTGACTCTCGAATACGATTCTCGTGCATAACTCACCCGGTCCGGACCTGTCTCGCCGTAGGAGTTCAAGTCGCACAAAGTCGGTATTCCCGACGGGGTCTTTTCGCTCCCTGACTCTCGATTATTTATCGCTGACTTATTCTTCCTATCCTCTCGTCTGCAAGGCTGGAATTCTCATTCAGTCAGCGGACAATTGCTACCGTGACTCTTTTGCGATTGAAAATCCCCGTTGAACACAGTAAACAGAGGGCTGGTGTCGGTGGACGACCCTCTGTTTGAAGAAAGTGACAGTGTGGAAATGTTGAATCCAAATGATGCAGTCGATCGGGTGTGGGGGCGAAGTCCATTGTTGGGTTTGGCTTCTTTCTCAGAAGGACCGACCGAGCCCGTCGTTCTGCCCTCCCAAGAACTATTCCTTATGTCCTGCCGGATTCGGTTTGAATCTCAGAGAGAATGGAAATAAATGATCAGGCTCCATTCATCGACTCCCACACAGTTTCTTTTGAAGTTTGCATCTTCTTCTCCCCTTGTTTACCCCCAAATTCGTTTTCAGATGGACGCTCCTGCGGCCCTCAAAAGGTGGGAATTGGAGAATCGGATTGACGATGTGAGCGCCGATGCCATCTATCGCTTCGACACGGTGCAAAACCGTGACATTCTCCACGCCAAACCGTGGGAAAAGGACAGACATTACTTCAAGGACATCAAGATCTCGGCTCTTGCTCTCCTGAAGATGGTCATGCACGCCCGATCCGGGGGTAATCTCGAAGTGATGGGGCTGCTTCTCGGTGAGTTCCTACATCCGTCCTCTCGATGCACACGCTCGAAACATTTTCCGAACATTCGCGCCATCGGCGGTAGGCTCGAATCCGACCTTATAAAAAGTTGCGTAGGGTGTCTCAACCATTTCCTTCATGGTTGCAGGAAAAGTGGACGCGAATCTCATGATCGTCATGGATTGTTTCGCTCTCCCAGTCGAAGGCACCGAGACTAGAGTGAACGCTCAGACCGAAGCGTACGAGTACATGGCGACATATACAGAGGCTTGCAAGCAAGTTGGTCGTCTCGAGAATGTCATCGGATGGTATCATTCACATCCTGGCTACGGATGCTGGCTCTCAGGTTTGTTACCCCCACAGCTTCACGCCTTCCTACGTCGCCTTGAATATGCTCCTCTCAATACTTTGAGCCCTGCGCAAGAGTATTTCTCATTTTTGAGTTCAAATTCTTCCTTTTTCGGGTTCAGGTATTGATGTGTCAACTCAGACGACAAATCAGCAGTATCAGGAACCATTCGTGGCTATCGTGATCGATCCCGTGAGGACCGTCTCAGCGGGTCGTGTGAATCTCAGCGCTTTCAGAGTCTATCCCAAGGTGCGTTCGACAGATATTCGAGTCCAGTCGCAATCTCGAATTTCGTGGCTGAAATCCGTCCAGTACGGCCGAGACTGAGAGAATCTTCTCCCTACAGGGCTATCAAACGCAGAAGAATGGCGTAGCCGAATATCAGAGCATCCCTCTCTCGAAGATTGAGGATTTCGGCGTTCATTGTCATCAGTATTATTCATTGGACGTCAGCTACTTCAAAAGTTCGCTTGATGCAGCCCTCTTAGATAATCTATGGAACAAGTATTGGGTCAATACACTGAGCAGTTCGACTCTCCTCACAAACGCAGAATACAATACAGGTGGGCTCTTCTCTATTGGAGTAGATTTCCCGGCTGCATTCCGTTTTTTTTCTGCGGGAGGTGATGACATAGCAGACGGGTTTTTCTTGCAGGGCAAATCATTGATCTTGGTGAAAAGCTGAAGTCAGCCGCGAGTCAGATGCTCGTCGTTAGCATGAGCGGAGTCGACGAAGAACAGTGTCAATTGAATAAGGCGAATAAGGACGCATCGAAAGCTACGGTTGAAGTGCTTCAGGGGCTCATGACTCAGGTGAATACAGGTCGATGGGAGTATTTAGTGGTAAACCATCCTACAAGTGGCTTTTTGCTGATCAGTCGAATTCGATTCAAGGTTCTCAAGGATCGACTCTTCAACCAGATCAGCTGCGCTAAAGATCCCCAAGCTCCGGCAAATTAGTTCGCACCGACCCTCTGGCACATCTAACAATCACATCCGTTTGTATAATGTTTCTTTCATCGCGGATGCTGGGGCGTTCCCGTCGGAGCGGAGTTCATGGGAGACGAGAGCGTTCGGTGAGATCTTCCGGCGCAGAGCTCGATCATGATGGAGGATGAAGACGGCTGCCGAAAGCGCTATGAGGAAACCAATAAACTTGTAAATACTTGGTCAGTTTTATTCTGCATCATTCTGCCGCTCATCTCCGAGTATTGTTGATATATGTACAACTCCGAATTGGGGAGAGAACCTCTCTCGCTAATTTATGAGAGATGATAGTATCCTCTGTAGGCCCGCTGGCGGCGGTAGGGGGTGCGGTAGATGCCCGCCGGAGCTCGCTGCACGGGAGCGAGATAGGATGAAGCAGCTCTCAATGCGGGTTGAGCGGGGGCATTAATTATGGTGGAAGCTGGTTGCGAAGGGGCTGTTCCAGGTTCATTGGTGTTCACAGTAGCTCGGAAACCGTGCTCGTCAGCGACGTAGTCCACGCGCCGAGTGATGCCATAGGCGTCCGTGAAGGAGTACGATCCCTTCGAAAATGAAATCGTTCACTCGAAAGCGTGTCGCTTCGGGTCGTTTCGCACTACCCCAGCATAATCTTATGTACAATGCCTGTCTTGAGAGAAAGATTACCTTTTTTCGATTCTGCGCATCAGATTCTTCGTGTCTGGTCATTTTCGTACCGAATTCATCGACAGTGTTGAAGCCGAACTGATAGGGCTGCGGGGGGTACAGAGAGTCCGAGCCACCGTCCCGAATCGTTGAAGCGTAGGCCAGCGTTTCGGGCCGTTGAAATCCAATCCTCCGGCGGTATGCATGTCGGTAACGCTGAGCATCCACGGCGACAAGAGAGGTCAAGACACCGAGAATCAGTAGCTGCAAAATGAGGGACTTGCTGTCGAATCCCAACTCCGATCACGTATACACGAACACTGGAATATCCCTCCGGACTCGATGATCAAGAAGGCCTCTAGATACTAATCTCACCTTCCACATGATGAGTTTGATGAAGCTCGTCTGGACTTCACGTCATATATCTAGCTTTTCCTCCGGCTCCGACCTTCAAATCGGCGAGGGCCTGCGAGGGCGGACCGCTACTTGAGCATCTTCTGTGCTTTCACTCTTGGCAGGTCATTAAAGGTTATGCCATAGAAAGTCCAAGCTGGCTTCGACATTTATCACGGAAAACTTTTGTTGACGAGAGAGGGGGATGAAGTAATTCAGTGCATTCATTTAGGTAATCTTGAAACCAGCAGAAGTCCTAAGAAATTTCCCAAATCGTCCGCCCTCAGCGGCGGTCAGAACATTGGAACATCATGTTCATTTACAGAGACATATGAGGGGGATTACTGTCCACAAGAATCCCTCGGCATGTGAGGCATGGAGCGACGGAACCAATATGGCAGCATTCGAGTCGGAGAGGGGGGGCACTCCTGAAAGCGCTACTCTCCCTTCCGCTTGGATCGGAGGGAGGTTCGAGCGAATTCCCGAGGTCACTCGAGCGCTAATTCTCAGTTCATGAGCGATTCGTTTATTAAAGTCTAACATGAATAGTGTGACCTTTTCGCAGCATTCTTCGTTCGCGGCTTCCCTTCCATCATCGACAAAAGAAACTCGACGTTCCTCCCGGAGAACACCCTTGTTGGCTAGACAGAAAGCGGGAGGCGAGAATTTTCTGTAGCGCGCCTTTCAAAAGTTGCTCTGAATCATGCTATTACCGAGTCGGAAATGAACGAAGAGCTTTTGGAAGTCCTCATACATTCCAGTCCGTCATCACGAGCTCTGACTTCTGCCACTTCCTCCAAATTACGCACGACAACCTTCTCTATTTGATTTCCTTATCTTACTTTATATGAGATAAGTCGTGCTTCGTCTGATTTGCATGGCCGACGACTCCGATATTGTCGACTCGCTCATGACTTTGGAAATTCTTTACTTGAATTTCACTGGAGCGAGTCATCAATTTTTTCGGTGAACACCCTGGACGACCAGAACCAAGGATGGCCGGGGCGGTGATATATTGGTGAAAGCAATAGCTCGGATGTTATACAATAGAAGGTCTCGGGTGCATTTTTATCTTTTTCGAAACGAAGGTTCTGAGTCAAGCCTGATTTCCAAGAAACAACGAATACATCGAAGAGTGCTCCATCCGTTTTTTCTTCCAGATGCGGCAGGACTTCATCATCCTCGCCGACTGATAGGGGCTCAGAAGCGGGTTTTGGAATATCCGCGCGGTATTGTCCGTTGAGAATCATGATTGTCATCACGGGGTCTCTTGGTGGAATCGTAATCTGGAACTCTGGGACACTTCTGAATGCAGATGAACGTAGTGCAGGAGCCATGAGGCGAGCTACCGGTGCCATTCGGGCCGCGATGTTCGACCGGTGGCTCCCCGGAGAACGGGGCTCCCAGAGCTAGGCATGAAATTCGGTTGCAGCAAATGCCTCCTGCAACGCATTCTGGGTCCCTCCTTGTTGATAGATGTGATATTTTTCCTAGATCCTTCCTTGAGCTTCATACCCGGTCGATTATCTCCGCGAAATCGCACTCGCTCTCTTGACTCAGTCCAAACGGTCCAGTGCGGGGAATTTCACAGGAATTTAAGTCGGAGATAGCAAAATTGCTCCGAAACCGAGCAAAAGGAATGGATATCCGAGGCCCTCGGAGCTTCCAGTTGGGCTCACAATGAATCTGCATTCTTGCGCATTTCGGCTGCCGTCAGATGAGAAGCTACCCACCCACTAAGACGGAAGATCTCTCAGCAGATAATCAGTCCTAAGTGAGTCACTAGCATTCGGAGTTACGATACTTCTACGATACATCGATACTGCGAAATATTCCGACTTATTGATGCTGACGTGCTCGGGCATCGAGCGACTCAAGTTCCATGAGTTCGTGTCGCCAACGAGTCTGATGAATTGCAACGGTTTGAGGAGCGGGGGTGGGAGGAATCGAGAGCCTTGGGGAGGAATTGAATTCAGGAGCTCGATATCGATGGGACGCGAGTAATAAGATTGTGAATTTTATTCTAGCTTTGATATCTCTCATTTTCGTTGCGGCACATCTCCCCGAACAAGATGCGCAGAAAGCACGCCGGATGTCCGCGAAATGGACCGATATACTCGATTTTCACAGAAATGCGTTTCGCAATATTGAGCGCAATGAGCGCTTTAGTCTCGATGGAATGCTTACTCCCGATGGGCGATATGACTGGGAAAGAGGAATCAGCACATTGCGTAGCTCTTATGAGTCACAAAAAATACTCGATTCAGTACGTCATCACAAACCTGAGGGCGAGTGACAGAGCTCCGGCCCCCTCAGACCGTGTACTGAATCACTTTGACTAGACATCTCATCGTCGTTCCTCGATCAAGGCTTCATTTATCAAGGAAAAGCTTATCGCTTATTGACGTCTCGAAACTTTAGCAAGTCGGACGTACTCATTCAGGAAACATGTACAAATACTCGCTTTCGAAGCAAATCGATTTAGAACGGTTCTCAAGCATACCCGAGAACTTGGTTAGTGGTCGCAAGGTGTTGGTGAATCTGTCACCGCACATTGAATTATTAACAGAATTAAATTATTTCACTCGTCACGCTCTCCTCATATCCGTCCTAGCTTCGATGACTACTTAGTCACCAAACTTCGACGGACCACGCACTAATCAGATCTTACCCAGCTAATCGGACCCTTTGAAGGACCGCATACGCTACCTACAAGGCTACAAATGTTCGAAATGAACGATTCTTCCTAAAAATACGATCAAGAACAGAAACGACACGAGAGCTCTCGCAACGGGTTCCCTCGATATTCGGTCATAAACCGGATGTACACTCACCGGAGAGCACATACTGCACAGCGGATGCAATACGAGCCAACATATAAACACTGGCAAACGAGGCCAAGAACACCAACGTTCTTGACACTCCTCGGTCACTTTTCATATCGGAGGAATTTCGTCCACTGTTTTGATTGACACCATTTCGATTGATTCGGATCATGACCGTCATATCTAGCCTAATATCTGAAACATCCGCGAGAATCTGTTTCGAGGGAACAGAAATTACTTCGGTCTGCAAAATTCGTTCTCTTGTACGTCGTACGAAAATCACTCCCGAGAGCGGAGCACTTTCGGGACGGCTCTATGTCCGAACAATCGTCGGGACGAAGGAATTTGTTTCGTCGATAAAGATCTTCAGATTTGCGAATCATGAATCCAGAGACCGTCTACTTCGCTCGAATGCTCGCACTGATGGTCGGAACTCGAAACGCTGAGTTGCCAGCCTTGAGAATGGTGAGTGATTCCTGATAGCTGGGCGGAGGCGTCTCGGACCTCACAATAGTCGAATACGCAGGGGGTAGACTCCGGTGCGAGTGGGTTGGCGTGGTTGTGCTCGTGTAGTCCGGAGCCGGCGACGGCGTTGTGTCCATGTGCTCCAAGTCATAAAAGAAGCGGTATATGACTGCGATCATCAAGGCGAAAACGCTCAAGAGCAGTATCGAGAAGTACCTGGAACACGAAGCTCTCGATCAAAATCCGATGGGTGCACAAAACAGCTCCGGTAGATGGGAAACTGACCGGATCGAAACGGTTAATTTCGAATCACACAACGAATGCCGAGTTTCCCGTGGCTCGAATCCAATGCCAGCAAGAGCTGCGTTCGGAGATCACGTAAACTCCGGTCGCCGAGTTCCACGGATACGCCGATAATTATCTCGCACAACGTAACTTTCTGGGTCATTGTAAGGTTGCTGAACTGGCTTGTATCAAGCTGCGAGAGCTTACTGATGGTTGCGAAGTACCCGTGTCTATTGTTTGTGCCTGAGAGTGTATTGGTAAGAGCAAGAAAAATAAAAGACTCCTATCGAATCTTTCGTAACGGAAACGTTTTCCGTTCCATTGTTCCACCGCCTAGCCTACGACGAGCAGAGGCTGCTTAGCTCAGATGACGTCCCGTGCCGGGTTTTCTGGAGGAATTTCTCAAGCGGCCGAAGCTCGACTAAGAGTTTCAACTGACCTTCTATTGACGAGATTCCCGAGGGCTATTCCAGCGATGCCAGTTGACATCCAAACGAAATTGATCACGAGATACGTAGCCGTTGGACAAACCCGACCGCATTTCTCGGACAACAACGACCTGAAAGTGCTGTTCCGGTCACGCTGATATGCTAAGAGCACTCCTGAAGGGCAGCGGAACTAGAATTCCCTTGCTCTGAACTTAGGCTCTATTCCACAGACTTGCTATGGCCGCATTTCCTCAGTCGGAGAGCGTGACGTCACTGAGAAACTCGGAATATTCGAACGGTGAAAGTTGACGCTCACGTTCTTTGGTTGGGCTGAGCTACATCTGTGCTCGAAATGGTGGATGTTACCGTTTCTAAAGACGCGTTCGACGCCAAGTAGATAGCGCGGATCGACCTCGGATCTATCGGGCTCTGGCACTCCTGCTCGAGAGAATAAATTGATCGGTCGCGACTCTATCTCGAATATAATAAGTTTTAGATCGTCCGCGCCCGAATATAATTTAGAAGTGGGAAGCGACTCGACCAACGGGAGAAATTCGGCCTCACCTGCGGATTCGAGAAATCGATGCGGACTGCGGGTACATACACCCTGCCCGCGGGAATCATTCTGTCAGGTCCATGTCTTCTTCACGGTCTCCGTTGCTACACCTCGACTTGTCTCCAACCCAGCGGATATTTGTGATTCTTTGTTCCTCTTGGGAATGGGCGACGGTGATGCTGATAATTTTTACGACGAGGTGGAGAGCGGAAGAATTGTCACCAGGCTAGAACAACGCTCGTTTACCTAAACGGTTCATGTCAACATTCAGCCGATTGACAATCTAAGCACAAAGACGGAATTCTGCTGGCTTTCTCGCTAGATCTTTTTTCGGTCGTGATTTTCTCCGGGCTCTTTGTTCAACATCTTTTATTGTACGGCTACCATGCGGAAAAGATTCGTTCTTAGAGCCTCGAGCACTACATTCAGAGCTTATACAGAAGCTACTCCGGACTCAGCAGCGGAGATCGAGTTTGTTTAAACTGAAGATTCGAATTTCAGTCCGGGTATCCCTCCAAAGAGTCACGGCATGAGCAGCAGCAGTGAATCGGGGTCTCGCATATTCGGCCGAAGCTATGGGCAATGTCCGCGCGAAATTAGATGGTGCTCAGTCCCTCCATCATCGGTTCACTATTCGGCGGAGCGATGGCCGCCGCCACATATCGCTCTGACCCGTCCAGCCCGCGATCGTCTGCCTCCTACAAGCACCGAGTACCAGTTGACACCGTAACATGTTTATGATGTGATTGTTATTGCGCGGGTGAGCAGCAGAAGTTGCTCGCGTCACGTAACAGCAAACAAAGTTCGTGTCGTCACCTGCAGATCGCATTCTTCCAAGCTCTGTTTTTGACTGTGACTATTAGTCCCTTAAGTGGGCGCTTTCACAGCCCTGTTTGATGGCCGGAGTGATGATGAACGACAACCGTTGACCGTCACTCGAGCCGAAGAGCGAACCAGTCAGTCACTGAGCCGACGAGTCAGCCAGTGCTACGGGGACGGCGGGCATAAACCGTGGCTATATTGTGCAAAGATGAGAATCTGAAGAGAGCGCTCAAGAACAAAACGCTCGAGTTCCACAATGAAACCTCTTGACACACCCCTCCAATTTTAAGTGGGCCGATCGACTGACTGCAGTGAAGCATCCGCTCACATTCTTGCTAAGCGAGCGAGTCAGTGTGTTTACCTGCTCTCGACGGCCTCTGCGGAAGGTGCCCGATGCTGTTGTCGAATATTGAATTGGATGGCCGCTAGGAATCCATGACGATATACCCTATCGAATGCTGGTCGAGAAACATAGTTCTCGTAGACTTCGAGGGCTCTCCGAATCTATGCAGAGCCACGTTACGTGACGTCCCGTCTGGTCATCGCGAGATATCTATTCCTCTTCTCCATAGGATCCTCGCACAGAACACTGATCCCTATCAGTATAGGGGGAGATGGAACGTCTCAAGTCGAGATTCCGACTGGTATCGAATCCATATTTCAAGGGATGATTCGCAATCACAAGCGGAACATCGGAAAAACTAGGAACATGATGATTGAGGATAATGCACAAGACATGTTGACGGAACATTATGACGGATCGGCCCAGAGAAGCTATTCCCATTTATTTCCTCGATCCGGGTCGCAAAAGCACACGGTTTCGAACAATCATGTTACAGGACCCTTGCGTCGGCTACAGTCGTATTGTACGCGAGGAAATCCATGCATTCAATTACATACATCCAGTCGCTAAGGATCCTTGATCTAAGAATTGCGTTCCTCATGCTGAACGAGAGAGGGTCCTGTCCAGAAAAGGATGAATGAAACATCTATCCAAGCTCATCTTCACGGCCCGAAGAATCGTTGTATGACCGCGAAAATCGAAGCCGCGCGAATAGCCAAGCAGCACATTTCCACCTCATAACGGTGTTTGACGGCATGATTCATGATTTCAGTCGGAGCTACTTCATTGAAATCGCTGCCACCAAGCGAATGAATACGTCAGGAGGGTCGCGCGTCCGCGGTGGGAGCAATTGACCGGGCATATCCGTGTAGCGTTGGCTCGCGGCAAGCGAGGCAGGTCAATGTAGCACCCGAACTCCCGGGTGAAATCCCCGGCAAACGTTTACCTCAGAGCGAGGAAGCCAGGATTCCGTCCACGGTCGAAGTTCGAGAGCCAATTTGACCCCGATTCTCGAAATGAGCAAGGATTGATTCGCCCATAGGAAACTGCGAGAAACATTCGTCTCCCCCGAATAGCATCAAGCTCGAGCGAGAGTCAGTCACAAATCTTGTTCGTCGACAACCGCGACTCCCACAACCTGGGCCACCATAGAAAGATGACTTGCAACAGCGCCCTGTGTTACAAAGTTCACGCCCGACCGCAACCCGTGACGCAAGGTAACCTGAAAGTTTTCTCCTCCGTCCGTTGTGTCTAAGTCCGAGACGATAGTTGCGGTCACTCAAAAACTGATGATCGAGCCCGGCGAGCCGAAAATGGGACCTCGAACTGATGGCCATTGGGAAAAAATTGGGGAACTCCCCGCGTAAGCTCCTGGTTTCCAAATAGCTCTCGGCCCGCGTGAAGACTGCGCGGACTAAAGCGTCCCTGGTGAAGTCGAGGGCCCGGGGGACCGAGGATGAGAGGTTCGGGTGGATCAGGATCTCGCATGAGGAAGCTGGCTGGGAAGCTCAAGCGGATCCATCCAATAGTTCACCGCGGTGATTTTGATTTCGCATTTTGTAACTTTAACCATTACCCACAGGGCGTCTTCCGGCACCTAGCTGCGGCTGTTGTTTGAACCCTCGCCAGGTTACATCAGCCATTAGGCCACGCTTCGTCGCAGTTCCCCTCCGACTGGACGTCTTCGTTCATATCGTAGTCTACGGGACACCATGAAAGTGTGACGCTGCGTGTTAAGGGATACTGAGGTAGTCGTGACAATGTGTTTTCTGTTCGTGCTCGTCGTAATTTTCAGTGTCCGCGAATCTCTTGCTCTGCATCTGACTTTGTCCCGTGAGCCTCTCAGTAGTTATCGTTTCGTGGGACCGATTTCGCGGTTTCTAAATTCACATAAACGAGAGCAAGCCCCCACCATGATGCCGTATATGGGTTTCGACATGTCCAGCTACATGCAACCGTCGTTGAGTGATCTCTTGCAAATGGCAGCGTTGGATTCCTCTGTCGACAGTAGTCCGACAGTCGTAACGGCGAAACCGCTCAATCTCAACGATTTCGGTGGCCATAAATCCATATCCTCGAGTTCCCGATGGTCCGCGGGTCATCACAGTTTCTCTGAAGCGTCCACGGACTACCGGGAGAGCAATCCGCAGAGTTCATTCCACATGACCACGACTCTCCCAGTCTACCAGGAAGCCCCGGAGCCGCCCCACTATCATCCGGGGGCGCCTCCGTCTCGGCCGTACCATTATGCGCAGCACGATGAAGGGAGGAAACATCCCGCGAAAATTGTTGTTCTACAAACACCGCCGAAGCCGCGCTGGCCGCCGAAGAATCCGAGCGTTTGGCAGGAGGAGACCGTCCGTCAACGAGTGAAGATCCCTCAACATTCCCACGGTGGTTGGTACGGCAGCGTGAGTGATGCAAGCCTCGAGGTTCCCTACCAAAAGGAGTGGAGATCCCGCCCGCGTCGCCGGAAGTCTCTAAAGAAGTGGAAAAACCATCCACGAATAAAGGATCATTATCACCTTCAAAACGAGGAGTTCAAGATAGTCTACGTGGCGAGCAATGCGGGGCGGGAGAAGCACATTTCAACTGCGGCTGAAATCCCGTTAGATCAGCAGGAACCGCCGCCTGAGCACGACCATGAACAGCCACAAGAAGGAATCGTCTACGGAAAACCATTGAAAGAAAACGGCGCTTTCCCGAAGAAGATTTGGAAAGGTAGTTGGGATTGACAATACGCTTTGAGGCCTCGTAACGAAACGGGGCAGACCACGATGCCATCCGTCGTTGAGGCCTCAAGCAGAAACTCAACGTCGAGATCTGTATACTTGTCCATCGAACCACTTTTATTCATAATTGTCGTCAGAGTCTTGTCCATCGTCTCATAAATAAACCGAAACACAACAGGTGAACCGAAGCTTACTCAAAAGCTCTAGTATCCGTGCTCCCGACGCATAAGATCATTACAGTGAAACACACGAGATGAACTCTGTCAGCGGAATGACGCGAAGTAGCGTGAGAGATATGCTCCGGAACGGCGGCGTGCCTCAGGAACCCCGCGAGCCTCCAGCAGGAGCTATTCTGGTCCTACGACGATTCCGGGCTTACGCATGTCTCATATGTCGTTCCAATGTCATGTCAGGAATGGAACGAATCGTTTCACAATCTTGTCTCGAGGAGCATCGCGTTCCGGGCTCTGTCTGGCACTGTTCTCACGTTCCGATGGCTACTCTCGTCGAATTCGACTCTGATTTGGGTTTCGATGGATGGTTTCTCTTCAGGCACCGAGAGAGTGATCGTCGGGGTAGGTATCGGCTCGAAGCCGTAAATCATCGCACCGTAGAGACAGGCAATGTTGCCGAGAGTCAGAGGCAGCAAACACACCCATGCGTATCCGGATGCTTCGAGAGCTAGGGTACCGTAGATCCCGATCGCACAAGAGAACACACAACCAGCGCAAAGGGCCCGAGCAACGGTAGGACGTTGGGAGAGGTTCCCCGTGGCGTCTGGAGGCGGCATCTTTCACGGAGTTTCCTTCGTTCGTCGACGCGACCTCGAAGTTCACAACACGGGGCCCGTGTGTCCTGGAAGCCTTTCGAGCTGGATCGGCGTGGCTTACTTGGATTTGGAATTAGTGCGCTGATACGAATCAACGTCGTCGGTCTGCCACAAGCCTACGATAGCCTCTTTCTTATTCCAAGCGTCTCACTTTCGATCGTCATAAAGCTCTGTGCTCGCCGGAGGCTCGGAAAGACGCTCCCTAGGATATGATTTCCCGGTTCCGGACCTCACCGAGTAGAACAATATCTTGATGCTTGTAGATTAGCGTCGCATCATCATAGGATAGTCTGAGACAAACTAAAATAATAAAGAAGCGTACATTGAGACACAGATCGAGATTTGAGGTATCGTAGGAGGCAACGCTGACGCTCTCTCGTGCGGTATGTGGCGACCTCTTCCGGAACCGGTCCCGGCTGACGTTGAAAAATGACGAGATGATTCCAATGGCTACCGTTCAGTGACGGTAGTTGCCGAGAAGGAGTTTCCGGGCGATATTTCAGATCTCGTTGCTTACAAGCCTAGCCGATGGCAGGCTCGGATGGGACTTCTTCGATCGGCCCCACGGGGGCAAGCGAGAAGCGTCGAAGGCGAGAGCAGAACCATGAGGGCTGTGAAGCGCAAGTGATCTCTCGGGTGGAGTCTCGATATAATATATGATTTACTTGGCAATAAATATTGAAAAGGATCCGGGATTACATATGCTCGGGCCCCATCGCATGTTATTTCGCAGCATAACATTCTTGCGGAAACATGATTTCTGTGCGGTGTTAGTTCTCGCGCACAGGAAGTATGCCCACATATGACACAATAACTTTTCATCAGGGTCGCGAATTGGAGAGGCAGGTGCTGTTCCCCGAACCTCTTCGGATCGGCTCAGTTTCGCGACTCGCTACATCACCGCGTATCTAACCGCTCGAGCCAGCAAAAGGCGTGAGGGAGAATCAGCATAGTGTAGAGAATCATGAGTCATGAACTCCACGTTTGCATCTCGCCGCAGAAACATCTGACATCATACCTGTCGGGACGAAAAGGATCTATCGATACAAGGAATCTCAGAAGCTCTATAATATTCCTAGGAAGAGCATCCCAAACAATCTCGTACGGCAGCGTTCGATTGACCAGGCCGGTCATTGTCGGAGCTCTGAGATGATCGATAGGAAAGCTGACCGATTGGCTAGGATATAAGAGCGGAAGGGTCCAAGCGATGTCATTCTCTTTGAAACATGAAGTTCTTCGCTGCTCTCCTCGCTCTGTTCGTTCTCTTCCAAGCGGTCGCTGCCGACTGGGAGTCCGAAGCGGAGGCTGTTTGCAAGGCCAAGGATCGTGTAAGAGTCCACCATCGTTATTTTCTTATCTCTCAGATGTCTTCAGACGGAATCTTCCGATTAAGATTCAGAGGGATCTCCCGCAAGCTCGACGTTGGCCTAGCGGTATGACGGGTGTTCCGGAAATCGACTCGACTAATCTCTCGTCTCCATTTATGGCAGGAGGCAGACACCAATCCTCTGATCAAGATGCAGTGTAAGGTCATGTGCACCAAGCAAGGCGAGTTGCCGACCTTCGAGAACCTTCCTGACGGAACTGAGTGCGAGCGAATCATCTTCAGATCCGGCAAGGGAACTTGCAACAACGGAAGGTGCCAGTGAGAATGTGGGGCAGGTAATAAAAGACTCCTAATAAGCAATTTCCCCGGAGATCCCAGATCTCATTCCTTCTTTCCACCACATGCCCTGTGCGTCTTCTCTCAGCGACGATACACCAGGTTCAGAGCGCCTCCCTACTCCAGAGCTCCACTAGCTGGTTGATCAAGAGAACCGAGAGGGAGCCCTCCGTGGTCGGAGGCCTTGATCTGGGAGTCATCCAAAGTTATTTTGTATTAGGTCTCTCCATGGGCCTCCCAAGCTGAACCTGGCAAAACTACGAATCGTTCAGAACTGTGCTTATTTGCACCACCAGAGAATCAATCCTGTCAAGGTACTGTGGTCTGCCTATTTCAACCAGCGGACTCGGATCCACTCCCCCTGCCAATATAATTCCGGTTTGTCGGACCGACCGCTGTCTCGATCCAGATGGTGCGATCCTAATGTGGTCCGTGGAGGAAACTCGACTCTATCGCGGGAATTGGGATCGGCTCCGCCCGCCGTAGGTTAATCCCCATCACCCACCTATTTATTCTGAGTTTAAAGTCTAAGTTTTCTCAAGCTCCCTTGTGACAGAGGCTCTAAGCGAGACCTACGTACCTACTTCAGCAGCCTAAGTGCGATGACTTCGGCCGCGGGCTATCCTTCCGATGATGACGACCATGAGAGTCAACGCGGGAATAGTCAAAAGACTCAAGATACTGCGATGCAAGATAGTGCGGAGCGATCCCTCTGATCAACAAATCAGGCGGACTTCTACTCCGAAGTGAGAAAAAACGTCCGGAAGGCGTAAGACCGAGCATGGAGAGGAGAAACGGGCCAGAAACTAACCTTGGAGAGCACTTGCGGTATAAGAAAGTTCGAGGTGTAACAAAGCTTGGCATACACGACAGTTGGAAGGGGAGCATTCTCCTTGCCTGAGCGACAGCGGAGGTGTATCGCTGTAAATTCCAAAGTATGTGTAAGACCCAATCTGACAAGGAGTTAAGCTCGGAATGGAAGAAGAAACGATCTCCTGGGGAAGCTGGGTCGTGGTCGAATGAAACGAACAAAGCAGCTGCGATAATGGGGGAAACAAGAGACCTGAGCGATCCGCTGAAACATAGCCTCTGACAAGAAGGAATATAACGTGACATAGGTAAATTATCACAAGCTATACAATGGATCAAGCGGCCGAATGGATCCACCTGGGAACACGATTCCCTCGAGGAACCTCTCGCGGAAAAAAGAGGTGCGAATAGGCATCGTTGTCGACGAACCTTATTAGAAGCACACAGATGCCTTTCATACCTGGCGGCATAGACGCACGAGCTTGGCATGAGCTTTACGATTCAGTGCAAACTTTATTCGATCTCAGAACTTGGAAGGATTGATGTGGGTAATATACACGTGCAGTGGAAATGTTCTTCGACGACCGATGACGAAGCATCGGAGTTCGGATACGGTGCCGGATGCTGCGATGGCTCAATGGAGCACTATTGCTCACGATGAGGCGTTCATCATGAAGATCGACCACGTGACGGGAGCGATGCATCGGAGTTCAGCGCCTCGCTGTGACAAGACTCCGTCGGAGCCGGAACGCTCATACCGTGTCCTCGCAATGCGCATCTACAATCTGATCGCATACATTGACCCGCTTGTTGAAATGCATCCCTTCCGGACAAAGCGTCCTGATCCCTCGGCCTCCAGTGCACTGATAGAAATGTTCGCAAGACGACGGATCGCGAAACCAACCGAATGGATTCGGACATCTGAAACCGCCCGAACTCGAAGTCGGCTCTGCACCGGCACCACGTTCAGTGGGACCAGGACTGGTCATGGCTGGTACGAGCGGAGATGTCCGCGTGAGGTAAGGTTTTGACACCGTTGAGGGTAATGTTGAACGCGAAGACAGCGTGGGAGTTGAATACATTTTTCGAGCGGTCAGAATCGATACATTGGTGCTGGGGCCACCCTGGGCCGTCACTGAGACGGTCGCCGGAGGTGATTGGATAGGCGTCGATCCTGATGTTCCCGCTTCCGATGTCGTCGAGGATTCGTAGGGTGTTGGAGAAGTTGCCCTCGGAGTCGAAGATGATGTTCCTTTAGTTGATGGGGTCCCTTTGGGGGTCGCGGAGGTTGCCTTTGGAGTGGTGGCTGGCGAACCTTCCGTCGTCGAGCTTGACTCTAGCGTCGTCGAATAATCATCTAAAGCGGCAGATGTTGCCTCAGGAGTCGTCGACGATGCTCCCTCAGTCGTCGAGGATGCCTCCGGAGTCGTGGAAGACTCATTCGGACCGGCAGATCCGGCCTCTGGTGTCGAAGATGCGTCTCCAGTCGACGAAGTTGATTCTTGTGTCGTTGAGAATTCATCCGGAGCGGCAGAAGATGCTCTCGGTCTGGTAGAGCTTCCATGCAGAATGGCAGATGTGGCTTCTGTTGTCGAATACGCTTCCTCAGTTGACGGAGATGACTCAGACGTCGTTGAGGTTTTGTCCGGAGCGGCAGAAGTTGCCTCCGATGTGGTTGAGGTTTCATCCGGGATGGCGGAAGTTGCCTTCGAAGTGGTTGAGGTTTCATCCGGAGCAGCAGAAGTTGCCTCCAATGTGGTTGAGGTTCCATCCGGAATGGCAGAAGTTGCCTCCGTAGTGGTTGAGGTTTCGTTCTGAGCAGCAGAAGTTGCCGCCGATGTGGTTGAGGTTTCATCCGGAGCAGCAGAAGTTGCCTCCGATGTGGTTGAGGTTTCATCCGGCGCGGCAGAAGTTGCCCCCGATGTGGTTGGGGCTTCATCCGGAATAGAAGATGTTGCCTCTGTTGTCGAAGATGCTTCTTCAGTCGTCAAAGATGCCTCCGTTATTGTTGAGGTTTGATCCGGGGCGGCAGAAGTTGCCTCCGTTATGGTTAAGGTTTGATCCGGAGCGGCAGAGGTTGCCTCCGTTGTGGTTGAGGTTCCATCCGGAATGGCTGATGTTGCCTCCGTTGACGAAGATGCTTCTTCGGTCGACGAAGAGGACTGTGGTGTCGTCGAAAATTCGTCCGGGGCGGCAGAAGATGCCTCCGAAGTGGTTGAGGTTCCATCCGGAATGGCTGATGTTGCCTCCGTTGACGAAGATGCTTCTTCGGTTGACGAAGAGGACTGTGGTGTCGTCGAAAGTTCATCTGGGGCGGCAGAAGATGCCCTCGAAGTGGTTGAGGTTCCATCCGGAATGGCTGATGTTGCCTCCGTTGACGAAGATGCTCCTCCGGCTGACGAAGATGTCTCCGGCGTCGAGGACGGTGCTCCTTCAGCCGACGATGATGACTCCAACGTCGCGGAGGAATCATCCGGAGTGACAGAGGTTACCCCCGATGTCGTCGAAGATTCACTTGGAGTAGCAGCTGTTGCCTCCGTGGACGAGGCTCCTCCTCCAGTGATCGGAGGAGACGCCGGTGTCGTAGACGATGCAGACGAGGTCGATGTCGATACTTGCGTTTCCGGAGTGGATGCGGTCGCGTTAAAATACGGTGAGACCGCTGTCGTAGCAGCCGAGGTGGTGGACGTTTCAGGCTCTACAGCGGTCGACTGTGGATTTGTAAAGGATGCAGCCGGATTTGGAACAGACGCTGGGACCGTGGGGGAGAGATCAACTACAGCTGCCGGCGTCGGAGGTGCCGAATCCGTTTCATCGATAGAGCCTTGCGGATCCGGAGTCCCGTTCGGAGAATTCGCACCGGGACCCGGAGGTTGGCTCGAGGTTTGCGCAGGCGTCATGTCCGCGGTCGCTCCCTGAGGTCCTGTTCCCCCGACCTCGGGGATCCCCAACCCACCCGTCTGTGACGACGAGTCTGCGGTGGGGGGAGGGGGCACAACGTAATCTGGGGCGGAGGAATTTGCATCGGGTGCTCGGGGAGATCCGGTCGATTCCTCAGGTCCTGGCGGCACCACGGCAGGAGCTGCGACCGTCGGGACCGGAATTCCTTGCGGTGAAATCGGTGGACTATCGCTGCTCGACACTGCGGGAATGCCTGGGTCGATGGCGCCAGCGTCGACCGTCTGCCCAGGGCTAGACGGAGCATTCTGCGGATTCGTTGGCGCTTCGGATATTCTAATCAGGGTGTTCGATGCCCCGTTTCCGGGAGTGACCGCCGCGGATGCAGCAATGGTCGGCGCCGAGGGCGGTTCGGGTGCCGCGGGCGGTTTGGGTGCTGCGGGCGGTCTGGGTGCCGCGGGCGGTCTGGGTGCCGCGGGCGGTCTGGGTGCCGCGGGCGGTCTGGGTGCCGCGGGCGGTTCGGGTGCCGCGGGCGGTTTGGGCGCCGCGGGCGGTTTGGGCGCCGCGGGCGGCTCGGGTGCCGCGGGCGGTTCGGGTGCCGCGGGAGCAGCAGAATCGGATGCGCTGGGGAACGTATGGGCCGTTCGATCAAAAGCGTCTCCTGACGTGCTCGCAGTCGGGGGCGCACTGGCGGGATCAGACGGTTCCGCAGTCGCGGGCTGGGTCACGATGGGAACGACGGAGGGATTCCCGGAGCCTGGAGATACACTGACAGCGCCACCTTCCGCAAGAGGCGGACCTCCGGGCCCAGCGGAGGCGGTAGTGTCATGACCATCCGAAGCGGGTGGGCTCCACGCATTCGACGGGACAGTAACTGCCGCTCGCGTCGGAACGGGCGAGTTTCCTGGCCCCGTGAGACTGGCGGCGGGACCAGGAGTCAGGACAGGGGGGATGCCAAGCCCGACAGAAGCACTCACGAGACCCGCTGTTGCTGCCGATGAGATTCCGGCTCCTGTGGAAGCAGCGTTGAATCCGGGAATGATTCCAGGGGGTATTCCAGGCAACGCGGGAAGAGTGGTAGCGCCTGCAGTCGCGAATGGAGAGATTCCGGATCCAACAGAGACACTTGCGACACCTGGAGTCAATGCGGGAGAGGTCCCGATTCCCGCAGAGGAGATGGCGGGGCTCCCAGCTGCTACGGAAGGGGGGCGAGCCCCGCAGGAACGGGAGCATCACTTGCACCCGGGAGGCCAGGGGGGCCTCCCGGTTTAGGTTCTGGGCTTGTGCTGGAATTACTAGGATCGCTGCTGGAAACCTGCACTCCTGCACCACTAGCGGCGACCCCGGCAGTATCGGCCGGTCCTAGAGCCGGAGCTGTGACTTGTGCAACGGCGGAAGGTTGCGAAGAATATGTGGAAGGCGCCTGCCGAGTTGATCTCTTGGAAATCCACGCGCCCCCCTGCGACGTCCCCGAGCTCTGCGAAGCATTTGTGCTGGGTGGCCGAAAATCGTTACCATCGCTCCCTCCGTTTCCGTGACTCCCACCAGGAATCGCTGTACGCGATTGACCGGGTTTCGTTGACATTCGAGGTCTCTCATCGGGAACGTCGCTCCAAGGTCTAGACCCATCTCGCGCATTCGTTGATTCGGAGGATAGATCAGAGCAGCAATCCAGGCTATCATTCTCCTCCGAGCTGGGCTCCGATCCTGTGGATGAACGCTCCGAAGACTCTCCCGATGCGTTTTCTGATGAGTCGCGTTCGACCGAAATGGATTCATCAGAAGAGGCGCCTTCGTCCGAGCTCGACTCGGAGGAGTCATCTTGCTCCACACTGTCCGAAGTTCGCTGACTGTCGTCACTCGAGCTGCTTTCAAGAGTCTCATCGGATCTCGGGGTGATCTCGGAGGTCTCGGAATCGGAGGAGGATTGAGGGGAATATGTCGTGGCTTCCTCCATGGTCGGAGGAGGATTCGATGCACTCTCGGACGACGATCCCTCTGGAGCAGGATCAAGCCCTTCTTTATTTTCTGATGGGGTTTCGATCGGGTAGGCCTCCGTCGATACAGATCCCAGTGTCGGGGGAGGACTTGACGTTGATGTCTGCGGGAATGCCGAAAATTCGCGTGGTTTGGACGAGACTTCTTCGAGAGGCAGGTCCGGGTTGCTCAAAATTTCACTAGATGAACTCGAGCTCGCATCCGGGAAATCGGTATCGAGGTCTTCAAGGGATCCTGGTTCCCCTGTGGACATCACGGAAGGGGCGGCTACTTCCGATGAGGACTTTTGGCCTGACTGATCCTTTGCTGGCGGGTCCGGGATCCCAGCGTTTTCCTCGGGTAATGTGGCAGTCGAGGAAAACGTCTCAGAATCGGGGGTGGGAGAGGACGCGCCGTCGTCTACAGTCGAGGATCGAGGGCCGTAGGCGGTAGGGGGGAAAACGGAAAAGGTCGAAGGGGTTTGAAGTCACGGAAGGGAGGGAAAACTGGGAAATCTGGACTCAGCATACTATCCTCATCAGAGAACTCCATCGGGTCCATCGAGGAGGGCCAAAAGCCTTGATCGGGTCTCGCTGTCAGAGAGGATCCTGGCAACGAATTGGAACTCATAGCGGATGTCGCGTCGAATAGCCGAGTGGCAGAATGGTCGCTCGGCGTCGTGAAGAAACTCGTTGAATGTCGTTTCTCGCCCGATTTCGTACCGTGCTCGGTCCCAAACGGGGGTTTGTGGGTCAGCGGAGACGTGAAAGCGAAAGACGAATGTTCCGGGGAAAAGGAGGAGGAACTCGAAAAAGAACTTGAACTCGAGAATACTTCCGAACTGCCGAAGTCACTGGACGTTGAATGATGGCTGCTTGACTTTGAATGGTGAGCACCTGACGAAGGCGAGCTGAATTCATGCGTCGTCGAGGAGCTCGAATGACCATCGTCCGTCACTGTGGTGGTCTGTTTCGTGATCTCGTGCGCAGTCTCCGAGTCCGGCGTAGAAGGACGGCAGTTGACGGCCTCGATCCAAAAACAGACGTTCTTCTCAGGACTGAAGTGAGTTTTCGGCGGACATGTCCTACGATATGGTTTGCCGTGGGAGCAGTGGAAGAAATGCTCACACGAAACCGGATCCGGATAATATCCAGACGAGTTCGGACACTTGAATGGAGCTTTAGTCGTGGTTATTTTGAGGGTGGTCGTCGATCCCGCAGGAGAGTGAGTCAGAGTCACTTTGCACTCGGTCCTCCTGCCGTCATCGCACGACTTTAGGTGAACGTTGAAGACCTGTCCCATGGGGCAATAATGGAGCTTCGCTACACGGTGCTCACAGGAATAATAGGTCTGGCAGGAGATAGGGTCACCGAATCGACCGTTCGGCAGAGGGCACTTGAAATCCTTGGATGCTGTTGAACTCCTAGAGGTGACTCTCCGTTCGCAGATGAATCGGTCCGAGTCGAGACTCGTTCCTACGGGACAGCGCTGAGCGAGCCACATGTTCCCGACACACTCAACGAAGGATTGCGGCCCGATCCTACGGCGTTCGCCGCCGCTGCATACTTTCGCCGCTCCCAGAGTGCTCATCGCTGCGGGAACGAAACATGAGTAGGGGTATTTCGAGCCAAGAAGGCTTGTCTGAGACTCGCCAAGATAATTGATGAGAGCCTTGGGAATGGAAGCGTGATTTCTGTATCGTGTTTTCTCGATCGACTCACCTGCTAGCCACGCGCCGAGCGCGTAGAAACGCCGCATTGTATCCCGCGGCAAGACCTTTGTGGGGAAAGGTCGATATTACTCTGGAGTTCAGCTTATAACAGGGTGGTGGAAGGGAGTCGTGAATTTTCTCAAAAACCTCGCGATTCCTTCAGACTCGATCAGACTGTTGAGTATTCAAACATTTCGTCTAGAGAACTTGTGAGCTCCTCGAATAACATGCAAGACGTCATACCGAATCGACTATTCATCGTCCGGGTATCCAAAGGAGCTATGACGCGGAAGTCGTCATGCAATTTTGGCGACCCGTCCCGGTACCTCTCGAGAAAGAAGCTTCACTCTTGGAATCGCGATTAGGACTTCGGAGGATTTTCTAACGTTTCGCCCTCTATCCGAATCGGTATACGACTACGACAGAGCATGAGATCGGGAGGGTACATGAACCGATGGAGGATACGATTCCCTTTCTGATGAAAAGAGAGTGACTCAACTCATGACACTCATTAGTGGACCTGACAAGGGGATTGTGATGTCTTCATCATATAGATCGATTGCATACGGGAAATATTCTTCCGATCCGAACCAGGGACGCAATTTCCTCTATCGATTGAAGAGCTGATGGCGTCAGGAATGATATTATTCACTGATTGTGAGCGGACTGACATCCTCACAAGTTTGCGTAACAGAAAATTGATGCCCGCTCAAGTAATAGAAGAGGCATTCTTCCTGAGACTCGGATAATGATCCTCGTGTAGTTCCGTTGAAGATTGGGGGAGTATTTTGCTTCGTCGAATTGAGTTTTGGGCCTTCAGCTGTCTGCGAATATCCTCAGGCGGGAGAATCATGTGCAATCGCAATCAATTGAACTGACGCGGAGCATGGGGCGGCACTGGAGACGCTCTCCAGCTGAGGTACATTCATATCTAAGGAAATAAACCAAATTGTGAATACCTTTCTGAATGGAGCACAGTCTCAAATCGAAATCTCTCATCCAATATAAAACAGCCTTTGGCAAGTTCTTGAGCTTGACTCCAGCTGAGAAGCCAAATGCTGTCCGAAAGACATACATCAATCTCGAGATCATGCAACCATGAGCATCAGACCTCATAGACAGCTCCTTACCTTCTGCTTAACTTTTTCTGGCCTCCCGTTGGAACCGTGATTCAGAGAGCTGTGATAGTCGGGAAGATGCAACGGTTTCAAGTGGAGAGGCGTTAGTGTTCAACTTCTGTGCTTCACGAGGAGACCTTGATCCCCCGGGTTCCGGAGATAATCATCGTTCCGGATGATTCAATCGTTGTAGCTGCTCATCTTTCAGAGGGATCTGATAGGGAGCGATGGGAGTAGACTCTGTCGTGATGGAATCGCATCGACATATTCTTCGAGAGGCGAGAGGTTCCAGTCGTTGCTCGTCGAGGTCGCAAGAGCAAGGTGGGTTCCAGGCAAGAAGCTAGGGTGGATCGATCGCCGAATAGAAGGCCATCGATGACTCGGCCGAAAGTTGAGATCCCTCTCCCCCCAGCCCCCTATGATAGAAACGCAAGGTCCGTCTGTCAGTTCGCGCCTTATCTTCAGTCCTCAATTTCCCTCTGATTATGCGCGCAATGTGAGATAGAAGGTAATTTTGAGACCGTGACTTTCCTTGATGAGTTTTGCTACATCCTCGCTGAATGCCTGTTTCCGAAGCTTTCAGAAGGCGATTGTGCTTCTTTCTGTTCAACGTTTCCGTTATACCTCCGATCTCCAAATTTTGGCCTTCTCCCCGCGATCGCTACCCAAGGAGGTTGAATGTATGATGTGAAAATCGAGACTCGGATACGAGCAAGTCGCTCCTGCCAACTTTAAATTTCAGAAACCGGGCATAGTGTTAGCGACTTCACGGGACATAATCCGATGCCAAAAAGCGCGGTTGGGGACCGAAAAAAGATGAACCATCCCAAGCTGCGTGCGGGAGCGGATGAGTGTCCCATCTGAGCCTTGAGTCAGATATAGAGTCAATGTCGGCGGTAAATCACATTCTGCCAGGTGATAAATTTCGATTCGAAGAAATGGCAGCTTTCTCTCGAGCCGACTCGGCTTTATCCTAGCGGACGTCTCGATATTCCTCTTGACCTCCTCTCATGCTTCCGCGGAAGAATGCAGTCGAGAGGCGGCGTCATCTCGAGCGAGAACTATTCACGGAGATTAGAAAGATGTTATTTTGCTCTCTTAGGGGCGTGAACGCTGCTCAAACTTCATGAGCGCTCTCGGATGCCACACTGCGAGCCATGTCTTAATGGAATTTGAACTCTCCGCGTCGTCGTGGAATTAGCTCCGCCAAGCTCCACTCAATCGGGAGGAAAGCTCGCGAAGCGTTCCGGGCTCTCGGTCCCCGAGAGTTCTGCTTCCAATCCTCAAATATGTAGAGAGGAGATGACAACGCTTTTTTAGGAACTCGAATAGCAACAATTTATTCTTCCACCTGATAAGCTTCGTTTGACTAGAAATATCGATGACAAGTCTGAGCACCGACAAGATCGACAAAAAGTCAATAAATACTTTTCGTTACACGTCACCGTCCGTATCAACAAGCGTCTACGGCTTCCACTATCGATAAAAATGCAAATATTGCAGCAATTTCGGCGACACGCTCGAAAACTCGAAAAGGAGGATACGGGGCGAAGATGAAACGAGCAACGGGTGATAATGATTCGAAGGTCCACAACGAAAACTCAACCTTGAGCAGAGGCCGCGAGAGCGCTGGTAGGATCACTGGGAAAAAAAGAAACGCCCTCAAGAACGGACATGGTCATCGTCGGACTCAGGCATGAATTTTCGTCCTTCGTCTGGCCCGATTCCTCGCTTTCAGGCTTTCAGCATTATACGACGTCACAAGGGGAACGCAAGGTACTCTATCAAACGGAATGGGAGCCGGCTACGATATTACGGTTGTTATCACTTATCATCACTAACTCTTATCTTGGGAGCGTAGACATTCTATCACAATATCTCCGATATTCACATTCGTTTGTACACTCTACTTCCACGGGGAGCGCGGAACTTCTGCGGTTTCGCCGTAAATGCTCTCAGAGCCGTGTCCCCGATTCTAGTCCAGGCATCAATGCAATCGAGTACGCGAGCTCGCATGAGTGGGATGATTTCCTGGTGAGAGAAGCTTCGCTCGTGATGATGATATTTTCCTGCTGCCGTCGCCCTCACACACGTGCTGTTGTTGCGAGGCTTGTGATTTTTTCATAATGTTTCATTGAGGAAGTGCATACACAGCTGGTGATCACGAACATCGCCCCAACCACCGTTGGGTCTCTGGGCTTTCAGTGGTCTTTCTAACCCTCGCTGCACACGGAGGCTTTTAGGGAAAAGAAATTCTCCGGCGGACTCGATGGTCCGTTGAGCGGCCAAAGTTAATCGAGACTGATCGCAGTTTTTGCCTGTAATGAAATTGCGCGTTATTCCTGAGTGAATATTCGTTGGTGGATCGGGCAGCGTCGAGCGGGAGCCAGCGAGTCAGATACACTCAGAGCTAATTTGCCGGATTAATGGTTCGCGAACAGAGAGATTGCTTTCTGCAGTATACCTAGTCGTTCGGGCTATTAGAGAGAGAGCGATACGTCCCACAGTCGATTGCCTGATGCGATAACCTTGGTTCCTACATCCAAGCGCATTCACCCAATAAATCCATACCTACACATGAAAGTCGACTCTGGCTGTGCGCTTGCTGCTTAGCTAGTCAAGCAGGCCCGCCAGCAAGAGCTGCATCAGCACCATCGTACTCGAGTACCACACGGATCGCCGCAACTCTAGCCCTGGACGAAACGCACCGGTGCCTCTTCTACTAATGTAATCTAATTTTAGAAGCTCAGTTCGCCAAACGGATCAATGTAGCTGCCCGTGTGGCAACTACCAATGTATTTGGGAGAAAAGAACGCGTCAGAGCGTGCGACGGATGTGGAAGCTCCGCCTGACCTTTCAACTGACCGCCTTTCCCCCTGTCGGATGCCTTCCGTACCAAGGCCTCGGAAGCTCCGGCCGTACACCGATACGAAAAGACTGAGAGGGCATATGGTCGCTCGTTTTGCTCACCTTTGTGATGCACACCACATTCGCCGACGTGAAAAACTCTAGTCGTTCGCACGACCATGGCTTGGAGTGGCTTCTCTAAACAAGTCATACTGACTCGATATAGAGACCAGTCCCAGTTGTAATCATCGTAGGTGCAAAACGTCTGTGCACAACGGTCCCGAATCGATTTCCAGAGATCGCGGTATACAACCATTCCCATATTGTGCCTCGACGAAACCCACTTTATCATGTCGACAGTTGGGCTGAGCTGACGGTAATTGTTTGTTTTCACATAGGTGCCCATAACGAAAATCCGACATCCTGGACAGGCGGTCGGTTGCGCGTTTTCCATCAGGCGGAGCACGTGCAAGAGGTCCGGCGCCACGTAGTGATCCTCCTCCAGAAAGATGAATGGACCGCGATGGAACATGGTGACGTTCAGAGCGTCCATGACTCGATTGATTTTCCACCACCAATGGTGTTTGGTCTGGCAGAATTTCCCTTCCCGATAGTGGCCGTGGAGGTCGGGGAATCCGTAGTTCTGACAATGTATCGCCTCGGCTTGATCCTTCCTTATGTCTCGGGGACAGTCGTTTGGATGATCTCCAGGGAATCGATTCGGTTCCAGCTGGATCGAATTCGGGTAGAAAATCTGCATCATTTTCGTGAAAGTGACGATTTTTGGCAGCTCTTCGATGAAGCTAGTCTCATCGTAGAAGTCGTGTGAGAATATGAGCAATGTTCGATTGATTCCTGGCACGGTGCGCAGCGAGGCGATGAGACCCTCTAAATAGGTCCACCGGTTGTGAACTTGTATGACGATCACCGGGTCGTTCTCTGTCAGAGGTCCATACAGATCCTCGTTGTGGATTTCTTGAATCCTATTCAACTCGGTAACGTAACTTCTAACGTAGGACGACGGTTCGGGGCTTGGCGAACGTAAGCGGATTTTTTGCGGAATGACAGAATTCGACAGTAGTGACGAGCCATTGTGGCGCAGTTGGGACTGAGTCCCCGGTGCGCTGTTGATTTGGTCTGAGTTGTCTCGGATTTGATACCAGATTAAGCACGTGAAGCAAATCGTGATGGCGACTTTTGATAGCAGCAGGGTGTAGTTCCGGCGGAGCCTCATGCTAGAAAAGGTCAGCCAAGGGCCGCGGGCCCGCAGCTGGGCCTTCCATTTGCCTGCAACATGAATAATTCATCAAAGTCGTACAAATTCACTCATCACGGACAACAACACTCATACGTGGCCCCTCGTTCACGGCGACCCATCCTCGTATGCCCCCCCTGGCAGGGTAACGGAGACAAATTCATGCAATGCTCGATTCATCCAGTGAGCTCGAGGGATTTGACGACAGCCTAGAACAACCGGGGACGGACAAAGCGCCCCGAAGTGACCGCACAGCCAAAAGCGTACAAGCAGTATCCGCCTAGCATGGTTATTCCGAAACTCCGGAAGACTTGACGTTTCCAACCTCTCGTCGCGAGGTCCACTTCAACGACTCGGCCGAACTGATCTTGTGTCTATCCGTCGGGATCATGATTGAGCTCCTGTACCAAGAGCCGACGCCTTCATCGCGAGGTCGGACCTTTTCATTATTTGTTTGTCCTCCGCAATCCTCCGCGACGAAACTGCTATAGCGGGAGTCTGGATTCCCTATCAAAGGAACTCACTATGTCTCACGCCTCGTCGACCTCTCGATGAAATACAAGACGTCCGACGGGGTCCCGACTGGCATCGATATGCTGGAGCCCGTACTAATGCACTCCCATTTCTGACCAGCTGAATATTCGTGCGGCGCCGCTGGTGACATCGTCGTCGTCGGACTGAAGTCTCCGCGCAACGTATCACATGGTTGGGGAGCTCTGAGAGGTGATCAGACTAGCCTACAAAGCATGACGAACGCTGCTGACTTCACCGTGTTCGGTATGCTTGCACGAGATTTGAAATCGACAGACCTTGTCTGAAAGCGACACTGGATGGTACATCGTCGAATTCATGTCTGTTAAGTGTCCGTGAACGACTCTCTCCATCAGCTGACAGGTGCTCTACGATGAGACATGCTGGTCCAAGAGTACCAGGTTGCCAAGCGGAATATTCCGCTTGGTCTCCAGAGAATCGACATCGCAGCAAATGGGAGTTCACTACTGAGAGATTTTCGTGTGTTTAGTCCAGACCCACAAACAGGTGAAGCTTGGGAAAATATTATCCGAACTGACCCTTGCCGACGGAAGCCGATTCCGTGACAATGGAAAGTCGTATCGCTTGAATCGTTTCCATTCAACTCTAGAACCGTCGGTGGTGGCGTCACAATCGACATTGAAATCGAGCGAAAAGTCATTTAAAATCAATGTAGTGTCCGTCGGTTTCGGTTTTTTATATCATCTGTCCTCAAGTTGACACAGCTTTTGCGGGCAACACCAAAAATCTCGTGGTGAGAGCCCATGTGACTGTCCGTCTGTTTTTTGCAAGATTCCACGTGCTGAATCACTGTCTCAGTGGCGCTCTGGAAACCTCCACCACCCCTGAACTCCGACGGCTGAAGTTCACTCTAAAAATTGACTTGCCTGCGCCGAACGACGACGGCATAGTTATTAATTTATCACGGTCATCAGAGAGGCCTAATGAATAAATCGGACGCACGGCGTCAAGCGATAGAGCTTACACTCAGTATTCCAAGAGCGTTCCACGCGGTTTTAATGATTCTCTGAAGCTCTTCCCGGTGGCTGAGAGCATTCACACCGAGTTCTCAGCACGCACTCCTCAGAGAGAATTTACGACGTACGCAGGTACCGAGGTAATTAGGTTTCGTCGCTCGTTGAATGCATTCCCGGTCTTCTTGTGCGTGCGCTCAGGAGCTTCCCCACAAAGGAAGCTTGCTCGAATGAATAGGATTTCTGCAACTGTGTCAAGGACCTGTCGATCCCCGACGTCCCAAGCACATTACGAGATGGGCGAGTAATCACGCTGAAGAAATGTCGGAGCAATATCCCGAAAATTAGCGCTGTTCGCCTCCCAGAAGTAGCAATGACGGTTTTTCGAGTTATTCTCGATAACAACGCCGAAGAGAAAGCCGATGGCTTCGCCGACGGTTTTCGACGAGGTAAGTAGGACAATGGCTCTGTTGACTTCTCCTGGAGAGCTAACTAGGCACTGATCCGGGCAACGAATGGCTCAATTAGAGAACAGCTGCGTGGACGAAGTCGACCGTAATCCTTCCCAACTCCTGCCGAGAATCCCGCTGTAGCAGCGACGCGACGTTCCCTCTGAGCCAAGAGAAGTTTCCCGACGGAGGATTTTCTTCATCTCTCAGATGCAGTTTCGGGAATCGATCCCCACCTTTACCCTCGTCGTCACGATCACGATTCATGATCGTCATTCATGACGGAATTGGCAGTGTAAGTGAATCCGGGTAACGCGAAAATCTTGAGACTCTCGAGTTCAAGCCGCGTCAGTGAAATAATGATTGTCGCTGCGCAGCTCAGCGGGCGAGACGAGGAGCTCTTCCAGAGATCTGACAAGGGCGACACGAGACGTTACGTTCCTGATTCCATTCGACGGTAGAACGCGGAGCGAATGCCCGTGAATTGTGAGCTCACAAGAGAGATCTCGGAGCAGAGGCGACACAACGCGACGGTAGAACGTTCCCGCTCTGCGGAGACGACCCGTTTGGTTGAGGATGATATAGGGGCTTGTGCATCATCATACTTCATCCTCGTTGTTCATTCGTTCCAATGAAACCCATAGCTAATCGAACCGAAATCTTAGCAACGCCCCTAGCTCCGTCGCGAAGGGATTCTGTGCTGGCGAGCAAGTCTAATTCTATAATACTCTCGACTCCGCGAATAGGTCCGTCATCGTGACCACCGCGCAGCAACGTCTCACACTGCGGTCGGGCGAGAGCCCTTTCGAGATTGCGGTTTCAAAGAGTCCCTCTCGATGAGTTCAAAGAAAGCGGCCGAAAAATCCCCCCAAATCCGAGGTTCGCGTAGATTCTGGAAATTGCCCCGATCCCGGGCATAGATGGTACTCCATTGGAAGAATTACTGAGAATATGAGTATCCTCACCCGGATGGAATCGAAACATGTCATCCGCAGCGACGACGTAAAATTTCGAGTCTACTGATCTCATCCCACATCGACAGACTCGATCTCTCAATCCTGATGAGCAATTCTTGTCGTTTCCACGCTGTTCGCTCACAGGTGCGCTCGCGGAAACGATCGCTTCGCCGGCGCCGTTGTCAGGGAACGCCAGTTAGCCTTAGGTCCCTCCGGAACAAGTCAGCTTTTACGTGAGCTCGTCTCACTACGGAGAATGCGAGATTCCGTGAAGAACAGTACACCAGCTGGCAATGCGGCGAGCTGAGAGAATCACGGAATTCCTGTCCACGCGCCGTGCAGTCAATTCAGTAGCAGAGCTCCCACGCGGGACTGCCTTAGTGACCTCAGGGGGTCTGATGATTATAATCATCTGTTCGAACACCATATGATCTCTTTTTAGCCCCAAAGGATTGTCGCCTCGTCTATGAGGAGCGATCGGGAAAACTTAAAACCGACGTCTCGAATCCACCTTTTGGTCCTCAGCAGGAGTGGAGCTCTGTCCGCGGGAGAACATGGCGTGATCGAGGAACATAAGAAATACTTGGGAGGAAGAGAGCTCCGCTGCGGCTCCAGCAACGCCCTCCTCCCCCGGATGGGACGAGCTTTCGACTCGGGACCGAAAAGGAATCGCGGAATTATTGCGCTTCTACTCTAGATGACCTTACACCGGGACGGAACTCCACAGGCATTTGTACGCTCATTCTTAGCCGATCTTCTATGAGCGCTTTATGTTTGTGCACTGTAAGCTCGTGGATCGACGCTTCTACCAAGACACCGGACACCCTCAATGGGTTTTAGTGAGCTTAACTCGAGAGAGAATAACGCCACCGGCACGTGACCGAATATCTTGGACTGCGACAGACTCCGGATCGTGACGATCGAGTTGAGCCTTCCGCGGGGGCAGAAAATTCTTTACGACGAAACGGAATCCCTGTGTGGCTTAGTCTGCCACGGTAACGAAGGTACCGATTACGATGGGGGGCGTGATGCGACCCTACCGGCTGACACCCGTTTAGCGAAGCCCGGAGAAACTTCTTCTCTCATGTCTCTATGCCCGGGATCTCCGGCGGAGCGAACTGAGACGGGGAGCCACCGCGAGCAACAAATGTGTTGCTCAGATTTCGACAAGTCTGCATGGAACTGTCCCTGTCGCGGACACATTCGACCCGAGCTGATATACCGACGAGAAGCTGAAGCGGCTGGGCCGGACCTGAAGAGGCTTCCAAGCTCTAGGGGAACCGAAACGCGCACCGGCACTGCCATCACATCGGATGGAGAACTTTAGCCAACATGCTCGTGAACGTAGAAAGCCGCTATGGCAGAGAGGAATTTTTAAGACAAGGGTAGCGGTTGATCGAATTAGAGTTCTCACCTCTATCACAGTAGATGAATTCACATCGCTCGCCTTCGTTCTAATTCCGAAGAATATGAACTCGAGCAAGCGCTGCTCACCGCTGGGTGGGCTTCTGCCCTTCTATCAGGTGGTGCTCTGAGCTCGAGGACCGGGGCGCGAGAGAGGCCCTAGGAGAGGATTAAGGGTTAGGGCAAGGAGTGGCGCCAAAACACTGCCGACGTCACTCGAACCGCCCATTCAAACTAAAATCCGATTCATGTCCGATAGCAAAGTGTTACTTGATACTCAAAGCCACCACTGGAACGACTGCGCGGCCTTCCGATGAATGACTCCGGTGGATGTTCCGCCGGAATGTTCTACTGCCAAAATCGCTCTCAAAGCCACCAAGTCGGTTGAGCGATATCCCGACAATCAGCTTGGAGTGGCGGTCTAGAGAGAGACGGCATTTTTCTCCTTGAGCTGTGACATGGGCTTTTTTTCGAGCGCTCAATAGTTGCCCGGTGAATTCCTGGCTCGCGGGACTCTTGCGGTAGATTCAAAGACAGCAGGATCGGTGGTGGGGGAACGGTTTCGGTCACATACTTTGTTCTCGACGGAAAGCTCGAATCGACACCGTTGATTCAATCGAAATTCGAGAATCGAGAACTTTTCGAGGTCGTGTTGACCTAAGGGAACGCAGATTGCAACGATGAGTTCACGAGCCGTGAGGTCCACAGCTGAGCATCGGTCACGGCTGGATCGGCGTTCGAGATGTCAACACGCACTGACAATCGATAGACGCGACTCTTGGAGCGATGTCAAGGCCAAATCTCGAGCCATTACAGCACGCAACGATCGAGGAGAACCGTCCTGAATGAATAGTCCCGCTCCAAGATTAATCCGCCACAGAGACTGAGGTACATGAATTATTAGACGATCGAGAAAGCTGCCTTCCCATATCATCCTTCATCTGAATATGATCGAGAACGCATCGGGATGAATTTGGGCCAGAGATCCCGTTAGTCTCACGCACATTTTCCACGCTCTCGATCTCTCAGTCGAAGGAAATTTCGTCTGTTCGCGGCGTCTCTCTAACCGTTTGTCACAAAACGCGAGCGCGTCGGGGATTCCCCACGACCCTCGGACCTCCGTCTATTGACAGGAACGTGAGCCGGGTCCTGATACCACGCTGTCGGGCTCTAATCGAACTGTTCCTGTGACAACATCCGTCGCCGGACAGAACAGGAAGCTATCGATCCGATAGAATACGAACACTTCGGTCATGTCCTACGTGAACTCATGAAGGCGATTTGAGGGCTTGTCAACACTTTGCTGTCGACCGGATGCTGATCACTCGGCGTTCGCAAGTCTCCGACGTTAGTTACCTTTCACACGTGAGAGACTGATCGCCTCGCTCCTTCTGCGCGATCCTAACTTTACAGCAGCGAAAGGAACTGAACGTCGATATCTAGTCGGGTTTTTAGTCTCACCCTTGGTGGACCCCCGAAAGCACAGCGGCCGGAATATGTGCAGAGGCTGATGGGCCGGAGTTCACAAGGCATCCGATCATATTCCGAAACTCTGAGCCGATGGATGGGAGCTTGCTCAGTTGAAGGAACTCGGTGGACGAAGCTCGAATCATTCTCGTCGACACATCACGCATTGTGAAATTCCTTATCTATGTAGAATCGACGAGGAGCGGTTCATGTCTTTACAGCTAGGAGAGGGGGCTTTCACTCTCAACTCCCTCACGGGCGATTGTTGTACTTACGAATTTCATCGGACTGATGACAGCAATATTTGGTGAAGGGATCGCCGTGGGATCTAGAATGCATCGAGCTCTCTTAGAATCAGAGAACTCCGAAACACAACGACTCTCTAGAAGGAAGTCCGTCCCAGTAAAGAGGCACATGTCCAAAACTGTCATTTTATTCCTGTATCCCACATAACGACTAGTTTATCGTAGAAAGAACAGCTTACGATGCGCTGATTATCCCTCCAAGCGACGCCGTAACACATGGATTCGTGTCCCTTGAATGTCGAACAGACTTCAAGCGTATCTCGTTCGACTATGAAAGCTCCAGCGTACATTCCGGCCAGAGCGAGAAAGCGCGGACTCGATGGATTTTTCTTTATCCGCCAAATGCCTCCTCCGAGATTTTTCTCAAGCAAGGGTTGCTTGATATTCCGCAGATCGAATTTGTATATTTTGTCTTCGTATGTCCCAACAAGAATTCCGTTCTCCTCGAGATCACGCTCGATGGCGGTCACTCCGGCGTCGAATCGTCGCATCACCCTGTTCCCATTCCCCTCGGAGCAGCGGAGAGTACAATCGTCTCCTCCCGAGAGAGTTCTGTCATCCATGGCAAGTACCGCCCAGGCTTCGTGCTGGTGAACTTTTCCGCAGGATAAGAGTTTCACCACGCTTTCAGTGATTCGGAATTCCCTCACACTACCACTGCTGTAAGCTGCCGCCACTCGGTCATCGCCTCGGCTTGAAACTGATAACGTTATATCGGACGCAATGCTCTCAGAGGAGCTGAGCAGCTGGATTTCATCTTCTGCGGTCACACGGCCCACGTTTACGCTTCCGTTTGCTAAGGGAGCTATAAAGCGATCCCTCTCTGTGGGGAAGAATTTGATGTCTAGAACTCCAGCCGGCGCCTCGATGCTCGAGAGTTTTTCGAACGACTCCTGGGACGTTCTGAACAGACTCAGCGAACCCTCTCTCGAACTGTTCGAGCTTTCGTCGAGTTCGTAAGTAGCGACCAGGAACCTCGCATGATCATCACAGAATTCCACAGCATCACAATTCAATGGCATGGAGCAGCGATGGAGCTCGAGCGCGTGAACCATCGCTTCCTCGAGAAATGTAAACGATTAGCTCGACGGGGACAAGATACTCCAAAGATCCGACACGCTTCAGGTCGCTGGCAGCCGTACATAGGATACAGAAATTGATAAGCCGGGAAGCTTCGCGCGGCTGACGGACGACTACAACACCGGCTGTTCCCGTTCAGATGCGACGATTTCGAGGGGAAGGGAGCGGCGCGAATATTTGAATGAGACAAATCTGACGCCAGCACTGAGGAGCAAAAGCAGCTACTGAAGGGAGATCGAGGATTCCAGACGCCCTAGGCGGCACCGTGATGCCTCCCGTTTGTGCAATTTAGCGGGTCATCGATTGATGCTATTCACAGCAACAAGCTACTGCCAAGTCGAACTTCTCTGAATGGCGAGAGCTCTCTGAAATTGATCTTTGCCCAACTGGAAAATTCTCCGAGGAGCTGTATTCGGAATGGTGAGGCGTTGTCGTAGAATGTCTTTGCTGCCTGCGACGGAGCACGAAAACCAATCGACCTGATGCATCATTTTTTCCTCCATGCTGTTTAATGATTGCTAGAACTCTCATTCGCTCGCCTCGAATATTCGTCGGAAGGTTCCGTAGTAGAGACCAGCGGGATTCACCAACTCAAAGAGGCATAGGAGTCATGAGTTTCGAACAATTTCTTTACTCTGTTAAGAATGTACAAGATACGCTCCTACTGAAGCCAACGATACATCTCGCTCAACAAGTTATTATTTACAGATTGCCGACATAGGAACAAAACTCAGTACTGAGCGAGAATTGTCCGTCCTAGGATCCTAGACTGAGTCGCCCCTGAGTGAGACTAAGTAAGTATAAAAAACGAGAGAGCTCAATGAAATTCGCCGCCTCTCGGAGTCGTCCAAGCTCGTACTAACTCCGGAGTGCTGATATAGAAAGAGTGTAATCATTTGTTAGGCGCGATCAGGCTCACGAGGATCCAACAACTCTGGGCGCTCTCGATGAAGGCATCGCAATCCAGCTTCACAGAGAGCTGCCGAAATCGACAACAAGAGGTTCCGGGCAATCGATTTGTATATCCGCGAGCGCCTGATTCAGAGACGCAGCGATATTTTCTATTTGATGGAAGTCTTTCTCGGACATCGCGGGCCAGTAGAGCACCTTCGAGAGGTCGGAGTCCTGCTCGCGAAAAAGAAGATCTGGGTGTGAGCAAATGTTTAGAATAGCCGACGCTTCCCCATCTCGGAAATCGCGCTCCTCAGCGATTGGGATTCCCATACGTACCTGTAGGACACATGGTCGAGCCTTCTTCTGGTAGGGTGTTCGCGATAGAAGTTGGTCAACCTTGTAGTGATACATCTTGGCACGCTCGCTCGTTTCCACGCTGTCCATATAATGACCTAGGGTCCGTATATTGATGACATGACTGCGGGTAAAGAGGAAATTTCAGAGTCTCCGTCTGGCTTCCAGGAATGGCATTCGGCCCCGAACTATTCGCCTCAGAGCCCCGGAACTACTGGTTTCGGAAATTCTTGCAAGACTCACGCCATCGTGTTCTGCAGTATCCGATTGAGATGGCTTTGGTCTTCATCTTCGACTTTATTTGTGGATCCGTAACTCTCACTGAAAGCGATAAGATGATGGTTCGGTATTTGATGGCCGCTTAATTAAACGAGCACTGGAGTCCGAGTCCAAAGATGAGATGGAATCCACTCACTTATAAGATTGCTGAATGGATACCGAAGATACAGGATTCGCGAGAAGTCCTCGAGTATCCGATGCTTCGCCCTGAAACGAGGAGTTTTTGAGACTTCTTCGCGACAAGACAGTCGGATAGAGAAGGGTGCCCCCAATGATGAGGGAACGGCTGTCGACATGGAGTCCAAGCAGCCATCGTTAACGCAACGCCCCTCACGGGCTCCAGCTGTTTTCCCGATCGAGTTTCCTCCCGGTCTCCTATCACGCGAGGAGTCCCGTAGACGATACCTCTGGTGGGAGGAAACAGAGGAGCGACTTCCAGCATGGCATCTTGGACCTCCCGACGATGTAGACGATTGCCCCGCTTGGGTACCCGGCAACAGTCGATCATTACTCATGTGGATAATCCTCGACAGATAAGAGCCCATGTAGCCATCTCACCTGAGCATTCTTGTCTTCGCCACAGCAACAGTTCCCCATGTTGATCGGGGTTGAGAGAGCTTCTGCACCAACAGTAAACCCCTCAGGCGCGTCTTGGTGAGCTGTCGATGACAGAAACGAGACTTCTCCACAGAAACTTGGACTGCCTCTCTTGCAGGAGCTGTCCACAAAGTAAACAGCGAGACATTAAAACCCGACCTGAGCATTTTCAACTCGCCTAAGGTAAACAAGAGATCCGGATTTCTCGCCAGAACCTGTCCTGATCTGAGCTGACCGTAATTTACTTTCGGAAGGAATCGTACCCTCTCGGTGTCTCGATTTGCCGGCGACTCGAGCTCTAGACCGATTTGAAACACAGCAAGCCTTCCCGGTTTCCGAATGAGCACTGGATCGAACCGCTCAGAATTTAGCGTGTGGATAGGTGACCGATTCTCGTCGTCCAGCGTGCCGGAGAAAAGAGACGCGCGTGTTGCTGATATGCGGCATTTATTGAGAGTTTGTAGATCACCGCTCAGATTCCGTCTCAACCACAGCAGCGTCTGGTAAGAAAGAGAGCGATCGTCGACGAGTTAACGTTGAGAAACGTATCCCTAGAGATTGGAGAATCGCCGATCTCCCGAACCGAGCCGGATTCGCGCTCAGGTACTCCGTGGCTGCAACTCGACTCGTACATTGAGGAATTCTCGCCGATTCCTTCTCTGCGTCGAGTGGAAATCCTCGAAGTCAGCAGCTTCGAAAGTCAAAATGTCCACGGCCGCGTTAAATGTGGTAAAGTTAACGCGGGTCCCGGGACACCGACTTCTCTGGACCTTAGCTCGGCCTACCACGCACCAAACACGTCCGAGTCCTCCACCCGCTGCCGTGCCCGTGTTGCCGAAAGTCGCGCTGAAGAAACCCATTCTTCCGTGGACGCTCCATCGGGCTTATAGCACCGTGCCGAAAGAGAGCGAAGAATACCATAATATCATACAGAACTCGGAAAAAGCCTCGACCGAGGGCGAGAAACATGACTTCCAAGCGGAAACAAGAATGCTCCTGGACATCGTTGCGAAGAGTTTATATTCCGACAAGGACATATTCGTGAGGGAGCTCATTTCGAATGCCTCAGATGCCCTGGAAAAGTTCAGGTGAGCAGGTTTCCTAGGAACGGGAGCGGAATTGACTCCAGCAGACTCGTGCATTCGATGTGCTGGTCGAGCGTCGATTCTTCATTAAGAGAAAGTTTACTCCCCAGATATCTGAGGCTCACCGAATTAGCGGAAAATAAAGAAGCCCAGGAGGCGGCGCTTGAAATCCACATCGCCACCGACAAGCAGGCCCGAACCTTCACCATTCAAGACACGGGTGAGCTTTCCGGACAAGATAACTCCTTCGAATTTTTACGCTTGACGTAAATTAATTTCACTCGGTCCATTCCTGCCCCATATCTCACACAAATTATCTCCTTCGCAGGAATTGGAATGACCCGCGAGGAAATGATCAGCTGTCTCGGGACTATTGCCCGATCCGGGTCAAAGGAGTTCCTCAAGGAGAATCTCGGCAAAGGAAATACCGACTCGATAATCGGACAGTTCGGTGTCGGTTTCTACTCAGCTTTCATGGTGGCAGACAAAGTCGAGGTGTTCTCTAAGAGTCGCAAGAGTGACAAAGCCTACAAGTGGACAAGCGATGGCGACGGCTCGTACGAGATCACTGAGGCCGAGGGAGTGTTGGAAGGAACCAAGATCGTCCTACACCTCAAGACGGATTCCCGGGAATTCGCAGACGAGGACAAAGTTCGAGAAATAATCCGAAAGTTCAGCAATTTCGTCGGAAGTCCGATCTATTGCAATGGCAAGAAAGCTAACCAATTACAAGCTGTCTGGCTCATGGACCCGAAAGAAGTCACCAAGGAAATGCATAACGAGTTCTACAGGTTAGTAAACTGTCGATCATGTCATTTAAGAATCTCCAGACTCATAGTGGTTGATCCGAAAACCACATGGTTGATCCTCAGACTTTCCTCGCGTCATCGTTTCCTCCCATTGTAGATTCGTATCCGGAGCCTACGACAGTCCTCGCTTCACGCTGCACTTCAAAACAGATGTCCCTCTGCAGCTCAGTACCTTACTTTATGTACCAGAAAGTAAACCCGGCATGTTCGAAATGAGTCGTGATTCGGAGAGCGGAGTGGCGTTGTACTCCAGGTCAGTGGACCGTAGCGTTGGTTGTAGCCAAGAACTGGATCGAGTTTGTTTCTGTCGTTTCTTCAGAACAAAGAGGAGATTTATAACGACCATCATCCACCATCCACAGGAAGGTGCTCATAAAACCCAAGGCTGAGATTCTACCCAAGTGGCTCCGATTCGTGAAGGGCTGCGTCGACTCCGAGGACATTCCTCTGAACCTGTCTCGTGAGCTTCTGCAAGATTCTGCGTTGATCCGAAAGATCAGAAGTCTCATCACCTCGAAACTGATCCGACTCCTTCAAGACAGCATGAAGAAGGATCCTGCGTCCTACGAAGAGTTCTACACTAACTACAATGTTTTCCTGAAAGAGGGAATTCTCGCCTCAAACGAACAATCTGAGAAAGAAGATATTGCCAAACTGTTGCAATTCGAGAGCTCCACGCTCGAACCGGGCCAGAAGACCTCGATCTCCGACTATCTCGGCAGAATGAAAGAGGGCCAAAAAGACATCTATTATCTGGCAGCACCGAGCAGACAGCTTGCCGAGAACTCGCCGTACTTCGAGGGTGTGAAGAAGAAGGACGTCGAAGTGCTCTTCTGCTACCAACCGTACGACGAGCTAGTCCTCGTGCAATTACGGAACTTCAAGAGTAAAGCCGTGATCTCAGTAGAGAAGGAAATGCGTCGTGATGCGGAAACCGAACCCATGGCAACCGAGTCGATGAAAGAGCTGTCGGAATGGTTGAAGACCACGCTCCAACCAAAAGTGCACAAAGTCAAAATGACCGGCAGACTGAGCGAACATCCGTGTTTGATATCTGTTGAAGAAATGGCTGCGGCGAGGCATTTCGTGAAAACATCCCTGTCCCAATTCAGCGAGGACGACCGTTACAAACTCCTGGAACCTACTCTGGAGCTAAATCCAACCCACAGCATCATCTTGAAGCTCACAGCGCTCAAGGATTCGAATCCGTCACTGGCCAAGAAACTTGCGGAACAGCTGTTTTACAATGCCATGGTTTCGGCGGGTCTGGTCGACGACCCGCGAACAGTGACTGCTGGTCTGAATAGCCTCTTGAACGAATTGTTGGAGAAGCATTGAAATAGGCGCGGACGGAAGCGACTAGAATCATCTCATCCTGGGGCAATGCAATGAAAAAAACATTCTCCCTCTCTAAGTAAAACGAATGCCTGGCTGAGACCCCTATTCCCTTACGAGCAGACCCTGGCTCGCCTGGGTGGACGGTTGAAGTATTCTGCGGTTGTATGTGTAATATCCACACGGATCGTTCTCGAGAAGGCGTAGCGGAAACGACGGACAAAAAACTTAGGAATAAATGATGTTTTTCGAAGGTACTGAAACGAGCGTTTTGATTCTAGGCGGCTTAAGCATGACGATGCGGCTAGAGACAGCAAACCTGCATACGAGAAAACCTACGAGGTAATCACCTCCTGTCTCACATGCCTGATTTGATCGCACATATGACGAATATAGCTGAATAGGACCTTGTTCGGAACCAGAAAGGCTTCTATGTGGAGCTCGGTGGGATGGGGGAACCTATTTCACCATTCAAATGTTTTCCGTGCAGGTCGATATGTCCGAGTTCCCCACTGACTTCGTGAGAAATTTCGGCATCATCGCTCACATAGACCACGGCAAGAGCACCTTATCTGATCGGCTCCTTGAATTTACGGGGACCATAGGGAAAAGCTCTGACAACAAGCAGGTTTGATTTCGCTCGATCATGAATGACCATGAGCAGGGTACTCCTCGATAGCTGACCTCGAGTACATGCAATGGCCCCACATCGTGACCCTCTTCCAGGTTTTGGATAAGCTGCAAGTAGAGCGAGAACGTGGAATCACCGTCAAAGCTCAGAGCGCCTCGATGATATACAAGAAGGACGGACATGACTACCTGCTTAATCTCATCGATACTCCGGTAGTAGACCAATTCTTGATTCGGCCACTATGACCATCGCTATCGAGTCGCTATCGATGCTGATAGAAATTCACTCCACTCCAGGGTCACGTCGATTTCAGCTACGAAGTTCAACGGTCATTGGTCGCTTGCCAGGGAGCAATACTTCTGGTAGACGCGAACCGAGGCGTACAGGTCAGCGGCGCCTAACTCTTCTGACGCAGAGGGTTTACGTCAAGAATTTGCTTCCTCATACGTCTTCCTCCTCTTTTTAGGCCCAAACGGTAGCTAACTTCAACCTCGCCTTCTGCTCAGAGATACAAATCCTGCCTGTGCTGAATAAAATAGATCTGAAGAACGCTAAAGTTGAAGAAACTTGCGCCCAAATCAACAATCTTTTCGGATACGCACCAGAAGAAATTCTGAAAGTTTCAGCAAAAGCCGGTACCGGTGTGCCTGAATTGCTCGACGCATTGATAGAACGGATACCTCCGTGAGTTCCAGCTGAGATCGAACGCGAGCTCAAAGCCGATTGACACTCGTATTGATCTTCGATAAGCAAGTTGCTCCCTTTGTGTGCAGGTTCGTCACAGGAAGTCCTCTTAGGCGCTTCTGGTGTAATTATTGAAAAAAATTCTTCTAGGCCCAGCGGGGATCTTGAGGCTCCCTTCCGCGCTCTTCTCATTGACTCTTGGTACGACAAGTATCGGGGAGTCATCATTCTCATCGTTGTCAAAGACGGAAGTCTCAAAATCGGCGATGAGTTCATAAGCCACAAAACGAAGCAAAGTTTCACCGTCCGAGAAATCGGTATCATGTTCCCCGGGGAAACTCCCGTCAAAGAATTGTGAGCTACGACATCAGGGGCCGGCATCCCCCATACTAGTCCGAGGGACTATCTCCTTTCTGATTTTCATCCTTCGATCGCTCAATCGTTTTTTTTCTGTATATCGATTGAACGCCACCATGTTCTTCCTGTATCGCTCCAGGTTCGCGGGTCAAAGCGGCTACGTCATCGCAAGCTTCAAAGCATCGGCAGAAGCGTTCATAGGAGACACGCTGCATTCCAAGGCGATTCAACCGGAGAGTCTCGTGACGTTGCCATCGGCAGAACGCTCGAATCCAATGGTTTTCGCAGGTATGGAAGCTGGTCGAAGGATGATCGGGGCGTAAGATCTTCTCCCACGTGTCCCGTAGGCAGTCGGGAGCCAATCGGGGATGATCATTGTTCCCACCGAATTTTAGGTGTCTATCCCGAGGACCAGAGTCGAAACAGCGAGCTCAGGAGCGCTATCGAACGTTTAGTTCTGAACGACAACTCTGTAAGAGTCAGCATCGAATCCAATCCCGCTCTGGGTCAAGGCTGGAGACTTGGGTTCCTGGGTGAGTTCCCTGAGGTGTAAGGTCCCATATCAGCAAATCTTCAGAAATTGAAGATTGAAGGTCATGTTCTTTGGGCATGTGATTTTGCCATCTGGCTGACGACGGCCTCTCGATTTGGAGTTCCTGACTCAATTGAGCGTTCCCCAGGCCTCTTGCACATGGACGTGTTCTGTCAGCGCCTCGACCAAGAGTTCGATGCACAAGTCGTAGTCACTTCCCCCAGTGTCTCTTACAAAGTAAGCAACGGATTCCCTCCCTCGATTCGTTCGCTATCGAAGCGGTATATTGACGGGGAGAGATGCTTGAGTGGAATGAATGACTTATATTCGCCAACCCGCCTTCCAGGTCAAAATAAAAGGCAAGAAGAACATAAAGACCTTCGGCTCAGAAATGCTAACGGTGAACAATCCTGTACAACTACCGGACCCGCTTATTGTGGAGGAATACTACGAGCCAATGGCAGAGGGCACAATCATAACACCAGCCCAATATATGCAGGAAGTCGTCAGTCTCTGCGTGGTAAGAGTTTCTCATACATGTATTGAATTGGGAGGAGTACATAAAGTCCTGTGCCGATCGGATGACGCGATGAATCCTCTGGGATTTCCGAAAGCCGAGCGCAATATTGAACGCTTCTTCTCTCCCCCAGTCACGACGAGGGGAACAGAGATCCGTCCAGAATATTGACCAAGACACGGTCTTGGTCCAATTCAAATTCCCTCTGAATGAGATCATAGTGAATTTCTTCGATGAGTTGAAAACCATCAGTTCCGGTTACGCAAGCTTCGACTACGAGGAAACAGGGTATGAGCTGACATCTCTGTGCAAGGTGAGTATAACTGTCGTGCCTGAGCGGGAGTTTCGCTCGGGGAACCTATCTGGACTGGATGACTCGAATTTGGCGTCTCCGATGAGAGTGAACTCTCGGCTCAATTCCGCGATCATTTCTACAGCTCAATATCGTCATCAACGACAAAATCTGCGAAGAGCTCACACAGATCGTGCACACGAGTCGCGCTACGAAAACTGGACGTGCCATGATACTCAAATTGAAAGAAAACATACCGCAGCAGATGTATGCCGTTGCCCTGCAGGCGAAAGTCGGCGCCAAAGTTCTAGCTCGAGAGGATTTGAAGGCACTATCCAAGAACGTCACACAGAAGATCGTGAGTTTCCGTGCTTCTAATCTTTATCGTTCAATTGGGAGGTAGAAGGAGCCGCTCTGGGAATAGCCTGATATTCCGCCGGGAATAACACCCTGATGATTCCAGAAATCCGGGAGCGATCAGACGAGGAAACAAAAATTAATCAGAGCCTACAAAGAAAAACAGAAGAGCGCCAGAATGATCGGAAACATTCTGATACCGAAGGAAGCCTTCATGAAAGTTTTGAAGAACGAGAAATAAAGATTTCGATATCAGTATCCATCGACATAATATATTTAGATTTACATCAAGGCCAGCGCATCTGATTCTGATCATCCACAACAAGACGTATCACTCAACATCGAAAATCGGATGATAAATAATCCGACCCTCGAGCGCCCCCACGGATCTTCGGTTTTTCCTACATAATCCTATAGAACCCTCCTTCGAAGCTAGCTTGGAATTGTGCTACAGCTCTATTCTTGGAGTGAATGATGCCCCACAGCTGCACTTTTTTTCCGCTTGAGGGTTGTCCAATATCCGGAATCCTGATCGAATAAGTTCCTCTTCATAGTCGACCGTGGATCCTGCGCAAGAAAGTTGGGATCGCATTGAATCTCCGAAGCATTCTTCTACCGAGTTCGCTCGCTGAGTCTGTACGCAAGCTCACGTACCTTCAATGAAGCCGAGAGACATTTTGTCGCAAACAACTTTGGCGCCATCCTTCTCGAATACTAGATCATCGGATTGGACCTCCGTATCGAAGCTGAGCTTGTACTGGAATCCGCTACATCCACCGCCTTCGACGGTGACCCGCAGCATTTCTCCGGGTTCCGCGGTTTTCTTCAGTTTGGAAACACATGAATCACTCAGCAAGAGACTGGCTGAGCCTTGGCTCTGGAACGAGACGGAAGGTGAGCTCAGACGACGGGGTAGTGGGCGAAGGAAGGAATAAGAGGAAATAATCGGAGGATTCCAGCATCTCCAGCTCGAGCTTCACCTCCTTCCGTCCCGCACCGAATAGATCACGGAAGCCTGAGCAATATGGAAGAGAACGCTTTCCCTATCTCCAAAAGTAACATTTTTATTTACAGAACTATAGGTCCGTATTTAAATGAATCACAGAGCCCATTTCACCTCAGCCACAATTTGAGTCTGAACGCGTCAACTCCATTCAAGTAGTAGCGGAACAGACGCTTGTCGCGCACAAACCCGAGGTTCTCGTAGAGTTTCAACGCCGGTCTGTTCGTTATTTCAGTCTCCAGAACGATCTCGTCGGCTTTGTTCGCTACCATCGCTCGGATAGCGGTGAGGACGAGAGTGGAAGCGATTTTCCGCTTGCGGTAGTCAGCTTCAACCGCGAGCATAGCGATGTAGCCGCGCATTTGCGGAATTTCACAGAGGGCGTCGCGTTTCTTGTGAGTGTCCAGCTTGCACACTATTGCTCCCACGCAGACGTCCCCATCCATCGCGAGGAAACAGAGTTTGGGCCAATTATGGATGAAGTAGCGATAAGTGTATATAGAGTAGGGCTCAGAGAGGTCCTTCTGGAAAAGGTCCATCATCGCCGGCATTTGGAGCTCCGATTCATACTGGATATACTTGATGCCGTTTATTTCGAAAGGCATATCGGGATAGGCGCAAGAAAACTGCTTTGGTCTGTCGAAGTCTTCAATGCTCTGGATGTCGTCGAAAGTCGTCGTTTTAAGTTTTTCCATGAGGATGGGTAGGCATTCCGCCCCCGTGGAAGCTGGCTGCTCGTCTGAAGTGGCCATGTCTACAAGCTCTGTAATGATGAATAGGCGTCGGCCTTTTCAGTTTGCGGACGGATTCCGGGAGCGGATCTTCGGGAACGACAATATCTAAGTGAGATTCTTCGAACAGAAGTCTCTGCCAGGATAGCGCGATGCCTCAACACGCTTGCGAGTGTCCTCATTCCGAGAAGAAAATTGAAAATGCAGAGTTGGGGAGCATCCCTTCCATGTATGTGGAGAGTCTCAGAGAGAGAGACGGATCCCCTCAAGCCGGATTCTAGCCGAACGGAAGTGGAGAATTCTCGAGTCGGAGCTGCTGGTACGAGGTCAACTCCTCATAAGGTCGCTCTGCGACTGGAGACAAAACCGACGGGTACTCACAGCGGAATAGTTCCTCAGATGGGTCCCAATGATTCTCGACACGACCAAGCTCCGCAACATCCCGGCACCACGAAAACGATGGGTCAACGGGTACTTTGTTGACAATCATCCCTCCGAGAGGGGGATGGTCTGCGCCATCTTGGTGCGCGGATCGCGCGTCACCGGTCTCGGGACGAGTTGGAGAATGCTCCGACCGTTACCTTCGATTGCTGATCCCTCTCCGTAGAAGATCGGGGAACTTTTTGAAGAAATCAAAGCCTTCCGGAGCAGTATTACCCCAGCGACCGTGAAGTACCCGCAGCGCCATTGTCAAGGGCGCCAAATTCAAATCTGTTCCGGTGTTCCTCGCGCGGATCAGCTGTTCGGCAAAATAAGGATAGTATACCCTCCCGTGATCCCTGAAAATGACTGTGTGAACAAACGCGAAGGTGGCAGTCATGAAACTATTCCACTTCGTAACTCGATTCACCTGGGCGAGGAAGATTGCGTCGAGGAGCTACAGCAGCCAGGTGGACCTCTCGAAAATTCGGAACATCGGGATTATCGCGCACATTGATGCCGGCAAGACAACGACCACGGAGAGGATGCTGTTCTATTCCGGTTTCAGCCCAAGCATGGGTGAAGTTCATGACGGTGACACAATCACGGACTACATGCCTCAAGAAAGAGAGCGCGGTATTACAATTACATCCGCGACAATAACGTTCCCGTGGAGAGGCCACAAAATAAATCTCATAGATACTCCAGGCCACGTCGACTTCACCGTCGAAGTTGAGAGGAGCTTACGCGTGCTCGATGGTGCAGTGACGATCCTCGATGCCTCAGCTGGAGTTGAAGCTCAAACGTTGACCGTGTGGAGACAGGCGAACAGGTACCGCATACCGAGAATCATCTACCTTAATAAAATGGACAAGCCCAGAGCGAATTTCGATTACTGTCTCGCAGACATCGAAAGTAAACTCGATTTGAAGCCCCTCATCTGCCAAATTCCCTCGATAAATCCGAAAACCAAACAGTTTTGCGGAGTCTTCGACGTCGTCAACATGACGGAACTCATATGGGACGTGAATGACAGCTCCAAAGGTTCTGAATACATAAGCGTGCCCGTGGAGAAATCCATCATGAAGGACATCGCTCTAGAGAGGCGTGCGGAGCTGATCGAGAACCTTGGGGCGTTGGACGATGCTTTCGCCGAGAAATTCATCCTCTCTAACACGGAGCCGACGAAGACCGACATCAAAGAGGCCATCCGGAAAGTCACGAGCGCGAGCACCGGGATTCCTTTATTTTGTGGGAGCTCGTACAAGAACATCGGGGTTCAACCACTATTAGACGCGATAGTCGACTACATACCGGATCCGTCCGAGTCAATTCCTGAGGAAGTGACGAAGTACTTCAAGGAGAACGACACTGTCGCTTTGGCCTTCAAAATACTCCATACGAAGCTCAAAGGACCATTGACATTCATCCGTGTATACTCGGGATCTCTGCAACCAGGGAAGAAAATCTTCATCATGAACAGAGACATATCCGAAAAATGTGGGGAGCTTCTCGAGGCCAACGCCGATGAGTATGTCCCGATAAAGAAAGCGGAGGCCGGCTGCATAGTCGCCGTGAGTGGCTTGAAAGAGACTTTCACCGGAGACACATTGGTTGGCTCGCAATCGGAAGCTTCGAGTGCCAACAACAAAGCAGAAGGGGATAGTGCTCTACTTTTCGGCATTGCACAGGTAGAGCCCGTTTTCCAATGCAGTATCGAGCCGCCATCCACCGGTCAGCAGAAGAATTTGGATCACGCCTTAGCCTGCCTCCAGCGAGAAGATCCGAGCTTGGTGGTGACCGTCCAACAAGACACGGGTCAGACAGTCATTTCTGGAATGGGATCCCTACACCTCGAAATCATTAAAGATCGAATCATTCGAGAGTTCAAGGTGGAACCCTACCTCGGTGCTCTGCAGATTGCCTACCGCGAAGCGCTGCAGACGGATTTGGACAACAAAAGCCTAACTGTGGATAAATCGCTCGGTGGATCAAAACACCATGTCGAGATCGATCTTTCGATCCGGCGAACTCTCGACGAAGGTCAGAAACCAATATTCGTAGTTGAGGCGAATGAAGAGAACGAGCTCCATCGGCTGAGGCCGTTCCACAGAAAAGCGTTAGAAAACGGCGTGAAAATGGCTCTGTGCCACGGTCCTCTCCTTGGGTTCCCGATTGTGGGCGCACAAGTGAGACTCACTCACTTCGTCACGACCTACGCAACGAGTATATCCATGATTACGGCTGCCATCTCGCAGTGTATTCACAAAGCTCTACGGCAGGCATCCTTCGAGTCGGCGATCGACCTGCTAGAACCGTTCATGCGGCTGGAAATCAGTTTGCCGGAAAATTTCGTCGGCACTGTGCTCTCAGATCTCTCGCGGCGGAGAGCGACGATAGAAAGCATCAAACAATTAGGAAGCTCACGGGTGATTAGTGCCGTATGTCCGCTGGCGGATTTGACGCATTACTCCACCGAAGTGCGAACAATAACCTCGGGTAGAGCATCGTTCACGATGGAGATCGATTCCTACCGAGTCATGAGCGCTACGGACAGGGCCGAGGCGCTCAGAAAGGCGAGCGGATTCCAGTGAACCCCCCCGTTGGTTGCCCTCGAGTACTACTCCCACCCGGGTCAACGACCGTTCAGGGAGGGGCACGAAACCCGATGTGGCTCTCTCCAATTCTCCGGTGGTACTTTCTGAGCGTTGCCGGAGGCTTGGCTACAGTTGTCATGCGGCTAGTCTGTACAGTTTTCAATAAAAGGACACCCTCTTCTGAATGGAAACATCGCTTTGTTTTCCCCCCAATCTGGTATTGGGGGCTCCTCCTGCGAATGGTCTCGATAGACCACTTCGGGTCGCCGCCATTCCAAACGGAAACGATTCTTACCATAAGCGCATTTATCTTGGTAAAAACGGGAAAGAGGCTCACGATCTGGGAGCAGTCTCGTTGATCCCCTGGGAGGAGGGGATCGATGAAATGTTTTTGACTTCCCGGGTACATAGGGATGAAGAACTACATACGTATCTCATTCAATCGTGATCCTGGTCCCCATGACCATTCGCTATTTTATTACTTGTTAATGTAAAAAAAAACACGTTGTCATTCTAGAGCTCACCGAGTAACTGAAAAAAGTATCAGTGCATGATCCGAGCTCGGAGACTTTGGGGAATCGGAGAGAAAGACTGGAAATGAGCACATCGCGCCTGCTCAGTTATTTGAGCACCCTCATTCCGCCCCATATGATCGTTTAGCCCACTTTCTGCTGTTTAGCCTGAGGAGATAGCAAGCTGTCTCTCACGCGCAGCAATGCGTGACACGTCAGATGCAGAGACAAAACAGCGACCGTACATCCAAGGAAGAACGCCGTCAGACCTGCGGGTTCCAATACCCTCATCACTTGATAAACCCAAATTCCGCGAGAGACTCCAAGGTAGAGAACCCAGACGAGATAGAAACCGAACCAGGCCAGGATTCCTGGGAGGGCTTTCCGGTTCGATGGTATTCCGTGAGAATAGAGCAGAGCCTCGCTTATCGCCGTGAAGGCGATTAACGTATGCTGAAAGAGGAGAAATGTTTCAGTTTCGAAGTTATTATAGGGAAAGGAGCCGAATCTCGGCGAGAAGTCTGATGGAGACCCTGGAAGGCTAAAAGTGTGACTCGTTCAATAATGAAGCTCTCATAAAAAGCATTATCCAGCATGAAGATGAACCCACCGAACAGTGGTTGACCCAGTTGGGATAATATGGCTCGATTTCTTTCGGGAATATCAGTTCGCGATCGACGGCGTATATTCCCCAGAAGAGGATGGTGACGAAGATGCTCGAAGGCAGCGACACCGAGCAAAAGATGTAGTCACGGACGCGGGCGAGTGACTTCGAACGAAGCAAGTTTTGCAGAACACATAGTCCGAAATAAAGTCCACTTAAATACTGAAATCGTGATGAAGACTAAGAACTCTCTCCCATCGGATGCAAGCCAAACGGATTCACAGCTCATCGGGACCCGATTTCAGTTCTTGAGCGAATTCTGATTGGAAGGTTGAGATTCGAAAACAGTAGCGTCAGTGACTCACAAGGTTCCATTGCGTGAGGTACTTCGCTTTCCCAGCATACGCGAACTCGGGATACGGCAGCGGGACATTGACTTTTGTGTGAGAGTAATATATAGTATAGGCGTAAGTCAGGAACGCGCTGATGTGTAGAAGTTTCGCTAGCTTGGGCGGCGCTTCGCTCATTTTCAGCTGTAAATGGGAGACACTCAAGTAGATATATGTGTTTGTGGAGGCCGAGGCAATCGATTCGGAGAGCGCGATTGCGCTGAGCAACAGGTGGAAGGCCTCGAGCCTGCGATGTTCGTGTGGCACCAAGCATCATTTCACCGATGGATATAGCATTCGGAAGCTGACGAAGACCCTTCAGAAGAAAAGTCATGTCTCACAGCGGACTACTTGAATTGATCTTCATTGCGATATAGAAATGGCAAGTTGGACTTGGAAACTGATCGATTATTATGCTTAAGGTGGTGCGAAAGCCAGCACGACCGCAGTACGAGGTACTTGTCTTTCATCATATGGGACTCCTGCTTGCACAAGGTGCAAATCAATGCCGTACAGCTGATTTGGGATCGCTCGATCCGTTTCTCATCATCAGCTGACTCGAGCAATAAGCATCGCGTCGAGCGCCGCGACGAATCGTATCTCGTATGCAGTCAGCTGTCAGCGGTTCTACGCGGAGGATCGAGCTCTGTTTCTCACATCCGGCTGCAGTCGCAGCTCTCTCTCGCTCTCTGCAAGGAGTCATAATCTGCACATCGTGAAAACTCTTCAGCCATGAGAACTTACAGCTGTGCTGACTGTTTCACAAGGCTCAAGCCGATTGTCACTTCGCAGAATAAGGTGCTACGCTTGCCTTCTGCTGTCCAGAATTTTCGCAGATGTATCCAGGTGCTCTCGCGCTTAGCGCGATATTTCGAAAGTCAACGGAAGCGGGAGAGCTGCTCGATATATCTGCTAGGCCGGCTTTTCATGTATTCAGAGCCGCTTCCGACGATCTGTCCCGCATTTGGTCTCGAAAACGCCCGAATAGACTGCGGGTTATGAAAGTCCACGAGAGGTACTGCGCTGATTTAGCGGCGGCGCTTGACAGCGAAAAAAAACAAGATGGCGCCCCCCTGTGAATAAGAGCGAAGATATGGCGCGACGGATGGAAGCCGGGAACTTTGAACAACTCCCCGAGCGTTACCAAGTCCTTGTTTGCAGCACGTATTCCGGGGAAAGAAACAGAGAAAGAATCGTTCTGAATCGGCGAAGGGCAGGCGGGAGACCTGATAGATTGCTTCTGTCCGCGTTCGCCTCACCTGTCCGATCACCCAGACCACATGTACATACAGATGTTGGTCCGACCGGCATAGGAACGGTCGTTTTTCCATTCTGGGTATATCGCATAGCCTTTCGCGGATCTTTTCACCGATGAGGTCCGAGCGTTCAATGAGACGGAGCTGGAGTTTACCTAGGTTTCTTCGCTTCTCTCTCTCGTGGGTTTCGATGTCCACGGAGCCTCTGACCGCTCTACCGAGGTCGAGAAGCGGCTATCGACTGTGGTGCTGCTCGTAAAATGTATCCTATGCACTCGCGAGCCAGGAGATCCAGCGAGAGACTTGTTGGCTCAGGCGGAAGGCTTCCTAGTCCCAGGATAATGTCCAAGAGACTTGATCCTTACCAACCCGAATCTCAGGCCGCCCTTTATATGTGAAGGGTTTGGCAACAATTCCGAATCCATGATAAGCATTTGACTTCCAAATCCAAGGAAATTACCATCGACAGCCAAATCAAATCGCCTCCAGGCCTCCCTCCACGTTTCTATCGAATCGTCGTTAAATTACTATGACTCTGTTCATGATTGGAGTCGCGATCCACCTCTCGGCTACACCAAACGATCTCCCTTAGCGCCGACGTTCTCAGATGTCATACACATATAGAGCGCAGGGGAGACCCAAGGAATCACCATTCTACACTGATCTGCAGCGTTGAGTCCGAACTCTTGTGCGATGACGCCTCCTCGTCTCACAAGCTCGCCCTCGATAGCGAACTCACGCGCGGCACTCCGAGCACCTTAATGACTGAAACCCCCTATCGGCTCTCGACCTTGGAAGTGAGCACAATCGTTGTGAAACACTCTTTTCAAGCGCGCCCTCTGTGGCACACAGCTCGAGTTTCTGTCCTTGTGCAGGTCAATATTTTTCTTTCAATATTGGCGAGAGCAAGCAATCAGCGCCCCTCTTCTGGCCGACCATGACGGGATGGCGGCCTTGGACCTTGAGACCTCGCGGAAGTTTGTCAGGTCGAAAGAGCCTGCCACGACCCCCGAGTGCACAACAAGGTGAAATATCTGACTTGAGTTTGGGAAAAGTCTTTGATTTGAATCCGGAATAGTCTCCGACTTGAATTTCTCGTTCCTTGAGATAGAAGAGTTTGAGAGCCCCCGCTATGCGGATAGATGTTGGAGCGCATATACCAAAGACTGTCTGAGAGTTCATGTTCAACTAGGAATCGAGACCTGGATCCACACATCATTTTCTCAAAAAAGAGCCGACTTCTTTCGTCGCATATCTTCTGGCTGTAGGCCCGACTGTTTCCTTCCCCGCGAGAATCCCCGCGGGGAACCATGCGAAATACGATCCTGGCTGCCATCGAGACTCTTTACGATTTGCCTGTCCCATGTTGATGTTGCGCGATTGGTCCACGAACCCGCGAAAACCCATCCAATATGAGAAAGTCAGTTCCCAGTCCATCCGGAGCTTGTGGACAGCATGTCTCGATTCCCCAGACGCCATAGCAATGATCAGATCATTGCCTGGACGTCTCAGGAGACAGGCGCGATACCAGTACTCTCTCGCAAAATTGAATACTTGATCAATTGAAATTATTCTTTGGCGCTTCCGAAGAGGTAGCGTCGTTCAGCATAGTGTCAGGAGGAACGGAAAAGGGACGGGATTGGGGCACACAGCGAATAGCGACTGATACGGTGAAGAAAGACTGATACCTGAAACAACGAAGCGATTCCGTATATTCCTCCCGCGTCATCGAAGTCACAACAAGCTTCGCCATGATGAGATCAGCTCACAGACCAAAGTTGACCGAGACAGAGCACGAACGACTCTTGGAGCAACGAAACCGAATCGTTGCAAAAGTGCGCGGCATCAGCTACGATCTACCGCAGAAGATTGAGCCATATGCCGACCCGCAAGTAGCTCTGCTGAATCCAGAAATGTACAACTGTCAAATGCGAATCAAAATATCACCAGGAGGGAAGCGGATGAGCCCACCGCCTTCAGCCAGGATCCAGAACGTCGATCCGCTCGAGAATTACAACGTTTGGCTAGAATTCCGCGGCTCTTCAGGACACACGGATCTCTACAGACATCCGAGAAGCCCTCAACTGGGGTGGCGTTGGATGGAAGACACGGTCAAGTTCTCTCGCCTAAAACTCTACACGCATCCCCAGGGGGACGTCCTCCACGATGGCGTCATCTTGCGAACCAGTCAATTGTACTGTATCGATATCCACATCGCGAAAGTTGCTGCAAACGGTCACATGCCGAAAGAATCTCACAGATCGTTCACATTCGTGGGACCTTGGTTCAGGCCCTTCAACGTGGGAGACTCACCCATTTAGTTTGAGACTTATCGATTAATAAAACAATAATCAATTTCAACTTCGACCCTATGCGCCCGCAGCAGCATGCACGTTCTGAGGATTGGAACCTCCAGCTCTTATACCGGTAGATATCGCGATTATCGGAGAGTCCTTTGGGAATTTCAGAAAACCGACGAAACGCCCCTGAACCCGAAGAGAACCCAGACCACTTGAGATCGAAGGTTTCTCCTGTTTAGCCCTAGGAACAATGTGATTGTCGTGAAATCGTCACCACTGCACCGCCAAGGACGTCATCCCGTTTGTATCTCCGAGACATTCTCGTCAAAAAATTCGGATACATAAATAGACCCACGCGTCTGATAAGCGGATTCCTGCAGCATCCACGAGCCTATGTAGATGACCCTGGACGATTATTATCGATACCGAGTTTCAAGTCTACATCTCTTGGTTGGAGCTCCCAAGAAAACTCAGGTCTAGAATCGCGAATATATTCAGATATGCGATCGGTGTCTCTGACTAGAAGTGTTCTGACCTCAAGGTGCTCCCATGATCCACCCGCACGAGCAAGCTTTTCAATGGAGAAAAGGCGCCAAGAGCGGGCCCAATCTCACGCAGCTGGAGGACGATATTTTTAGAATTCCATTGTCATTTATTATCAAGAGAGTGCATATATTAAAGATTTTCCACCAGCTTTCCCAGAAAGACATGCCGTGGACAGGTCTGAAAGCCGTCGGATCTCTTAAAATGCTATTAAGGCGCCGCACGCCATGAGGCAGGTTTGGGTCTGCTTGATCAGGTACCAGGTCTGGACCCGGGTCGGCTCTCCTTTGTGTTCCTCCTTGAGGCCGTGGTCGCGAAGACCACGAATGTAATCAACCAAGAAATCGTCCTAGATGAGTGAAATCACTTCTATGTCGAATTCCCGACGATCATTCCCGTCCACAAACTCGGAGAGCTCTTCTAATTTCTCCGTCCGGAAAGCCCACAGTCCACTCATGTGTGTTACAAGACGAGAGGGCCGACTGCATGGCGTTAATCTGCTCGTACGCCTTGTTCAGGAAGGATTTCTTCCCGATCATCGAAAGGACGCCATTCCCGATTTAGGCGGGGAGGAGATGCTGGGAGATCATTGAAAATTTGTGCATCGCGCAGCTGCTGCGTAGGGTGAGGGCGGGATAGCGGACGGCATTATTGAGCGTGACCTCCTTGACGAGCTTCTTTTGGAAATTCGCGAAGTCGCCCCAGGTGAAACTTGGTGCCCGATCGCCGATGGCACAGTTGTAAATTCCAATTTCCTTGGAATCTGTGGTTCCTGCTCGCCACGCAGCGAGGATCACGGTTTTTGCGACGACGTCGACCGGGATCAAGTCGGCCCTCATTTCACTTCTCGAGTAGATTGACTTGAGGAACCCGCAAGCTGTCGCACAGACCATTCCACTCGGTCCGTTGTAATTGTCCACCCACCCTGGGAAGGGTTCGGACATGGAAGCGACCACGATCGACGGTCTGACTATCGTGATCGTGAAGGGCACGGTCTCGTTGTACTTCTGGATCATGAGCTCCGTGAGGTGCTTTGTGAAGGTGTACGTATTCGGCTTCTCGGCCAGAAGCTCTTCCTGCATCTTCTCGAGACTCTTCTCGTCGAGGCACTCGACCATCTCCATGATCTTCTCACTGTCGTGCTCGCTGTCGTGGATGCGCTCTTCGATGACATCATTATCACAGTTTGCGTAGTACGCGGATATATGGACGAACACCTTGAGTTTTCCGAACGTCCTGGCCATGTCGAGTAGCTTCTTTGTGCCACACAGATTCATGTGGACCGCGTCTCGGAGCGGAGCGTCGAATCTCCGACGCTGCCGAATGCACCACGATGTCCCCTTTTTTGCGGAGGATCTGGAGGTCTTCGTCACCCACGCCAGGACGGTCTCGGGGCATGTGCATCCAGGGTCATGAGGAGAGCCTCTTCCGAATCGCACCGACCCGATTCCGCGGGTCGGTGCGATTGTGTGATAGCTCATTGAGGTTCTTCAACGTAGATATAGGGTCCCGGTGAGAAAGGTCAAGAAGAACGAACCCTCCCCGGGTTAGCCCAATCATCAGAACCCAAAGGCAGTTGTTTTGTCGCCTGGGATAGGCAGACTGGCGATCGGGGTCGAGCGTCGCTTCGAATTTCGGTGGGGGACGTTCTGAGCCGATGAGCTCATCGATCAGCAGCGGGTAGCTCCCTGTTGCGTGAATAGAGTCCCATCCTACCGGACGGCATCCGCGATGCGACTGCTCGGTCACTTTTTTACGGCCGACTGTGGGCGGACTCGAGCTGTGCAATCCCAACGCGGACGCCGGATAGAGCAATCGAGGGGGCGTCTTTCTTGTCCAGACGTAAGCGGCATTCAGGGTCCGGCCGAAGAGGTCGAGGTTCATTCTCGAGGAGAGTTTAATATTCCGAGAAGAAGATCAATCGGAGGTATCGATATTTTCCACTCGTGTGAGCTATCCTCGGGGTAGACTCGGCTCGCTGTGAGATTCATTAAATATCCGGAGGAGCTCCTCAATGCGAGGTTCGACCGATCGGGATCGCGGGAGATCCTGCGTGATATTTTGAGCATTATTGGAACAGAATTCGATTCAAACATGTATGAATTTGCGCTCAATCTGATCGAATATACAAATCACGCATAGAACTCTATCACATGCAGAGCCGCAACCTGTGCTTTGGACACGGGCAGAGACTCCCTTCCCGTCTACAAGGTGGAGCGCGGCTTCTACCTCGTGCAATACGGGAATCAGATCACCTGCTCACAATGATGGAACTTCCAAAAGAAAAGTCACCTGAAATTGCCCGAAGAGTCTCGTCGCGAGAGAGCGCAGTCGATTATCCATCACTCTCTGCTCTCGGCAGGGAAGTTATTCGTTGATCAAGCATTATCCAATGCTGCTGGCCACCGACATTCGAACATGAGAGAAATCCTGATCTTTCGAACCCTAAATCTCGGAATCGAGAGTTTGTGAACAGATCAGAGTTGAAGGAAATACCGTTTTCCGTAAGGAGCGCCATTCCCGGATCAAGAATGCTACGAGAACCGATAATCTTCGCAACGACCGTCTGTATGAGACACGCGGAGCCGGCTTACTCGACCTATCTTGTGAATTTCGCGTATGCACGTCTCGCTCGATGCCGGCGGGCGACGTGTGCAGCACTCATCACGCTCATCTATTTGTGTCCAGCCGTAATAGGTTGCATCCTACATTATTATTGCCCCGTATTGTCCTGAAAACATGGTGGAGTCTGCAGGATTAGCGGCAATCGCTTCATCGGGCACCGATCATCCCGAATGCATCCTGGCTGTGTTTCTCCATCCCGTTTCATCGGCTGAACCGCTTATACGCACCGGAGGAGCCGCTCCTGGTGGCTGATTGGGACGCCGAAGATCCTCATTAGTTTTGTAGATGGACTCGAAGCCCCGGACTTTCGTTCCTCAAATGGGTGGAGGTTTCGCGTGGAGATCACCCGTAAGCCGCGGAGACCATCAGCACCCGATCGGTATCTCCGATCAGGACTACATCAGGACCACAGAGTTCCCGATGATACCTTCTCAGAATCTAGCCTCTCTTCGAGGAGGCAGCCCGTAGCGAAAAATTCCCTACCCAATTTATCTGTGAGATGAGATATACCTAAGCAAGATGAGTCTATGAGCAATCGAATCTCTCTGCAAGCATCTCAGGCGCGGCTTCAATCATTTTTCGAATGAGGAACCAGATAAATGTTCCGGTGCTTTCATTCTGAAAGTCAATCAATGAGCGCGAGTAGTCGCGAGGGGTCGTGACCCGTGACCTCCCGAGATTTTCCGGTACTAATGCGGAAGAATAGGCTTCGGGAGGATGCGTTATCATGTTGAAGTCTGTCACATTCGGCGTAGCAGGTGGATACAAGGACAAACACATAGGAATGTTCGAACGTTCCAGCAATACCGAGTGTAAGCAACGATCTGTGAGAGGGTCGTGGGAAGTCTCCGTCGTCTATTGGCACGTTAATGAGAGCGTTCCCAGGGCCTCTGGGAAACGAGAAAGTCTTATCTGGGAGCTGGATCCTCCTCATATTCGAACGGCGGTATCAGGATGAATCAGATCGATGAGCAGCATCCGTTTCAAAGTGGGTTGATAGAACGGAGGACCAGAATCAGGGCTGGACGTCGAGACCTCGGCCACATTTTTGGGTGCTTGCTCCATCAATAATGATCAGATTTCTCATGGTGAGCATTCTACCATATGAATGGGAAAATTCTCTCCTTTCCGAGCCGATAGGTCGAGCTTCGAGGAACCTACAGGCAATACAATAAACCTCTAGAGCTCCTCAATTCAGGAGAGGTCGAGAACTCGGGTCAAATCCCTTTGATTTTTGCATGATAGTGCTCAATGTTGATTGTAACAGAGTGACGCGAATTTCCCGCGATTTTGATCGATGCGTCGTTGCAACGAGATCGGTCATCAGACGAAGCGCGGAACGTATGGCGAGCTCAAAACAACCCAATAGAAGTTCGTGTCTAGAAATCATCGCCCGTCACGAGGAGCAGGTGCCAGCACCGCGCCGGCGCCGCTCGGGAGAGGGACCGACATGATCGGTTATCTGGATTGATATTTATTTCTCGTTTCCAGCTAAAGTTCAAGCACCGAGTCCCGCGTAAGAAAGCTTCCCATAGACTCCATGATGGAATGGAATTTTTTCCTCATCGACTCTAATGGAAACGTTCCTAATCTACGTCCCTTATGCGCGGCCCGCGTAACGCGGGACTCAACTCTGGGCTAGAGCAGGGGTCCCCGAACGGGAGACAGTGTCCGAAACTCAGGCCATGGGCAATTCTTCGATGGTACACAGATGCCCGGGGGAATCGTACCATGGAGGATCAATCCATCGCTTGAGAGCGCTACCAGATCATTGTGGCTGAAAAACTCTTGATCGCATTCGGGATACGTCATGTTGAATGTTCGAACCTATGAATCAATATAGCGATGAAGCTTGCGATGTATCAGGGGGGACGCTCCACAGCCTAGCGCACCATCTGGCCGCGGCTCTTTGATCGCAGGTCCGCCTGACCGCAAGCCGGTTGGCTGCGGATTTCTTTGTTCGCGAAACTTGTTGATTTCCTGAAAGTACTTATATTCGAGTACAGAGCCCCTCGGAGTACTGCGGAGCGTATCACGTCCGACAATTGGGGTGGGTAAGCGGCGGGGACGATTGATATACACTAAGAAGGTAGGAAGAGAAACTGGAGGAAAAAACAGCTCCGACTACGGAGATGGGGAACGAAGAGATGCTTAGGCCTCGCGCCACGCCGGTCTATGTGCTATACGCTCACCGTAGCGATTTCTCGAGGTCTGGATGTGCTTCAAACGTGGGGCGACACGAACCTCTCGAAGTACATGTGCATGCGAAAGCGGCGGTAAGAGGGGAGCCTCCAGAACGCAATTCGCAATCGATTCGAACAGGTCTTGGTGTCCGGGAGAACCATCATCGCCTCGGATGCATACTCCCTACCGAGCCCAGTCAATCGAATCGAGGCCGAGATGAATCGTTGTGTCATGATGGCCATATGAATGTGTTTGATAGAACCAATTCTGAACGAACAGTGGACTTCTGGCGTTGTCAGTTCAAAAAGATTTTTTAGGTCCGCCTGCAGAGACTCATCGCGACAGGTGAAGTCAACGATGTGTCTGGTGAAACTCGGACCAGCAACTACGCCGGAGCCGCGTACCGGCGCTTACAGGGCGAGTTTGGAGTTGACCGTCCGAGCCTCTTGGAGTTCATCGATGGAAATCAGAAGATTCAAGAGAACCGAGATGTGACCTACGCTGGAGACGTAACGGGGACCTGCGGCCTAAGAGCCGCAGTCGAACGGCTGCGGCCAACGGGGTGCACCCCCCAGAAGGTTCCCCCAACGCCACTCCCCACGGATCGATTTCTGCTTGGATTCTTCGATCAATCTCCGCGCTTCAGAATCAAATGAGCAAACATTTGAGTACGGTAAGCTCCTCGAAGTCTTCCGTCCTTATTTGGGGAGGTTGTTCATGCAGAGTACCTCAGCGACAAGCAGAGAAAAACTTGATCACATCCGGGAGTAATTAGCGTACACGGGATGCGGCCACTGAATATGAGAACTGTCTCCGACACCCAGCGGCGCGTCGATGGGGTTCTGGTTGAGGCGTATTTGAGCGTGGGGGAAAGCACTGAGAATCGGAGCGGTCTTCAGGTCACAGAGCTGCATCGCGGCTCTCTTCTTCAGACCGTGGCCGAGCGGCTTCTGGTGTTTGATTAGCTAATAGACAGCGAATGAACCCCGCACCGAGATATGAAGCGGAGCTCGCCCACGATTACTTCGCTCTGGGGGCGGAGGAGTTGCCGTTAGAGTCTGACGAACGAACTCATCCGCAGAGTTTCCTGGAGGCGAGTCTTTCTCCATCTCTCTTTCTCCCAGAGACCCTTTTAATACGCGGGAGCCCTCATTGGAACATCACACAGTCGCACCAACCCTCAGACTTCAAACGAGCAGCATCTCGCCAACGGAGGAGCTCTTTGAGTCGGACGTACACTGTTCGGATTGTTCTCAACACTTCTCCAAACTTCTTCAGGCATGGAGCAATACGTCGGCGTGAGCAAGTTCTTCGCTGGGAAGACTCTTTTCGTGACTGGATGCACCGGCTTCGTCGGGAAAGTACTTCTGGAGAAAATTCTCCGCTCATGCCCCGACGTGGGTTCAATCTTCGTTCTGGCTCGTCCCAAGCGCGGAGAGACTCTGGAAGAGCGCTTTACCCAGATCTTCAGAAGTGCGCTCTTCAACCGCGTCCGGAGCGAGTTCCCGGAACTTCTCCTCAAGGTAAAGTTCGTAAACGGGGACATGCTCCAAGACCGTCTGGGCGTGAGTGACGAAGACCTCCAGACCCTCCGTAAAGAAGTGGACATCGTGGTGCATTCGGCAGCGTCGGTGAGATTCGACGCTCCGCTCCGAGACGCGGTCCACATGAATCTGTGTGGCACAAAGAAGCTACTCGACATGGCCAGGACGTTCGAAAAACTCAAGGTGTTCGTCCACATATCCACGTGCTACGCAAACTGTGATAATGATGTCATCGAAGAGCGCATCTACGACAGCGAGCACGACAGTGAGAAGATCATGGAGATGGTCGAGTGCCTCGACGAGAAGAGTCTCGAGAAGATGCAGGAAGAGCTTCTGGCCGAGAAGCCGAATACGTACACCTTCACAAAGCACCTCACGGAGCTCATGATCCAGAAGTACAACGAGACCGTGCCCTTCACGATCACGATAGTCAGACCGTCGATCGTGGTCGCTTCCATGTCCGAACCCTTCCCAGGGTGGGTGGACAATTACAACGGACCGAGTGGAATGGTCTGTGCGACAGCTTGCGGGCTCCTCAAGTCAATCTACTCGAGAAGTGAAATGAGGACCGACTTGATCCCGGTCGACATCGTCGCAAAAACCGTGATCCTCGCTGCGTGGCGAGCGGGAACCACAGATTCCAAGAAAATTGGAATCTACAACTGTGCCATCGGCGATCGGGCACCCAGTTTTACCTGGGGCGACTTCGCGAATTTCCAAAAGAAGCTCGTCAAGGAGGTCACGTTCAACAATGCCGTCCGCTATCCCGCCCTCACCCTGCGCAGCAACTGGACGATGCACAAATTGTCAATGATCTTCCAGCATTTCCTCCCCGCCTTCATTGGGGATAGCGTCCTATCGATAATCGGGAAGAAACCCTTCCTGAACAAGGTGTACGAGCAGATCAGCGCAATGCAGTCGGCCCTATCGTTCTTCACCACTCATGAGTGGACGTTCAGAACGGAGAAATTGGAAGAGCTCTCCGAGTTTCTGGACGAGAACGATCGTCGGGAGTTCGACATAGACGTGGGTTCGCTCATCTGGGACGATTTCCTGGTTGATTACGTTCGGGGTCTCCGCGACCACGTCCTCAAAGAGGAACACAAGGGGGAATCTACCCG